CCTTATGTACGGATTCAACCCATCCCCTACTGCTCAAACACCCCACCCTCAAGCACCCAACCTCCGGAGTTGGTCAGATGTCCTGGGTGTCATCGGGACAAAATCAGAACCTGATGTCTCAGACCGAGACAAGGTTCTAATTCGCGAGTTCATTTCATGCCTCATCGACAGCTCTTCGGGATTGCCAGCACCCTCCGACGACCTCAACGCAACATCGGATCAGCCTTTGGCAACATCCTTTGCGCTCGACACTGTGGAACGCATCAGTGAGGACCTATACGTGTTCAAGCTACCTCCTTCCCCCTCTTGCAAATGGGTCATCGGTGTTGATCGCCCCACGACTGTTCTTTACATCTGTCGACTGGTCGCCTCCGCTCCGAACACGCATACGGTGCTGACAATCACCTACCACCTACTTGAGCACCACATACCCTTCCGCACCCTCCTTCTGCAGGCCTCCTCGGAGCCCGAACAGCTCAATCTCCCATACGCAGACAACGCCAACCGTTTTAACAAGCACCAATTCACGACAGCAGACTTCGACAGTGCTATGCTCGAGTGCCGCGCGCTGCTGGGCCGCCCGCAAGGGTGAGCTGCAATACTTCGCAGTGGCATTGTAGGGAGGATTGCAAGGGAATTCGGTAGTAAGGAGTCTGGGTTGCAAGGACCGTCCATCGAGGTCACAGTGCATCATTCAGGGTACTTTGTCCCATCTAAACACGACGGGTATTTCTACTGGGATGACGACCTCACTGGTGAGGAGATTGCATGTTTGTGTGGGACATACTGCCTCTATACAGGTAAGGTCTGTCTTCCATGAGTGTCTTCAATAGTGAATTGATTCCTCATATACAGGGCGTGGCGAGCAGACAACAACGGTCTCGTGGTTCCCTCCTCCGGACATTTGGGACAAGCAGGGTTATGGCTGGCCAGGATGGACGGAAACTAACGAGGAGTTTTTCCAGCAGTGGATAGCAGACATTCGCAAGGGCAATGCCAAACCCCTGTCGCGTCAAAACTGGTGGCGCAAGGTTCGTAGCATCAAGAACACGAGGTCGATGCTTAAGAACAACAGGGAACGGGCAAAGGCATACATCAAGTTGAACATTCATGCTATGTAGCTTTCATCTTGATTTCTTGGACACTGACATGTATTTTTTTTTGGTGCATACACAATAATGACAAGGGTTTTTTTTCCAGTTACATTGTAAGGACTATGCTACACGCTGTGATTACAGGAGGTACCTATGACCTGGTTGTAGCGGTGGCGGCGTTGATTTGACTCGAGTGAACCTATTTCACGGCAGACACCCTTCTATGAGGAGGACACGCGATCGCGTCAAAGGTAACTCTCATGATATTCAAAATTTCTTCATATAAAGCATGTGCCGGTGACATAAGTACCAAATAGATTATGTGATTCGAGCCCTTACATGGTCACTATATGTGAATTGTCTGACTAGTGGATGAGACGAGACCCACAGGATAGACCTACTACTACATGGCTGCAACATCTAAACGCCTGCTAACTAGCTGAGCCAACATCAAATATTTTAGCCATGAAGGAGCTGGTTTGGTATCTGGCAGATGGGTGGAACAAGATGCCCAGGATAGTCCAGCTGCTTCATGGATATTACATGTTGACATGTGCCAGCCAGCTGAGTTAACATTAAATATTTCAGCTGCGATGGAGCTGTTTCCTGATCTGACAGGTGGATGGGATAAGATCTTCGGCATGCTCTTCCTACTACATAGTTGTCATGTCTGAACATGTGCCAACCAGCTAACCTAACATCAAACCTTTCAGCTGCTATATAGCTGACTCCGTATCTAACCCATGTGCGTCGACGTATGCGTCCAATGAAATTAGAAAACGTGACTACGAGATATCATACATTTGGCAGTGTAGAGGAAAAGGACAAGTGGCCAATCGAGGACACTCTGTCGAACGTCAGAAATTGGGTGGAGGTTGAGGCAAAGATAAACCTGTTTGCCATATTTGCCATCATTTGCGTTATGTGCATGCATCTATCTTAACTTCAACCGTTTCCGACAATGGACTTTGTTCCTTATTCCGAATCAACTGGTCCAGCGACCTTGCTGTACAAGGGATTCCACACCTAGACCTCATGGCCCACTATCCGTCAGTATCACTGCCCAAGGCGATCCAATCGTCAACTGCATATGAATCCTCTGGCGCATCGACTCAATGCCCATCCTCTGCCCGCCTTGAAAGGCTTTAAAGCACCGTTGCTTGTCGATATGTTCTCTATCGATGCCACCTGTGGAAAGAGGGCGAGCAGAGGTTCAAACTTAAAAGCACCCAACAAAAAAGCCTTCGACGGAGACAAATGTATACAATCTTGACATTTCCGTTTCCAATATACAGCCTAGTATAGAGACTCAATTGCGCTGGAATGCCTTCAGTTTAAGGGGCATCTGCACTCCTACACTGGGTTCCGAACGAAGGGAAGGCCGCTGCCCTGCTGACTTGATATCGGCAACGGGCACCGCCAACTCGAACTCGAAAGCTCTGACAAGCGCGAACAGGAGGGCCTTCATCCTGAAAATGTGTGTAGATATTCAGAATGGGAGAAAGTTCGGACAGGCCAGAATACGCACTCAGCAATGGCAAAGCGGAATCCAATGCAGGCCCGAGGCCCTCCAATAAAAGTGAGCAGATGGCCCCAAACACCTGGGATAGTCGAAGCTTCCCCGGGAATTTTTTGCCATCTTTCTGGTCTGTTTAATTTTTATCGCACCCTGAGAGAGGAATATCGCAAGAAAAATCCGACTGACCGAAAAGTAGAAGCATCTTCTCCCCACACTGCCTTGTCAGAATTTATCACCAATATGGGGACGTGAATGCTGTCTCCCTTGCGAATTATTATCTCATGCAGCACCTTCCCATCCTTGCCTCGAATTGGCTTGCTTAGCGGCAAGACACTATCCAGAACGGCAACGCGTAGTACGGCGGCGACAGGTCCGAAAAGACGCAGGCTCTCGCGAACAAACATGTCGAGGTACGACAAGGTATTCAGCTCGTCTAGAGATGGATAGTCGGTCTTCATGCTCAAAAGCTCACTTCGTAGCTTTTCCTGGACATCAGGGTAACGAGCAAGGGTGAATAGTGCCCAAGTTGTCGATAGACTGTCAGATGAAACGTTGAGATTTTATAAGAATGACCCAAAATCGCATACCTGGTCGTTTCGTGTCCAGCAGCCAAGAACGTAGGTATTTCTAGGAATAGGATTAGACGAATCTGAAGAAAGATTCTGTCGCACGCACGATCCATAACTTCTTCATCCGACATGCGCTGACTGGAGGGTAAATCTGTTGCGAGGTTCGCTCGGAGTAACAAGGTGAGCAGATCTCTTCCTTTCCATGAGCTCTTCTCCGCTTTGCCATTAGAGTCATGCATCGTTAGAGCAGCTTCGCTGGACCTCAGCAGCTCGTTACCGATCCGGTTCGCGGTCTCGATAGCTTTTTGCGCTGCAGCTGCTTGCCTGTCAGGCTGCAACGAAGGAGAGTAAGATTGTGTAAACGTCCCAAGAAACATGGGAAAGGTGCGGATCACGTACGACGCGTTCAAGGATAGGCCGAAGGAAAGGGAAGAAAGCTCTTAGCAGCTGGTGAGGGTTCACCCTGTTAGAAGTCCGGAAGATAGCGGAAAACGCTCTGTGCAGTTCATTCGAATCACTCTTGAGAGCATCAAATTTGTAGCCAAATCCTTCGACGGCAGTTAACATTTCATTGTCATATTTGGAGTGGTTCCAGGGTGACATACCCGCAAGGCCAATAACATCCAGCGTCATCTTCCTCAACCAGGCAAGAACGTCGATTCGTCTGTTTGCTTCCTTGCTGCTCTCCTCGAGCCAGACGTCTCGAAGCTGGTTTGTAAGGACGTGTCAGCGTCATCAACGAACAGCGTCCCAAGGCTAGAACGAGCATACCTCAGTGGCTTTCTCAAGGAATACTCCAGTCAAATCTCTTATTTGTGGTGGCCCGAAGGCAGGGTTCTGCAGGAGTGACACCCGGGTTCACATTCAACCAAGTTCACGAGGATCGAAACACACCATTATCCTTCGCTGTCTCAACGTCAGCCAATACGTCGTTAGCTTCATTAGCAAAAAGTGACAGACCTGCTTCCGATGCTTATCACCCTCAACAACTACCAGACCAGCACCCAGAATGCGAGTCAAGGTGTACTGCAACCAGTCTGGCTTCTGATACACATGGGTCTCAGTTAGGATATGATTCACTGCTTCCATGTCGGCGACATATAGAGAATTGAACTACAAGGATAGTTTGTCAGTAGGGCATTCCCGAGGAGACAACAGCGCAAAGAGAAGAGACGCGGTTACCCCAAAGAATCCTTTACACTTGAATGTTGATCCATACTCTTCGACCCACTTCTCCTCCGTAACAGTATTTTCCTACAATAATAACTGGGTTCAGTCAAATCCGCGACAACGACGAGTCACACCTACAGCTTCAAAGAGCTGCCTTTGGTTCCCATAGAAGAAACTCTGGTTTGGTGGGCCACGAATGTTGCGAAGAGGCGAGGTCCACTCGCTGAGGACGAGCTTGAAGATCTTGAACGCTATGCAGGCTGTCGCCGCCCCAACAACAAATACTAGCACCTCTTGGGGATCCATGGCTTGATGTATGCTAGATGGGTGTCCAACAAGGGAGGATGCTCGACTGGGCAGTTAGAAATAGGAAGCGTTCGAATGCAATACATCGTCGAGAAGCTTGCCCGTGGGTGCTAGTTGTTCAGCTGACAGTGACAATGAAGGGAAAACCCTGGCGGCCGAATCAAATAGAAGGCATTTGGTATGTAAGCTTGTGACAACAAGAGATCTTATCATGAGGTGAGAACATCCTATTCGCTGTGGAGGCGGAAAAAACACGGCCGGGCTTGAGAGAGTTTATAAATAAATGCGGTCCAAAAGTTGGAATAGAAATAAAATACATATCGCAGTTCTTACACAGCTGTGTGGGAATGAATGACCACACAACGATCCACCCCATTATCCCCCGCTCTCTCCGTGGTATTCAAGTGCGCTGAACAGGCTTCAGTCTCAAGGGCATTTGATTGCCAGCGTTGAGGTCCGATTTCAGCATAGGTCGCTGAACAAGGGTGGCCTTCTTGATGATGTCGTCCGCGGGTACTGCCAGTTCGAATTCGAATGCTCTTACGAGAGTAAAAAGTATCGCTTTCGTCCTGTGTCACAAGCAGTTAATCAAGCAGGGCAGTGAGAGAGCATGGAGCGACTCAATACGCACTCGACAAGCGAGAACCGATACCCGATGCAAGCTCGAGGACCGCCGAGGAAAGTCAGCATGTTGCCCCATACACCGGGAATCGCCGTGGCAGCCTCCGGGACCTTCTCCCATCTCTCGGGCCTTTACAACATCTCATGAGGAACAGCAATGGAACGACTTTTGAGGAAGACTCACTTGAACTCCATCGCGTCCTCGCCCCAGATGTCCTCGCCCTATTCATTGCCAGGATCGGGATGAGCATCGTCTGGCCCTTCTGCACACGAATCTCTCGTAGCACGCTGCCATCCTTCGCGGTGATCGGAATGCTGAGCGGTAGGATGTCGTCCTCGACGGCAACACGAATCGTCGATGGAACGGGGGCGTGCACACGGAGCGTCTCGCGGACGACCATGTCGAGGTAGAACAGAGCGTTGAGCTCGTCCATTGTCGGGTTATCGGTACCGACAGCAAGGAGTTCGTTTCGCAATTTAGTTTGCACGTCGGGCCGCAGAGAAAGGGCATAGAGGGCCCAGGTCGTAGCAGTGCTGCACAAAACATCACTAACAAATTCGCGGAGGACGTCCTTTCACTAACCTCGTTGTTTCATGTCCAGCTACTAGGAACGTCGGCACCTCTGTAAGAGCAGCATTAAGTATCATCAAATAAGAAGTAACGCCCACGCTCACGAGCTACAACGTCCTCGTCCGTCATTCGCTGGCTCGGAGGCAAGTCTGTCGCCATATTCGCTCTAACCAGCAACGACAACAAATCCTTGCCCTTCCACGAGAATTTATCAACCTTGCCGTTTTCTGAATAAATGGCGGCTTTGCTGTCTCGCAGTAGTTCAGTTCCGATTCGATTCATGGTCTCGCTGGCGACTCTGATTTCGTCTCCTCTTTCCTCTGGCTGGAGTACCGGACGATTGAGTGAAAAGCTAGATGGAAGGAAGGAGACGTACTATGTATTTCAGAATTGGTCGTAACGCCGGAACCATGGTTTTGATCAGAGGCAGCAGAGCCATCCTGTTTCCAGGCGTGAAGAGGACTGAAAACGCTCGATTAAGTTCGTTCTTCTTGGGGTCCGTCGTCAACGCGTCGAACTTGTAGTCGAAGCCTGGAGGAAGCCGTCATTCCAATGAGGACATACAAGGAGAGTACAGACGCACCAGCTAGTCCAATTACATCCAACGTCATCCGACTCAACCACGAGAGCACATTGATTTTCTTGACTTCAGGCTTCTTGATTTCCGTGGCCCAGATATCTCGCAATTCGATGGATTTCTCGATGAATATTGAGGTCAATTCTCGCGTTTGTGCAGGACCAAAGGCAGGATTCTGATCATCTGAGTTGAGAAAGACTCGAGATGAATGACCCTGAAACACACCATAATCCTCCTCTACTGCCCGCAATTAGTCGCGTGTCTGATACGAAATATACGAAACATGCCTGCTGCCTATGCTTATCGCCCTCGACGACCAGAACACCGTTTCCCAAAATTCGACTGAGGTTATACCGAGCTGCTTCAGGCTTCTGATAGATCATGCTGTCCATGAGAATGTGATTCAGGGCTTTCGGGTCAGTGGTGTACAGACGGTTCATCTGCGCCACGGATGAGCAAACTCCATGCCGGTTAGTAAATACGGCCACTCACCCCAAAGAAAGCCTTGTACTTGAGTGTTGGACCATACTCCTCCACCCACTTCTCATGAAGCACCGAGTTCTCCTGTTAATACTCTCGTTCAGCGGGATCGGAGAGTGCGTTAGCCACCAACGTACGGCATCCGATATCTCCTTAATGTTGCCGTAAATGAAACTCGTGCTTGGAGGGCCGTAAAGGACGTGCAGAGGCGAAGTCCATTCCGCGTAGAGGAACATGAAGATCTTGAAGACGAAGTACGCAACTATGGTTGCTAGGAACGAAACCAAAAGCTCCTTGACAGCCATCGAGGCGGTTGTTCTACAAAGATCTTCGTGTCGGGATCGACTGGCTCAGACGGCTGAAATAAGTACTGTTCTAAAGTGCCTACGTGTTCACTGTGGGTTCACGAAGGTGACATAGCTGGTGGCAGGGAATGTGTAAGATGCCGAAGCTTTGCGTGTTCAATCCCGTCGGTTGTTCAAGAAGTCGTAACCGAGACGGCCAATGGCAATAGAGCCCTGATCCGAGACACCCGGGACGTGCCTGCGCCGTAGTGAGGATGTCGATGAACCCCGCGATGGGGGATGTAGCCTACACAGTCGGTGACTTCTGCGTTCTCGCGCTTGCCATGGGTCCAGCCTTCGAGAGTGAAAGTGCACCAAGAATCGGGTGTTTGAGACACAGCGAGGTGCTAATAACCATCAGATTCCAGAAAAGGTTTATGTAGGGTAACACGCACTGGAATATTTCTGCCTCGACTAAGACCGCCGTGCGTTCCGCCTCATGTTTGGGACGAATGGATTCTCACAAACAAAGACGCTTCCAGCGAGGTTTGAAGAATCGAATGCCTTTTGTGAGCTCGAAATCTGCAAAGCATGTGGGATCGTGGCGAGGGGTAAAAAGCAAGGAGCAACGGTTATCTGATATCTAAAAGACTAATATTATTACTAATAGCACGCAAACCCGCGAAGCCGTGTGCAATTCTCGTTTTGTTCTTTGCTCCAGCAGCCACACATATACGGTATACCATGCAAGCTTTGGCCTTTACAGAACAAGTATACAATACGCCTCCGGTAACCTAGAGCGTGTGGACGATCTTGCTACAAGACAAGTTCCCGACCGGCAACAGCCTCCGTGTTTGACATTCTCACCTTTTCTGGTTGGTTTACATCTGCCGGCGGCATGCTACCGCAAGTACCCTCGCGCGATCCTTTGTAACCGCTGGCCTCTCGAAATGACCTATCAACAACTAGCCGTTGGCTTTGCCGCCGCCTCTGTCGTATACGTCGCCTTCAAGGTCTCCCGCGTCATCTGGTATGAATGGACATCGCCCTTACACGCTCTTCATGGCCCTTCAAGCAAGAGCTTTCTATTCGGACACATGAAGCAGATACTGGAAGCAGTACGTTGGATGCAGTATATCATGCCCATGAACTCGATGACCTGACAACAATGAACAGGAGGACATGATCGAGCAGCAAAAGTGGATCGAAGAGTATGGATCGACATTCAAGTACAAAGGATTCGCCGGGGTGAATTTCTTTGCTAGCGCCTCCTGCCTCGGATGGCTGAAACGATGCTTGGGTCTTAGATGAATCGCCTCTATACAACCGACCCCAAGGCTTTGAACCATATTTTCGTGAACAACATGGTTTATCAGAAGCCTGATGCTGTTCGGCATAACCTGCGGATGATTCTTGGGAACGGGCTTGTGGTCGTTGAAGGAGAGAAGCACCGACAACAGGTATCCCCTGCCGATCTCCTCGTATTGTATGCCTCGAACTGAAAGTGTTACAGAGAAAGATCATGGTGCGCGCCGCGTCCCATATATGAACTATAGACTTCTGAAGTAGACAAGAACCCTGCATTTGGACCGGCGCAAATCCGGGAGATGGTTGGGATTTTCATTGAAAAGGGTGTCGAAGTATGCCGCTCATCTTGGAAGGGATATTTCACGCGTGCTCATCATTTGGTAGCTTCGAGACATCTTGCTTGAAGAAAGCAAGAAGCAAGATAACCATGGCCAGATTGATGCTCTGTATTGGTTAAGCAAAACGACACTTGATGTTATTGGGCTTGCAGGTATTTCTATCTCCACCGTTTCATTCAAAACATTCTCTTAGTCTTCTTTCCAGGATTTGACTATAAGTTCAACGCCTTGACGAGCGGACCCGAACATGACGAGTTGCATCAAGCATTCACTGTTATCTTTCGGTCAGGGAACCGGGTGTCTATCCGCCAGATTGTCAGAGGGTTGATTCCATGGACGCGGCCTATTTTAAAATACGTCCTCGTACGTGGCAGAATGTCGTCTTGTTCTTATTTTCATCTCACGGTAGTGACTGTAGCCTGATAAGCAAGACGAGGAATCCGACAAGGCTACGAAGACGATGACAAGGATCGGAAATGAGCTGCTGAAAGATAGCCGGGCAGCCCTTTCCCCCGAGAACGGGACAGCGGAGAAGGCCTCGTGGTATAGGAAGGATCTGCTATCTTTGCTGCTGAGAGCGAACATGGCCACGGATGTACCGGCTGCCCAGCGGATGTCAGATGACGATGTGGTTTCCCGTGAGTGTTGAGACTCGAGCCGCGAGCGCCAGACCATCTGACCTTGAAGCAGAGGTGCCGACATTCATGGTTGCTGGGCACGAGACGACGAGGTATGCCCATTCAATGTCCTGACTGTTGTTACTGCTTTGACCCACAACATAGTGTGGCGACGACATGGGCACTGTTTGAATTGACGCAACACCCCGAAATCCAGTCCAAGCTGCGTAACGAGCTCCTATCGGTGGAGACCGACAACCCCACCATGGAAGAACTGAACGCCTTGCCCTACCTCGATATGTTCGTCCGAGAAACCCTCCGACTGCATACACCCGTGCCATCGACAATTCGCGTCGCAGTTCAAGATGACATTCTTCCGCTTAGCGAGCCCGTGCACGGTACGAACGGACAGATGGTACATGAGATAAGGATTCGCAAGGGTCAAACGATGGCTATTCCCCTGTTGGCTGTCAATTCCCGAAAGGCGTTGTGGGGCGACGATGCTTCGGAGTTCCGGTACGACCCCTTACCTCTCCAACCTCTATCTATTTGAATTTTCCATTGATATCTACCCTTTTGATAGCCCAGAACGGTGGGAGCATACACCTAAGGCTGCGTCAGCCATTCCGGGTGTTTGGAGCAACCTCCTCACCTTCCTCGGTGGACCCCGTGCATGTATCGGATATCGCCTTTCTCTAGCTGAGTAGGTCCTCTTTCATAAACCTTGCGTAGTGCTTTCGTAACTTCCGATACGATAGGATGAAAGCACTTCTGTTTACGCTGGTTAGAGCCTTCGACTTCGAGTTGGCCGTCTCTCCTTCCGATTTAATGTCAGTTGGGAAGCGTCCTTCGCTTCGATCGGAGCCAGATTCTGCCGGCAATAAGATGCCGCTGAAGTTGAAGCCTGTTCAGCCCGGTTGAGAGCCAGCTGTTTCACAATCTCAGGTTATTTGTGGCTGTAGGGTCAATGGCTAGGTTATTTATGTTTTGCTCTACATGTGTCATTGTATGTATATTAGCTGTTATCTGTGTTAAATACGTCGGAAATGTATTTCCTCGTTCTGGACGGCGCAGACTTTGGCGCTCGGGAGATCTTGGCTGTTGGTGTGGCGCATATACCCCGGTTTTCCATTTTGGTTTGACCCGGGGACAAACTTGAACTTTATTGTTCCGAGACAATGGATTGGCTGGTTACATAAATGTGCCAATTCGAGTACCATGAAAAATCCGTAAAATCTGCCCTAATTTCATTGGGCCTGCACTAGGCCTTCTTGTTGGGGAGGGGATGAGTATTGAGGAGGCGGATCATGTGATGGCACAAATTCGACGCGTCGAGTCCCGAGTGGACATTCACTTGATCAATCCCCTCTCACTGTCCAACTGAAATCCTGGACGTTATATGCGCACCAGAAAATGATAACGCTGTGCGTACACAATGAGCTAGTCAAAAAGCAAGGCGACAAAGAGGCTCCAAACATAGAGCCTGGCCAATCTGCGGTCAAGCTCGATCCGAGAACCGGAGCGTTTACGAAACAAAGGCCTTAGCCAGTTGTCGTGAACTTGAAGAGCGCCAACATGGCAGATAGATTATGCACCATATGCTCACCAAAAATACGTGCGCCAAGCCCTTCGTATTCGAAACTTGCCGGGGGTTGACCTTATGTAGGTACGGGCTGGACGAGGCAAATGGTTTTCTACATAAATCAATTGCGCTCTCGAACTTCCTGACGCGTCTCAGACTCCAGGAGCGACCTCCTTGATTGAGTACTTCAGTGCCTATAGGGAGCCTCAATTCTTAGAGTTCGCTGTTCAGTTCGCTGTTCGCGAGTTCAATCCAAATTGGGAACAGTGCAACAATTTCTCAGCGTCGGCTATTCTTGGGCAGACCATGACAGTGTTGGGACTTTGTGCACTCCCTCTCTACCCAGAAATTTGCCCATGTCCACAGCGAGATTTTACGTCCAAATAGCTTTCAGAATGTCAAAAAATGGAGAAGAACAAAGGGGAAAGGGGAAAGTTAGAACCCTTGGTTCGTAGACTTCAACGTCGCACTGCCGGCCTGCCGAGCACCGCATTCCATTTTGGGATTTGTCCGAATCCGGATTGAACTCACGAACCGCGAACAGAATCGCGAACTCCAAGAATTGAGGCTCCCTTATGATTTTTAACTGAGGCACTCATGCATCTTCTTGCAGCACTCGTGCAACAGAAGACTACCAGGTACCATATGGCTGAGTGATGTGCCTTGACTAAGGCCGGCATATTGGTTTCACAATTTAACATTTCTAGGCCTTCCAAAGTGCTGATAAGCCTTCTGAAGGCGAAAGCTAGCCTGACAAACTGGCTTGGTCAGGCTTGGTCGTTGCAAACTTCTGAGAAATGTCGCCTCTTGATCAGTGCGATCATCGACTCGGAGACTCGAGAGTAATTCGCCTCCGTATGACTGATAATTGAACCTAGAGACAGGTTCATTGCATTGACATACTATTTGGGAGTCTCGTTTGCCTCGTCGCTACCACCAAAGTTTCTCCGAGTCTTCGAAGGCTGCCCTTTGAAGGACCCTGTCCGAAGGAACGCGGAACGGGTATCCATTTCGCTTCGTGTTCCGGTGATTTGTTTTCAAATTGGGAAGGCCGGGTTGCACGTGGCTCCGAAGCGGATGATGATGTCCGTATGTTTGGGTTCCTTTTGGCTGTTGACTCCGACATAGACCTGGCTCCGTGCCATGGACATGCCATTCACAGACTGTCTCTGACCAAATCCTCCACTCGCCACCCCCCACGACGCCGGCCGTCATGTCGACGCAGTCTCCTACACTCCTCCAGTGCCCCCCAATGCCTGGAGCGGGCTCATTTCGATCCCGTTCCTCAGGATCCAGCACCTCTTCATTATCTTCGACCTTCTCCGACATAACATCGTCCACGTCCGCGTCGTCGTCCTCGCCACCGACCTCGAAGACCAATGCTTTCTTTGCGACTCCATTTTCAACGCGCCCTCCATCTCCTGTAACAACTCCACTCGCCCCAACGTCCCAAAAAGCTCAGCCGCCCCGCTCACTAACGGCTGATTTTTTCTCGACACCCCTTCCCTCGCCATCTCCCCCTTCGCCCTCAATGCCGCCCGTCAAGCAAAACACGTTCAATCTCTCGCGGATCTTTCCTTCACGATATACATCTACGGCACACCGCAGTCCGGACCAGCTCCAATTCATGAACCTTGACGCCAACAACATTGAACGACGCACTCATGAGCGCAACTCGTCCTCGGGGTCGGAATCATCGTTTACCTCCTTCGTCGAGAACCGCTTGCCGACTCCTCCTCCTCCCTCCGCCGTAACACCTCGTCCTCCTCACAGACAGAACACGATAGTGCCCCGCTTGCAGAAAGAAGAAAATCTGGACCAGTCCACGCCGAAACCTCCAGATCACGAACCTGCCTTGCTTCATTTTGAGCGGAGTCTACTCCTCGCACCTCAGACACAACAGAGAGCGAAACCTGAACCTGAAGCCTTTCCGATGGAAGATGACAGGGACGACGAGGAACCTCAACCAGGTAGCCTGATACCGCTACCGACCTCCGATCCCCCCTCTCTACCCGTATCACCTCTCTCCATGACATTCACCGTCACTGCCCCGACTTCTAGCTCGCCTGACGATCGTAGCACACCTACTCCAACGAATGACGCCTCGATATCTGGTAAATCGATTGGCCATTTTCCTCTTAAAAATAACCTTATCTGGTCCTCTGCAGGCTTATTCAGCGAGAGGGAAAGCTCCGCGTCTGCCGCTTCTTCATCAACTTCTGAACCAACTGACTTGGAAACCCACCCAAATCCCACACCTGTTCCAACGTTGCGGCTCCAACGCTGCCTCGGTCATGGCGCGTTTTCGTCCGTATGGCTAGCGGAGGACCTTAGCCCTGTACCTCTCACTCTCGTGTCGAAGAGAAGCGTCAGGGATTTGCGAAGAAGGGCCAGTGGACGCGACCGTGAAAGAGACTCGGAAGCATTGCGAGAACGAGTCATCCCGGTGTCAGAAACACCAGCGGCCACCCAGCCAAGCAGTGCGGAGACCAAACCAGATAAGCGTCCTCCGAGTCGGTTACGCGAGGGTTTGAGGAGCATTCTCGCCTTATCTCCTGTATCGATACCCCTCCTTTCGACGTCGCCTTCCAACAATGATAGCCACCTTTCCCGCAACTCGAGCATCAAGTCATCCCCATCGGCCGACATTGTTGCGTTATCTCGCAACTCGAGTATCCGGTCTCTGCCGTCGATTGCCGGCGACCTTTCGCGCAACTCTAGTTTGCGTTCGAATCCTCCGTCTAGAAATTCCAGCGTTAGATTACCTCTGTCCCAAGATACGACGTTATCCCGAGATTCGAGTATGAAGAAGTTCCGAGAACGCGTTCGAGGAACACGGCCTGCGTTTAGACTGGGACGGGCATATCTAGACGAGCGAGACGGAGAGATGGGAGAGCCGCGAGATTCAGAGGAGTCTAGGAAGGGGTCGGAGGATGGTCTGAGCGTCCCAGATGTTGGTCTTACAGCGAGTTTGTCGAGGCAGTCCAGCTTGAACAGAAAGGGCTACGGTAGGCTGGTAGCCGTGAAGATGACACCACGGAAAGTTAAAGGTGCCCGTGCACGAGAGAAAGAAGAAGAGGAGCGCACAAGAGTGGGGTTCGTTCGAGAAGTCGAAGTGTTGAAGGTCAGTGTTTCTTACATGCTGGAGGCTTCGGCTGGATGTGAGTCTGTGGTGCGAGCAAACGTCCACATTTTTATATAAACGGGTATGCCTCGCCCTGGGCGGGTATGCCTTGCCGACCACGTTCAACCCGTCCCCTCTGTGATGACGGTAACGGGGGTGGTTCAGATAGGCTTGGCGGGTGGTTGACGTTACGGTGTCAGGCATTCCGCCTCTTCCACGACACACCGATTAAACGTGTTCTGACCCATCGTTTTCGCACAGCACATCTCGCACCCTAACATCACCCCGTTACTTGCTCACCTGTCGACGTCTGGCCACCACATCCTCGTTTTGCCGTATCTTCCTGGCGGTGATCTCCTGGGCTTGGTCAACGGCGACGTTGCTTGGGGAAAGCTTGGTGAGCTCCTGGCGTTTTCTTGTTTTATGTAATGACTTCATACTTACATCCCTTACAGGCGAGTCAGTCTTGAGAAGAATATGGTGTGAATTGTGCAAGGCTGTTGGGTGGATGCATGGTGTTGGGCTGGTTCATCGGGACGTCAAGCTTGAGAGTCAGTGTCGCTATTAATCTTGCCTGTATTCGATCACTTACTGTAAACCCTCTAGACATCCTCCTGACCACTCCGGCGTTCACTTCCTTGGCTGAAACGTCGCCCAGGCCAACCCTGGCTTGCCTTCCTCCACCCCCAGCGCCGCTCATCAAGTTGACTGACTTCGGCCTGTCACGCTTCGTCGAGATCGATGCCAACGGCGATGCAGAGCTGCTGTCAACAAGGTGCGGCAGTGAGGCTTATGCTGCACCGGAGCTCGTAACCGGCGGCCGTGCTGGGTACGATGCTCGCAAGACGGATGCTTGGGCTTGTGGAGTCGTCCTATATGCGCTTGTCGAACGACGCCTACCGTTTGGCGAAGGTGTCAGCGCCGATGGTGAAGTGAAGGCCAAGATCGGTGGCGAGCGTGGTGTGGGTTATCATGGGGGTCACACGAGTCTCACAGAAAGGAGGCATTGGCTCATGCGCATCGCGCGCGGCGAATGGACTTGGCCCAACGATGACGCTGATATTGTGGACGAGACACCACCAGCCAACGAGGCCAACCGCCACATGGAAGAGGATGAAGAAGAGCTCGTTGGCCCTCGTCTGGCGAAGAGTCAAGGTGCTCGGCGAATTGTCAATCGCCTTCTAGTCCGGGATACGAGGAAGAGGGCCCGGATCGGTGACCTGTGGGATGACCCTTGGATGAACGGGGCTGAAGAGGAGCAGTGCAAGGCGAATGAGATGCTGCATGAATACGAACACTATGGGTTGCGCGGAAGCGATGGGACCGACGATGTCTCGCATCGAGACAGCCAAGAGTGGTCCTTCGACGATGAGGACGAATTCGGCGGCGATGTGAGGTTCTATGGCGGATGCACGGCTGTACCGCTAGACGATGAAGATCACGATGAGGAGGAGGAAGAGGAGGAAGGAGGCTGTTTGCTCGATCATGAAGGCATCGACAGCATCACCCGCCAGGAGGTCATCTGAACGTGTGCCATACCGGAACCTCTTGGGAGACACCTTGGTTGGCCTTGGAAACTCGCTATACGCCATTCGAGCTTGTTCTCCGTTGCAGGGCTTTTTGATGGCCATTTTTGCTCTTCGCGTGCCTGTCGCTCTGGATGACGCGCTTCGGACCGAAGTTCACGCATAACCGTTTTCGGCCTCGCTTTCCTTGGCCCGATTTATCTGCCTCCGCATGCCTTTCGCCTCGGCCTCTTTCTTATTGTCTTCTGTTCGTTCAATGTTGGCCTTAACCCCTTCCTCCTCGTCTTTTTTTTTTGCTCAACCCTCAAGAGTTCATCGCGCCCATACTTTTGAGTTCCGTTATCACTCTTCCATCGCCTTCTTGCTCCACCACCTTATTTATTTTATATATCATATTCCAAGTGTACTCCTGTGCGCTTGTACTTCTAGTGTCATCATCCCACCTCCAGCCGTCGAAGCACGAAATTCTGTCTTTGTGTCATTACATACATACAATTTTATCTATATTTCTGTTCCCATTTTTCATGGTTTTTCACGCGTTTGGGCTTTCGAGGTGCAGATATCGTACAAATTTGTCTCTTTTGTTAGTTCTGGTTGTAGGAAGGTAGCGTGGTCGTGGTTTTAGAAAATGGTTTTTTAGCATTCGTAATAAAAGCATGTTGTAGAACAGAGCTCGCCTGCGCAATCTATCAGGAAATTATCCTCTGCACTGCGGCACGTGTGAGGCCACCGACGTGAAATATGTACGTACTTCACCTCCGTGGATGTCGTGCCCGGTCCCGACCCTCCTAAAACCACGCGCAGATTACTGGCGGCGCGTTGCGCGTCTTTCCCACATTCATAATAGCCTCCCTCATGGCCGCGCTTATAGCTTAAATTGTTTCAAGAGCGACACGTCGGCCACGGCTGGGCAACTATTTCTTTTGTTCTGCGAATTCTAACTAGTTGGATTTCATTCATTTGAACTCCACCAAGTTGTGGACGAATATCGGCTCTCCTGACTCCCCTAAAGAGGAAGCAATATGAGGTTCTTATTGTTTGTCTTTCGGCGTCTACGGGTTAATGCGAATAGCATGTGGTGACGTCTCGGTGTCTCACTAACAAAGCTAGTCGACCCTGTCGGCAAGACCATCATTCTAATTTCCCGGCTCTAAATGTCGGCGGGTCCAAGCGGTCGTCCTCATTAAAATTACAGCCGAAGCACATAAAAAGGTCCAGGAAATGCAGCGGTGACTTCCCAATTCTCCTCCCTTTTCAGCTCAAGCCTAGCTTCGGAGGTCACTCCCTCATTTCTTCTTGTCTGTATTCTTAAGCGCCCTTAATCCCTTAATATGTCCGCCACCAAAGTCTACCTCGTCACTGGCGCCAACCGCGGTATCGGTAAGTTAGGCGACTCGAGCTTCGTCAGGGATTTTTGGCTGATCTTCTTCTCGCCGCAGGCTTGGGTCTTGTGCATGAGCTTGCGACGAGACATAAGGACGTCGTCGTTTATGCCGGCGTCCGGGATACCGCAAACGCGAGCTCGCTACAGGAGCTTTCAACTAAGTTCCCCGGCAAGATAGAGATCGTACCATTTGTTGCGGGCGACGAGGCTATCAACCAAGCGCTTGCGAAGACCATCCAAGACAGGCATGGGTATTTGGACGTCGTCATCGGCAATGCTGGTGGGTAGCCTCATTTTCTTGCTTCAGGCACTTGTTAGGAGCGCACACTCACGCCCACCTCCTTCCTATTAGGGACAATCGAGTACATGGGAAACGCTGATGAGACGCCCATCGACATCTTCCGGAAACACCTGGAGGTTCGTTCTTTTCTTTAGGATTCGCTTTGGTTTTGCAACTCAATTTTATGAAAGGTCAACACCACGGGTGTCCTCGTGCTTTTCCAAGCCCTCGCTTCTCTACTCAAGGCCAGCAAGTCTACGCCCAAGTTCATCCCGATTTCCTCGGGTGCAGGAAGCCTAACGGCACTCATCCATGCGCCGCTTGGTTTCACCGCTTATGGAGCTTCCAAAGCCGCGATGAACTTCCTGACGCGCAAGATTCACTACGAAAATGAATGGCTGGGTAAGGAACTCATTATTCCCTTCGCCTCGCGCTTGCATTGATCCATCGTGTACTTCATCTAGTGGCTTTCCCCCTCGCACCAGGCCTCGTGAACACAGATATGGGTCAGCTTTATCTCTGCTAGTAAAGTTTCTGAGGCTCTGACATCCGCTTCTTGTTCTCCAGGCTCCAAGGTCCGAGTAATGGACAAAACGGGTATTATGGCCAACCTACAAGATGAGATGATGATGTCGGTCGAAGAAGCCTCGGTCGCGCTCGTCAACCTCGTCGATAATTCAACGCGCGAGAAGCAAGGTGGAGAATTCCTCAAAGTCGACGGTGAAACTGTCCCTTGGTAAATGTTGACTTCGAGCTTGATCATTTTCGTGTACCACGTTCCACTCTTCGGCTTCTCCATCACTGCATCCGCATTTTTATTACAGTACAATTAGTTAGTATCGCATAGCATACTGTAGCTCTTCTAAATGGGCTTTCCTACGATAGTAAATGATAATCGTCGTATCATCTTTGGTGTCATTTGCGCACCTTTTCTACTTCTGCGATAATGAGATAATGCACCTTGGGAAAGTAGTTAAGTCATAACCGCTTTCTTCGGAATTCCTCAGCGCTCACAACGAAGCATGCCGTCATCATTAGAAGTCTTGCTCAGCAAAGCTGGCGTGGCGCTATAAGACGAGCGAACTAGGGAGGGCACGTTGGTGTTTCATCACCCTCTAGAAGGCATGGGTCATCGTTCTCCAGGCTCGAACAGCGGGAAATATCCCTGTACTATGTATGACCGTCCCAAGGCATATTATTTGTAACGCCGGTGCTAATCGTGGAGTTGGTCCGCCGCCAATCCACCGCTCATATCTCCATGACAGTTTCTTCTGATGAATCCGCTAATTATTTTCCATAGGCATAGGATTGGCGCTCGTCAAAGAAATTCTTGAAATGGTATGAGCACATAGACGTCTACGTATACCTACCCGTACGAGAAATTTCGGCGCCAAAGATGTGAGAAATTTCGGTCAAATATGCTTGCCAAAGAGATATCGTTTGGTCCGTCGCCGCAGATGAAGAACATGAAGAAGTCAACGATGGTTCTATGGTGATGTTCAACAGTCGACAGTCAGATGACTCAGAAAATCAATGCCGAAGTTTGTGCGCGTTTCATCCGCTGCGGAAAGTATGAAGGAAGACCCCGCCGCTTCTGAAGTATATAACTAGGATTCATACTATCGAAAATGATGGGTTCGATGCGTGATTCGTAATTTCTATGAATCCGTCCTCGGCTGCTTTCCCAGCGCATTTATTCTGGGGCTCCTGCGCCTGGACTGTAACGATTTACCTTGACTCTGAGTTTAATTCGCATCATCGCTTGGGGAGGGGCAGGCCGCCGGCAGCTTCGCCATTCCAAGGGGTTTCAGAATTGGGATGAGTTTCGCTTAATTTCTAATACAGCTGTGAAGGTGGTGAGCTCAACCTCGACGCAACTGGCACACTTAGGGTTCTTCAATTATACCTGCGACATCTGAGCTAGTTAGGACTCCGCTCAACAAAAAAAAAACATCAATATTTCTCGAAGGCAGACAGCGCGTGAAGCTTCCTTGGTGATCAACGCAACATCCATTTTTCAAACGCTGGGCGTTATGCGCCATTTTTCCTGTTTCATTTTCAGTTGTCACCGAATAATGTCCGAACAAGTAGCATTTGTATTCCCTGAATACTCTACGATATGACTCACGTAATTAAGGCGCGTTGAGTCACAAACGCGTTATATCACGTGATACGGATCTCTTGATTTGGCCATCAAATAGCAGCCGATGCTTCTTCAACTTGCACTGAACCCTCCATTCTTATTTCCCAACGACCACCATCATGCATCGTCGCTCAACACGATTAAAGGACGCTCCAGCCAACATAGACGAGGACCAAGATGAAGACAATATCCAGGATGAAGAGTTTCAATTCGTTGAGGAGGATCCTGAGCAAGAAAAGAAACCACAGGGCAGGAAACGAAAGCCTCCCCAGAGCAAGAAAGTGAGCAACGACGAGCCGCAACCAGCTAAGAAACCGAGACGAATGCGTGGTCTCCTCAAGGATATGGTGGACATGCCCATGGATATTCTTTACGAGGTAGATGCCGCGACGCCACAAATACTGGCACCGACCCCTGACTCCTCCTAGATATTTGGACAGCTCAACCCCATCGACCTCCTGCATCTCGCTCGGACGACCAAGGCTCTGCGCGGCATTCTCATGAGCCGTTCCTCAATGTCCGTATGGAAGGAAGCTCGTTCGAACGTCACCGGACTCCCCGACTGCCCCGACGATCTGAGTGAGCCACAGTATGCTGAGCTGGCGATGGGAAAATGCTGCTATGTGCGTTGCTTCCTCTTTTAAGTAGATTCATCTAATAGCGGAGCGCGTAGGACTGCCAGCGCAACCTGAGCACCCACCATATCGTGTGGTCCGGACGAGTTCGTTATTGCACGAAGTGTCTCGAGAAACGGTAGCTTTTTTTTGTCTGTTTTACGCTCGACGGCTTCTGAAATGACACTTTCGTAGCTTTGTTCCCAAGGAGAACTCGTTTCCGTATTCACGCGGGTACCCAGAGGAACTAGCCCGCTTGCTTCCCAGTGTCGTGGTTAGCAAGAGACAAGGTTTGTTCACTTTCGATCAGGTGGCAATTATTAATGCTCATGAGCACTCGCAAAGGTGGCTATACTCGCAAGAAAGACATGTTCTCCCTACCAACTGACAGGCGCTGGCGTGAGGAATATGCTGCCTTGAAGAGCGCTGAAGAGAAGTCAAAGTGGTTGAAGGAAAGAGTAAACGAGCGGAGGCCTATGGTGAAAGTAAGTTTATATTCGCAATTGTTCCGGCTCTCAATCTCATCCTTTTTTTCAGCATGCCGAGGAGTGCGCAGTCTGGTACTCCCGACTCTTGCAAAATCGCGAAGCCGAAAAGGCTTCTATAATTGAAGAACGCAAGGCTCTGTATGTCGCTTGCTATTTGTGCTTTCTTCATGAGTACATATCTCATTATTATTTAAGTGTCGTGGAGCACCTAAAGAAAATGGGGTGGCAGGAAGAGCTCGACCTCAGGTCCTCCATACACGATCCACCGCAAGAGGACCCCGTCGTCGTTAAGGCCTGCCAAAAGGAAATAAATGAACGCGGTATGCCATTGTCTGTCCCAAAATTCGACGAGATCTGATTTTTTATGTCGCAGTGCTTGCAAGTTTAGAGGACCATTTGAATGAAATCATGGAGAGCCTCAAGGAGAAACGCATTGCTCGTGAGAAGAAAGTCCTGTATCAAGATCGCTTGACTCTGTTGAAGAGGGTGTACGAGGTCTACGTGGAAACCCTCCCAGTCAACTCAGTTCATCCCAACACGGCGGATTTGTTCAGCAACCCTGTCGTCCGCGACATCGTCCTCAGCGATCCTCGTAGCGCGGAGTTCACGGAAGACAACCTAGAAGTTGTTCAACAATCGTTTGAGCAACTCGTTGCACAGTGGCGAAAAGATGTGGACACCATGTTGATCGACCTCATCAAGAAATCATGCCCAGAATATGAATTCGACCCCGCCACAGTTCTCCATCTAGCTACATCCATTTTCTCCTGCAATGGATGCTCCCACCATGGTGAATACACCAGGCACAGTTCCAGCATGTCGCCTAGTGTAGCTCTCGCGCACAGGTGCGCCAGACAGATGGGTTATAGCTATGATGACTCTGTCGACCCCGAAACGCGAGCAGCGCAGGCCGCAATTAGTCAAGTTACGTGGAACTTTACCAAGAGGATATTTTTCGATGCGAAGACCCTGCCTGTGATGACCCACCTGGTTGAGTTGTGCGGACTCGACGCAGCGCGGGCAACTGCCAAAGAGCTTGACGAGCTTGATCCCATCTTCGAATGTCTTACATGCAACAATCCTCGCACAGGACGCGCGACGATTCGCTGGTCCTACGCTGTGAGTTCCGGCTTCGTTCTGGTTCAGATCCATTGCTGACACCTCTTTTATGTTGGTATTGCGTCAAGATGGTCCACATCAACGATGACCATGGCAAGTATGGATCAGCCCAGGGCAAGGAACCCGAATGGGTCTTACTTGATGGCCATGAAGCCACCCTCGTTAGAGAGCGCATGCAAGAGAACCAAGAGCGAGCTCGGGCACAGCCCAATGCTGACGTTATGATATGCCGCCACTGCAAGAGGAAGAGCAACAGTGTGGATCTTCCAAAGCATATTAAGGCCAAGTACGTCTCTTTACATCAGGTCTCTGTATATTGGAGCGCTGATTGGAGGTCATATTTTACCAGCCACCAGCGGTCAGAGGTAACAGATGAGGACTTTGTCGTGGACATGCTTGAGAAGCCTATCTCCTTGTACCGTCTGTGGCCCCCTCGGCCTGAGAAGGAGAATCCCCCGCCTGTCGAGACCGCGATGGATACGAATTGATTTGTGCGGCAACTGTATGCTGATGTGCATTCTACTCTTTGTTTGGATTATTAATATGAGCTTGAAGGACCATGGAGTGTCACATGTCTTGACCTAAGTTCGCATGTTGTTTATGCTTCATGTCCTATTACTATTAGCATAAGAGGTTGTCCTTCATCATCCTTTTAAAACAGTGAATATCAACGTCATTACTTGTTGTTCATGATCAGATTCCAGATGTTCTGCATTAGTAGATGGTTGACACGACGCGATCGTGTCACATGATGCGACGTGCTTTCTGTGATGACTCGTGTTTCGGGCAGGAGCGTGACAAATTACCCGAACGTGAATGTTAACGATTAACGTTTTAACCACCAACGGTCGAGCGTCAAAAGTTACGCTCTCGTATCTGCGTCTGCATTCGGAATGAATCGGAAGAACAGAAAGCACATGTTTCCAAGTCAACGGCTTTCTCTCGACCCTCTTCTCTCTTCCACTCCTGCGACGACATCGACACCAAACATTTGAACCTCAACTAAAATGAACCTAATTAACTAGGGCAATGCAAAGAAGACTTCTGGTCCCAAGCGCCCCATATCCTCTATATTTGGAGGCAATATATCCCTCAAAATTGACTATCAACCCACAAAAAAACTTCGAGGCAATCGCGGATTACTTAAACTTCTCCTTGACCAACCACTCGACGTCCTTCTTGAGGCTCGCACTCTTCTCCATTGTCGATTTTGAAACACACCATGACCTCTTTCTTTCTCTAGGTCTTTGGACAACTCGAGCCGATGGATATCCTTAATCTGGCGCGAACAAACAAGGACTTACGTGCGATGCTCATGAACCGATCGTCAATTCTTATCTGGCAGCGAGCTAGGGCCAATCTTGAACCACCTGTGCCCGATTGTCCGAATGATCTGAGCGAACCTCAATATGCCCACCTGATGTTTGGGAAAGGGTGCCATGTAAGCCTTGGACCACATTCGGTTCTGCCTGTGACCGACGCTTTCAGTGGTTACCAGTATTGTTTACGCAATCTTTCAAAAACCATCCATAAAGTGGAGTACGCTCGAGTAAAGTGTTGCACGAGGTGTCTGGACGAACAGTCGGTTGAACTCTTAAGTGCCATTAGTGGGGATTAACCTGAGTTCTACAGCTTCATGGTAGTTGCCAGTCCACAGACAATCCCAGGTGACTACGACTGCCTCCTGAAAGAACGTCTCCCCGTCATTGAAGTAGGGTCTGGTACGTCTATGTTGATATAACTACAAAGACATCTGTTGACGCACTTCCTACAGGTAAGAAGGAGAGGACTTATGCCTTCCGGAGCTTGCACGAGAAATGGAGCGAGACACACAACACCTTCCAAAGCCATGAAGAGAAATTAGAATGGGTTGCTAAGGAGCACAGGGCACGGATTGAAATTGAACATGTAAGTTCTTCCCGTTGATCGCTGGCTACGCTCACCTCCGTCCCCTCCAGCATGCTAGGGAGTGCGAGCAATGGCTTGAACGCTACACAACCCGTAAAGAGACCGAACACAGAGAGATAGTACGAAAGCGAAAAGCTGTGTGCGTTTCAGTCAACACCAATGCGTGTCTTCTACTGAGCCATATCATAGCTTCATGGCCCGTCTCGAGAAGTCCAAATGGGGACCAGAACTCAAAATCAACGATTGCAAACCTGACGAACACTGGTCCGTTGTGCACGCTTGTCAGAGAGAACTGACAGAGAAAGGAGATCGGTAGTTTGCCAATTCCTACCCAAAGCTAACAATTGTGTCCTCGACGTAGTTCTAAAAAAGCTTGATAAGGAGTTCGATCAGTTTATGGTTTCTGCCAAGAAGACACGTCTATTCGAAGAGAAGAAGAAGGTCATCAAGAAACGCATGCCCATCTTGAAACGCTCATACGATATATGGGTGTCTACCCTTCCAGCAAATGCTGTATGTCCTCCGTTGAGCGAAGTCTTTCGGACACCTTTTGTCCAAGAAATGTTCTATTCGACACCGGCTACTGCAGGAGAGACCGACGATTTTTTACCCTCTATCTCTGCCTCGGCCGACGCGGTTATCCAGCAATGGCTAGAGAAAGGCATAGCTGATCTCATCAAGATTCCCGAGGAGAAAATCATTCCATTTTCACTTATCAAAGATATCTCGAGCACCACTCAGTCTGAAGCTTTTCCTGTGGCCGCTTTGGAACTTGCGACTACGTCCTTCGTCTGTAATAATTCAGAATGTGGCCCTCTTCAATACCCTCGTGTGTTGATGCACACCTGCCCTGCGAGCAGCAAACCTTCCCAGTTCGACGATCGGGATGAGAAAGTGGTGTTTGAATTGACCGGCCAAACCTATTGGAATACTGGACGTTCCATCAGAATCGTTCGCGACTCGAAGACGATCGTGGAGATCGTGAAACTGTGTGGCTACGATCCGAGGACCACAACAGCGAAGGAGATGGACGAGGCGAATCCGATCCTCATATGCATCAAGTGCAACGACAAGAGCGGAAGGGCAACGATGACCTGGAGGACAGTCGTGAGTTGCGCGTGTCCATCCACTACCCGCCCACTCACGCCTCGACAACGTGCATCTAGATCACTCATAGCGAGTTTCACTGGAAAATATTTGCCTCCAAATTTGTCCGCGACGAAAATGGTTTTGAAGGTTCTCGACGAAGCTGACACTCAGAAAGCGCAGCTCATGATAGCAGAAGCCCAAGAGCGCAAACTTTGGGAGGCAAAGGACGGCAACTAAATGATCTGCATACATTGCAAGAAGATGGGGACTATGAGACATCTTGGCGAGCCTGTCAAAGAAGTGTAAATCTTATCCTGTCTACATTCCATGTCCCGACCAGTTCTCTAACCATAACTTTCAGACATAAGAAGCCACACTATTCAAGGGAGGACGTGGTTATCAACCTGAATGAAGAGCAGCCTCCCCCGATCTACCGTCTGTGGCCCCCAAGAGAGCTACTCGGCTCTCGTAATGGAGAGAAGGTCGTTTGTATTTGAAAGCAATGTACATCTTGCTTAAATAAACATGTTTCTCTTTCCATTGGCTGTTTTTTTTTTCCTTTTTGGGGAAGTGCCTATGCACGTGGTCGCGACGCGTTCTGAATATGTGACTCCTGAGTCACAACGCGCGGACGCGCCACATTGGGCCTAGGGTATTGGCTTTACAGTGCTCCGCCTATTATTAATATTGGCATCCCTCTTGCCTACTTCCCGCTCCCTTTGAAGCAGTAAAGTCCTCCACACAGTATTACTCTTCAAGATCATGATGATAGAAGACGGTGACAGTCTCAGAAGCAGAGGCGAGAGACCGCAGGAAAGCCGAAGCAACAAGGCAGATTCTGTAGAACGGAACGCTGGCATGCAGGTTAGTTCTCCGAGCAGTTCCACTGCGGAAGCAGATAGCTCTGCCAGCGACACGAAGCAGGAAGATGATCGTCAGGTTGCTCATGCGCTTCTTGTCGGGAAACGAAAGATTTCCTCGAACGCTGGCAACCCACGACCATTCAAACGCCCTCGTGGAATGCGTGGTCTGCTGCAGCAGTTACCAGAGATGCCCCTGGATGTGGTGTACGAAGTACGTATCCTTTTGTTTTGTGAAGTTCGTCACCATTGTTAACTTCATTCAGATATTCAGTCAACTGAACCCCTTGGACATCTTGAACCTCTCTCGCACCACTAAGGAACTGCGCAAAATGCTTCTGAGTCAAACTTCGATATTCATCTGGAGACGTTCTCGAGAGAATATCGAGAGCCTTCCGGAATGCCCCAAAGACCTCAGTGAGCCCCAATATGCCGACCTGGTTTTTGGCCGCAACTGCAATGTAAGCAATCGCCTTTATGATAACTATGTCGTTGTTGAAACCCAAATATCTAATAGTATTGCCTGCGAAACCTGCACAAACTCCATGTAATTTGGGATGCCGGAGTAAAATGCTGCAAGCCATGTGTACCCAAAGAGTGCTGTGCTGTTCTGTTTTCGATCTACGAGCAGGCACACTGACACACCAATACCTATAGATTCATACCCCGAGCTGACGGGTGGACGGCCACTCAAGCTTATCCACGAGAACTCGCGATATTTTTACCGAAGGTTGGCATCGTTCAAGGTGCGTCCAGGTATATGCAATGAGTGCAGGGCCTTATTCTGTGTTAGGTCGCCGTAGTCGAGAATATGGCCTCCGAACGCTTCACGAAGCATGGCGCGAAAAAATGGCCTCTTTGACAGATGAAGAGGCAAGACAGTGTTGGCTGCAAGCCGAGATCCGGAAACGTCGCAAGATGCATCTAGTTGGTGTTCCGTGTACTCGATATCTTCATGCTTTGAAACATGGCATAGGACACTGCCAAATGTCAAGAATGGCTCGATGGGTACAAGGCTGGGCAACAAGAGCAAAAAGAAGAACAGATCAAGAAACGGAAAGCTATGTATGTTACAGGTCAATGCAATATTGAAGAAGCTAACTCAGGCTCCAGCATCTTGGAGAGACTTCGTAACTCAGATTGGGGAGAAGAACTTGCATTAAATAGGGGTTGCAAGCCGTTGGAATTGCCTGCGGTTATTAAGGTCTGCCAGAAAGAATTGACGGAGAGAAGTAAGTCCTGTTAAAATCCTTTCTCGCATCTTTGACTTCAATCTGTAGTCCTTTTGAATTTGGATGAACATCTAAATGAATTCATGAAGGAAGCCCAGGATAAACGTTTGTTTCAGGAGCGAGCTAAAGTTATGAAGGCGCGTCTTCCGATCCTGAAGCAAGAGCATACTACTTGGATTTCGAAATTCCCCCCCAATGCAATATACCCGCCACTGAGCGAGGTCTATCGTTTCCGTGAAATACAGGATATTTTTTTCAAGGACCTTCCAGGCGACTGTCCAGAGAACTATTTCGCCGCTCTGAATACTTCGTCAAAGCACTTTTTACAACTCTGGGACGAGAATGTTCGAGCGCAGCTCATTCGACTCGTCAAAGAAGCAAACCTTGTTGACTATAACTTTGATCCCGCCACCGTCCTGAACCTAGCGACAACTTTCTTTACTTGCGGTCAAAACAATGTCCCTCTAGGGTATCCTCGTATCGCGATGCACCGTGGCGCTACTGTTTCTGGCGGTTATTCGAATTCTCTGTTTCGTGATGAACGAGTGCTCGGCGAGACGATTGGACAGGTTTATTGGAACCAATTTCATCAAATATCTTTCGCGAAGGATGTGTTCGAGATCGTGACGGCTCTAATCCGCCTGTGCAGCTATGACCCGACCGTAATCACGGCACAAGAGCTCAATGAAGCGAATCCCATCTTCGAGTGTACTGCCTGCAGCGATGATGATGGTCGCGCTGCAATGACCTGGTGTGCAGTTGTGAGTGTCACATTCGTAATCGGACCAGTTATGGGCCTAACCTCTTCTATTTCCCGTAGATTGCCCACCAAAGGTCGAGCCATCCTGGTTCAAAAACAGATACTTCAAAGCTGCATTTATTGGGTGAAGAAGACACCATTAAGGCTCGCCAAGGAATAGCCGAACTGCAAGAGCGGAACCTGTGGAAGGAAAAGTGGACGGAAAACCTAACATGTGTTCACTGTAAGGAAACTGGAAACATGAAGAAATTGATGAAGCATGTTCAAGATGCGTACGTCTTTTGTCCTTTTGCTTGTATTTGTCTCTCAGTTCAGACCTCTGGCCGTTTTAGGCATGGCAAACCCGTCCTTTCCAAGGAAGACTTCGTCCCTAACTTCGACCACGATCATACCCCTCCTCTATATCGCCTGTGGCCACCAAGAGAGCTATTACACTGCAATGCACCAGCTACGGACACGAGAGAATCCAACCCTGAATGATCTTCCACTACTAACTTGTGAAAACGAAATGATTGACGGCATGTACATAAACGCTGCGGATTATAATAAGCCATCTGTACCTCCTACTTTCACTGGGCTAAATGCCCAACGGGCGGTGCATCCTGCCCGTTGAACGTGAACCTCCACAACACCGCCCCGAGCACGTTAATATTACTCCAAACAGAGCCACTTACAGGAATATTGTGATTGCCAAGCAAAAACTGGAGAGTCCTGGCCTATCCACAATCATGCACCATACAAGCAGCCTGCAACAACTAGATCGCCATCTTTCTTCCCGCTCCCACCACCATGCAGAACGCACCGGAGGCATTTGTTCTCTTCACGTTTCCTAATGCCTCTCTTACAGTCGCTGCTGCCACCCAGACGGGCCCTCTCAGCTTGGAATGCGTAACTGTGCCGAATCCGGAATCAGGGAACACCCAGGACCGGGAAGTCTACCTTGTTCTGCGACTGAACGCGACGGAGACTGTTATCGATCCAGCAAGAGTGGTCAAACGCACAGATGGATCTGGGTTCCGGTCGTACACCTTCACTCCAACGCCGGGAGATCCAACAGAGCTTTTCCTGATGCTCCAACTCGACAGCTCAAACGGTGAGCTCGTGGACAAGGTCGACACTTTCGAGAACATCTTGGACCAATATGTCGCTGAATTCCAAGGACTGCCAGCACGCTCATCGCCAATCCTTCCTCCAGCCCAGACAGCGGGCCTTGGTGTCACTCGGGGGAACAAAGATCTTCGAGGGCATCTTGTGATGATCAACGAGGAAACTGGAGAGGTCATTGGGGAGGTTGAGGATAGATTCAGGATCAGAGAGGATCCGATTATGAACGAGAAAGGGCACGAAAACGATCCAGTTATAATCGAGGTTCCTGAAGAAACGACCCGGGAATCCGATGCGAATGCCTTAGAGGTATTCGCTCGTGTTGTCCCGCCTGATCAGCAGAATTGGATGACGAAGTCAGCCACCATCGCTAGGTATGTCTTTAGCTCTCGGGACGGCATCAAGGAATGCTGATCTATCTTGTCTAATAGCCATGCCATCTCGATGAGTACAAATCTACTCTTGACGACAATCACAACTGCCTCGTCGTTTTACATCTCGCATTCGCAACCTTCTCCTCATCATTCGACTGCTGGCACTCCAACTCGAGCTACTAGTCCTGGTGCACCACCTCCTCTTCCACCTCGCGCCTTGGTCTTCCTGACATCCGAGAAGACCCGTAAAGGTCTCTCGACTGTACACACTATGACTGGCGAAGCTGTCAAAATATCATCTAAGACAGTTGGGGTCATTGACAACCTGATTCGTCGTGCCATGGGTGCGAAGACTAAGCGCACAAAATACTTTACCACTGGTGTTCCGGCTTCAGGAAAGGCTCCAATGCCCGGGTTGCTGAGTCCAAACCCAACCGGTCCTCCACTGCCCCCTCGCTCCAAATCACCTTCACCATCTCCAACATCTCTTTCACCTTCTTACTCTATAGGTAGCGAGAAGCCCCCTTTCCCACGACGCTCAACTTCTCCTGTCCCGCCTCCTCTTCCGCCTCGCTCCCCAACAGCTCCTGTTGAAGGGTCTGCCGCGTACCCTCAGCCTCGTCTGACTACGAAGGACCGCTTATTAATCTCGGCGGACCTTATCCTATCCACCATCGATGACTCGACGCGGCGTCTGCTTGATACTGGTACTGAGCAACTTGGGAGGGTCGTTGGCCATAAGTACGTTGTATTTCGCTCCATGCGTCGATTTCCGTACACTGATGATTCTTTTCCTTCCCAGATATGGTGCTGAAGCAGCGCAGTCTTCTTTGCTTATGGCAGGGACAGCAAGGAATGTGGGCCTTGTTTATGTTGATATGCGGGGCATCGGGCGTCGTGCACTCTTGAAGCGCACTGCTCATACATTCGTCAAAGCTCGTGTCTCCAGCAATAAGCCTGCATATAACCCAAATCAACCTCCTGCGTCTCCAATCCCTGCAGGGAAGTAAGAGGAGAATGATTCCCACTACATATCTTCGTCGGTATAGCCAGCCAACTAATGCACCAATTCAGCTTTTTCTTCTCAAATGCTAGTTTATCGGACTTCCAAGGACGACTTCTATGCGGTTGTGTTGTTTTCCTCGAAGACTCCTCTGTATCTTTATCTACACCACTATCGGAACATCACTGCATTGACGTCATGAACACCTCGAGGTCCTTTCAAAGTTTATGAAAGCGTTCCCCCTTTGTTCTGCTAAATCCTTTGTTATAGCCCGCATATATGCTACAGAAAATGAGACGTTGCTCTTCCAACGCAAAGTACTCTCTTGTCACAGCGCGCTTGCCCTGAACCCGTTCAACTATGTCAACCCCTTCCCGCGTCAATGCTGCTCCAAGAAAACACCTAATGACGAGCCTAAGGCGTCGAAATTTATCGCTCTGCCCCCCGAACTGCACCTCGAGGCGAGTTTACTCCTGCCGGCTCTTGGTGTTGCAAGTCTTCCCAACATTCGTATTCATTTCGAGTTCGAATCCAGTTCTCATGATGGAAAGGATCCTCGCAAGTTTCATCGGGTTACAGCAGTTCGATGAGTACCTACGGTGGTGGTGAGTGAGCGTTCGACCTCCGAGAAGTGGAAGAACAGAGGTCTTCCAGAGTGTTCTGAGTGTTCAGCCAGGTTGAAGCGATAAGATAGTCGTAATAACTGTACATCCTAAATTGTCCCGCTATAGAGCATCGAAATTAATGTGGTGTGAGGCTCGTCTTCTCTCGAGCTCGTCCTCTCTCTGGAAGAAAACAAAAAAGTCGGCAAAGAAAATCAGCTAGCCCAAGCGAGGAAAACCTTACCTTCTCATTAAGATGCAACACAAACACGATGATCGCTAACAGGAACGTGCCCGACACAACCGTCACCGTAACCCACGGAATCCACTCTCCTGGCCGGAGGAACAGCTCTTCCTTCCACGCCTCGCCCTCCTTCGTCGAAGGTAAGATTACAACCTTGGAGTTTGGGATAACGCCCTCCATGTTGATGTAGTGATCATCGGTGTGGAGGGTGGTGCCCACGAAGAGATTCTCGATGTAGTTGTTCGTTCGTCCGAGGCCAAAGAAAGAATACGGTGTTTGGAGGGAGTGGTAGGATGTTTGAGGGAGTTGTCCGACTAGAAAAGAAGTTAGAGCGAACAAAAGTTTGCAAAATAAAGTGGCGAACCTTGAGCCGCAGAACGATGACCAGAGGTATCCAGAACGGTGTATTTGTACGTGGCTCCAGAATAGCTCACTCCGAAAGGCTGAAAACAAAATCAGTATTGCCTTCCAGACCTCCTAGGGTGGGCACCCACATGATATTTCGCTGAACCGTTTTGAGTGTAGCACCACCCATTATCGCAGGCGCCGTTGAGCACTATCCGCCAGCCATGAGATTTCTCGTTGTCAGAATGCTCATTGGACGTACCAATAGCCTTTAGGAAGAACGCATCGTAGTAGAAGTTGTTCTGGACGAACAGGAAACTGCCTTGCTTGTTGTCGCCAACTCGCTGAACCAAGATATCGAGAGTGCCCTGAACAAAAGCGCATTAACCCAGTTATATTTGCCACATAAAACTCCAATGACTCACATCCTCGTCCATATCCAAGAACGAAACCGACCTCGCATCTTTCACAGCCTCCAACGCCTCCACACCCTTGTTCGCCACCTTCCACCCTCTCCTTCCTTTGCCGCCCGAGCTGCAACCAGCTACGCCAGCAGCACATGGGACAGAGAATACGAGATGTGGGGTGTGGTCGCGTCCTGAGGCTGTAATGACGAGCAGGTCGGGGAAGCCGTCGAGATCAGCGTCGCCTAGCTTGAGGGCAACTGGTATGGACGGGCTGAAAGTGGTGTCGAGGACGAGTAGAGAAGAGGATGGGAAGAGAGAGGAGACCGGGAAGCGGACGAATGCCTGCAGGCATGACGTGATTAGTATTTCGTCCAGAACAACTGGAAAGTAACGTACGTCATTGTCAGAGCGCGGGCTTAGGTCAAACTTGAAGTTCGGGTCTGCAATACAAAGGTCTTCTGGCCGTCTGCAAACCCGGACACCCTTTCTCAGGCCCGAATCAGTGGTCGAGGTACACAAAGGGAGTTGCTGGTTGTAAGCGATGTTGATATAACAGTCCGAGCCGACACCGGTGGAAGGTGAAACGTTCGAGCATGTCGGGAATATGAGGTCAATGGTTCCATCTCGGTCTATGATTCATAATTAATCTTGCATATCCCGTACCAGCGTAAAGACGGTGAATGCATACCGATGTCTGCAAAGGAGATAGATTGAGTACCAGCAGGCAGAGGGCTTTCTTGTGATAGAATGAAGCCTTGGTCCTTCTTGTTAATCCAGATTTGATGACTTTTGTGGCCACGGCCGTCCTCGCAAACTAGGAAAACGTCTTCGAATAACATCAGCCACGGTACCGACTTGAAATAAAACGGAACACACCTGCAAGGCAGTCTCCATCCAAATCTACGACACCATTGCTATGTGGATTCGCCAGTGTGCACTGCTTGCCGTGGAACGGTGCATCCTCCCTAAACAACTGTCAGGATGAATGTTGCACCGGGCGAGAAAGAAGGGCTGACATTTGGAAAAGTGTTGGTGTTGATGCAGAATCATCCCAGACATTCTTCCATATTTGATATAGAGAGTCTGGGCTGTCTTTGGATGAGGGTGTGATGCCTAGCAGGTCAATTTTCATGTCTCCGTCGATGTCAATGGGTATAGGCTGGGCGAGTGTCGACGAGGGAAGGGTTTGAGCGTTACTGGCGTCTATCCGAATCATCAGCGGCAGAACTGGAGCAAAGGTAAACAAGACTCACCAAATCCATCGCCGACGAGTGAGGGGTATACTGTCAAGTCCAATTGGTCGGAAGATTGACCTTGACTCATGATTAGGAGGTCGAGTTTCCCAGAGTGTGTAAAGTCTCCTGGGACGACATTCGTGATTTTCCGTGGGTGCTTCAGCGTCGTCGGGTTACCGAAAGAGAAAGATTCTGGAGTATGGTGACTTGAGCCTGATTCCTAACTTTAGTGAAAAGGGTTTCTACCGTGATTCCAGTAGTACACAGTCAATGTTTGCTGGTCGGAACCCAGGACGAGAACATCCAACCTTTAACAGATGGTCAACAATTGGGTACTCTTATCATATAATACAGAAATATACAGTTGGTTCCCGTCAAAGTCCCCGAAGGCTACCACCCTTCCACCATCTTTCAACCCCATTGAACCGGCATTAATCAGTGAGTTTCCGGTGAACCGCTTCGGAGGAAACGGCCAAATCGCAAGTCCAGGAGTCGCAAGAGTGAGTGCGGCCACGATACAGGAGGTAGTCGTAAGCTTTCGCCGTCGTTCGGGGCGTCGAAGATACATAGTGGTAGCAGTCGTGAAGGAAAAGAGAACGTCGGTCGTGTTCTCGGAGTCGCAGCGCGCAGTGACGATGACCTTGTTTGGATGTGAAGACTATGGCCAACATTATGTAATGTGGCTATGTCGATATTTGCCCTGCTTTGTACGGCAAGGTCCGATAGGGGTGGAGGTGCCGAAACTGGGTTCCTCCAGAACCACGACCTCTCCGACAAATCCATTCTAAGCTTCGGCGCCATGAAACTCTCGGGCCCGTCGTAAACATAGCGGTCACCCCTCGCCTTGATTTTTGTCAAGGATCATCGATCATCATTGTTAACATAACCGCTTCACCGATTCGACGAGATGCCGTTCCATTCGTTCAGTCTATTTCTCGAGGTCCAGGGAGCCGCCGTGGTATTCTCTGATTCTTAACATTCAAATATCTCAGGCCAGAAGGTCACAAGTACCTCTCAACTCACCACTGACGTCTTGGAGTGCGTCTTGAGCGCGTCTTGAGCGGCATCGGCGGTCGTTCTTATCCTGCCTGGAGCACTTGCGAGCCCGTGCAATTCAGTCAACTCCTTTGGTTCAAGGGTCAACAAGCTTAACTAGGAAGGCGCGCACCTGTGACAGAAATATCGCGGTTATTTTTGGCTTGGAGGTCTTATGATTTTGAAATTCGAGGTACCCATCTCCATCTCGGCCTCTATGACCTATGCGGTTTCGGAGCCTACCTTTGCAGAGGCCATCGTCGACGTATAAAAAGGTCTCCAATGCGTCACTTCCAGAACTCAAGGCAAGCCGTCCTCCGTATTCACATACTCTCGAAACAACCATGAAGCTCTCTACGCTCCTCGCACCCCTCGCTCTCATCCCCTCTATCTACGCAGTCAAAACGACCTACGACACTGTGTATGAAAACCCGAAGGGATCTCTCGCCACTGTCGCATGCTCCAACGGTGATAACGGCCTCCTCACGAGAGGCTTTACGACCTTCGGGTCCCTTCCCAGCTTCCCCCGTATTGGCGGTGCCCCAGCCGTCACTGGCTGGAACTCGCCAGGATGCGGCACCTGCTGGAACTTGACCTACACCAACCCGCAAGGAGTCTCGAAGAGCGTTGTCATAACCGCCATTGACGTCGCTATTCCCAACTACAACATCGCCCTCTCTGCGATGAACGAGTTGACCAATAACCAGGCAGTTCAGTTCGGAATCGTCCCTGTTACTGCTGCCCAAGTCCCTGCCTCGGCTTGCGGATTGTAAGTATCTCCTAGTGAATGATAGCAGCCCAGATATATTCTCATAAATGTTCCCAGATAATCCAGCGGTTAACTCTCGGCCTCAAGAGCCCAGAAGGACTCGTTAAGGGTAGTACATTTGTGCTTGCATACATTTCGAAAGGATGCTGTATTCTGTAATTTACAGTAGCGAGATAGTTCATGTGGCTAGGCTGAAATGACGTAGTGGGACTATTATCTTCCCCGGCTTTGTGCGGTTGTCATCAAGTTCATCCGACGGCAGACTCACTTGTGCTAGAACCACTACCATCTGACACAGAATAAGCTCGCCTGCCGATGATATTCCCTGCTGACTCTCGCCGTCCTTGCTTCATTTCACTAGACCCGGGTCCTTCTCAGCGAGCTGGAGCACCAGCACGGCCAGCAATGCCCTTGATTTTTGTCACTTCTAACATCGGCACCAAGAATCAAGCACATTAGGGCTCATGATCCATTAGAATTCCCAAGATTCGGGATCATAGTCCACGGGCATGCCGCTCCTTCTTGTCATGCTGTTTTCTCGGTTGGTGCCGTACAATGGTATTCTTTCGAGCTTCGACGCCCAGGCATGCCCCGATGCGTAGGTCACAAGGGCGCCGTGAGGGCTCGGGAGAGCCACTCATTCACCTGCTCCCGTCATCGCCAAACAGCACCGCTTCGTCTTCGCCGGCATCTGCACCCACTTCTTACGGCCGCCTGAAACGGGACCATGAAGGGGCACCCTCGACCCACTGAGCTCCGGTCTTGCTGTATTGGACCGCGGCTTCGGTCTGGCTATGTGCGTTGAGTAAAAATAACGACGTAATTTGCGTCTGTCGGATAGACCAGTCTGGGGACCTCTTGGAACGAAGCAGGTATTTTCGGGATCGTTGGCCATGTGGTCCTCCTCGGTCTATCCTTGGATCGTCGCCTCAGAGGTCAGTATAAGAAGGGACCCAATAGCAAGAGCAGAGAGCAAGCGTTCATTCGTTTCTTTCAAGCCTCCACAACCACCCACAACCTCCTACAAACCACCCTAACCGCGCGCCATGAAGCTCTCCACCATCTTCGCTCCTCTTGCTCTCCTCCCCGTCATCTACGCCGTCAATGTCAGCTACGACACGGTTTACGACAACGCCGGCCAGTCACTCGCCACCGTCGCGTGCTCCGACGGTACCAACGGCCTCCTCACGAAGGGATTCACGACGTTCGGCTCCCTGCCCAGCTTCCCCCGCATCGGTGGTGCCCCCGCCGTGACGGGATGGAACTCGCCTGCCTGTGGCACCTGCTGGCGCTTGACCTACAACGGAAGGAGCATCAACGTCCTTGCTATTGATGTTGCTCGTGGCGATTTCAACATCGGCCTGAACGCCATGAATCAGTTGACGAACGGCCAGGCGGTAGCACTTGGGAGAGTTCCCGTCGACGTTGCTCAGATTGCCAACTCAGGTTGCGGACTGTGAGTACTGAAGGATACGGGTTCTAAGTGGTAGTCTCTTATCCACCAATTCCTAGCAGATAAACGAATCGTTACCGCATGCCGCCAATTGCAACGGCGACTCCAATGGTTATCTCAAGTCACCAAACGAATTCTTTTCTCATTCAAGTGCACTGACATGTACCATGGACATCAAATGGACACTTTTGGATTCTACGACATTACGAAAAAAATGATAGGTAGAAGTACGTCATATCTACACATGTAGGGACCATGTACTTCAGGACTATTTTTGCACGCTCTCAGTTTGTAGTCGACGTCGCGAACAATTGTTGTGTTTTCTAAGCTGCTTTACTAGTTCAAGGTTTTGGCTTGTATCAGGACGACGTACATGCGTAAGTTCACAATACCAATGCAGTTGAATGATATCTAGACTCTTGATCGATAGCTGCCCCGCAAAAATGCCTCACGTCTCGCCGCGGGGAATCGTTCACGAGCGCCGCGTATTGAGTCGGCCGCCGCGACGGGGTCGGATTCTTGAATCAAAAAAGCGTGTTGACAAGGAATCTGCGGCTTCGCAAATGTTACTTAGCCATTCGCGGTGTGAGCAGACAAATTCAGGGTGGTTGTGGTCGGTATTCATTTGTCTTCAACGTTCAGCCTAAGCTTTCTCGTCGTTCTTGATGAAGGAGCACAAATACGATAGGTTGGTCCTAGAGAGGCGGTAGTGGTCGCTGAACATAGATATATGCGCTCTTGAAATAGGTGACCTGGCTGGGCGGCTTGGACGATTGAGAACTTCAAGAGTGGATACAACTTGACACCAGGTTGGCCGTTCTTCCGATTACGAAGCAGAGAAACGTAGGGTTTGAAGTCTTCTTCGTGACCTAGTTAAAGACTTTTGATTTAGCCTACATAGCTAGAATGAGGATTGAAAGTAAGAGCACACACCTTTTGGGACAGGACGTTAGCCAACAATACTAGAGAACCCTCGATAGCTTCAGACAGCTTTCCAGAGCGCTACCCAGGAAAAAAAACCGCGTCCAGACGAGGGTTTAGACCAATGCAATGACAAACAGCGCGGTTGGCGGAGTTCTGTCCATGATGTCGCGGGGGTTTAGAGAAGGCAAAGGCTGAACGTCGTTAACCATTTTTGAGCCCCAAAGCTTGGAATAACGGCAAGAAATTTAGGGTTGGACATCCTTGAGGAAATCGCCTTTATCTCTCGATTTGAATTTGGGAGGCGAGAATGCAGAAGCGTGGAAATTCTCAACAGAGGACGCCGTTCGTCTTATCTGGAGGGTCCAACGGCGAGTAAATTGATTGAGAGGGGTCAAAGAGGCCCTTTTGCTATGTTGTTGAGTGTTCGAGACCAAGAGCCTCATTTGCCCCCGCGTTTTGTTTTGGACTACTTTTGGAACCCCGCCAGCCACAGCTCGCAAACTCACCTGGCTCGCATTCCTTCCTATTACAATCATTCAGCAAGCCATAGCTTTTCTATCCTCATTTTATCAGTTACCGACCTGTCAAGTGGCTTGCAAGCCCGGATGAAGACCCGCAAGACTCCTGACAGATGGTCTCAGCGTCTCAAAGTCGCAACATCAACGGTCTATGACTTACCTCGATAAACCAAGAGTCAAAGTGCTCGCCGTATGCATAGGAAGGTTAATTCTTGGATTCTGTGCTGGGCGGGGTGGTTGTCTGTGGCTCGAGACGGTCGAGAGCCGATAGGAGAGTAATACTGAAGCTGGGCAGCATCGTACGTCCCGGGTACGTTCCATATTCTCGTCTTCGTCCTCGGTAGCATCCTTGGCCAACTACGCCAAATACTGGTTCGGTGATGGAGCTCTGGCCGACGCATTGCTTTCCAAGTTTGGACAATTCCTCTTGATTCCTTAACGAGGAGAAACGACGCCCGACCGTTCCCCAGACAAGTCGGCAATGTCAATCCTCAGCACAGCCTCAGAGTCGGGGATAGATTTCAGGAGTTTTCCGACCTATTTGAGATTTGTAACCTCAGGCAAATTGAAGGCAACCCATCGACGATCGTTCGCCGCTCTCTGAGAGTCACTGGACCTCTTGTGTTGTCAATTCTTCCTGGCGGCCGCGACGACACTTTTCACAGCCGCCGTCTATCCTGGAGATGCTGCCGACAGCTAGACCCTGCATTCTACGTTCTGGAGGAAGGCACCCCTGACGTCACGTCGGTATTCAGTAACCTCGCCTCTATACGACGAATCTCAGGCATGGTTGCCAGAAGTGGCTTTTGAAGGGCCCGAAGCCTAGAAAAGTGGAGTCGCCAGATAGCTGGACATGCGCTGCGTCCGGCGAAAGGAACTCCACTGGAGGAGTAAGTGAATTTCCCGCTCGATGGTGTTTGTTTTGCGAAAGTTAGCACCAGAGGCGAGGAGCTTTAGCCCAACGCCTCTAGGGTCCTGTCTCTGGGTCGAACCCTGTGGAATCTCCCAGCCCGTAGATGCCATCCCTGTCGCCAGCAAACTCTCGAGTCGTTCTTGGTTCTTATGTCTTGGTTCTTGCCGAAATCCTCTGGGGTCTTTCAGCTGGTTTCTTGGAAAGTCACACTGGTTCAGGCACATGGATGCACACGATATCCTGCTCGTACACATGAGCATTTTTTTCATACATGATGGCTGGGAGAAAAGGACTGTCATGACTCACTCGATGCTTCCGTCTCGTTGTGACATGTTGGTCACGGTGCGCGTCCGAATGCCTGGAGGGCAGTCCCAGCAACTACTAGCGTAGGTCTGGAGGTTTTCTGCCGCAGTCTGGAAGGCTTGTGTGAAGGGGGTGCTCTATTCTGAGGGTGTTTTCTCGGTTCTGGACGGGATGCCTGTGTTTGCGATCCAAGATACGTTCGGAAGACCTGAGCCTTGTCCAATTTTGGTGCTCTGGTTGGCCGAGGAAGCTATAGCCTACGATGTGGAGGGAGCTTTCGGCCTGCTACAGTGGCGTCCGTGAGTCTTTGGATAGTGTCGTACTCCAGACCCTCGTCCTTATCTCGAATATTTGCAACCGCTTGTTGGACGACCGCTTGAGCCTCCGCGGTTGTACTGGAGGTTGTGGCTGGAACAATCTGATAGTTTCGCGACTTCTCGTATCTCTTCGGAGCCTTGCTGTCATCTGTGGATCCTGGGAAGAGGTCTTGCCTCGATGTTTCCTTCAGAAGAGGGATAGCACGCAGCCGTTGTGAGAAGGGACGGGAATTAAAACGCGCAGTCTTCTGGGTCCTTCCGAGAAGATAGGAGGAACGAAATTCAACAGCTGTTGATTGGAATGTGGGGATTTGAGCAACGAGGGCAGAGGAGGTAGGTGAGTGGAAAGGGACGACGGATGGTGTCGGAGAGGGAACTCGGGGCAAGTGAACCTGTCCATCAAATGACATTTTTCCACCCTTATGTTGATGTGCTCATTCAATTTAGCAGCAGGGCGTGCGTTACTCTCCCGAAATTCAATTCTGAGTTTGGGATACCAATATAAAAGGCTCTCGAGCTTCGTAAGGGTCGTTTTCTCTCTCTTTCACTCATTCACCACCACCAGCACGCCCGTCGCTGCCCACCACGCTCGTTTTGACCTGTCTACAGGCACTTATAGGCGCCGCGCTCCTATTCTTGCTGTATCAATACCGGCGCTTACTCCTTCAATGCCACCGCACAAGGATATTTGTCCTTCGTTAATTCTCGTTCGGAAATCTGGGCAAATTGTCACTATCGCTCGTCAGTTGAGTTATCCTTCACGTTCGCTTCGAGATGTCTGGTGGAAGCCAACAGAGGCTACGGTATGAGGCATTTATCCATGGCGTCATGTAGCGTCCCTCTCATTGACGAGTTCGTAGGGACGAAGCAACGAAGATTTGGTGCGCTATCCGTCGTATTCGTGTGAAACGGCAACCGTACGTCCTCTTCTCCTTGCTCTCCTGGACTTGTCAAATTTTGGTGCTACCAGATAACCATTGAAGAAAGGACAAATATATCTAGCGTCTCAACCAACGATGCATACAAAGAAGGCTTCTTGACAGTATGTCTTTTTCCCTTCTCGATGAATGAAGTCCGGTCTCATGTAGGTGATTATTAGAGCCTCTTGTACGCGGTTTCGAGGAGCTTGGTACTCATGTCGAGCTTCATCCTTTCCTTTCGACCTCGTCGCTCTCAGTGGCAAACCTTTGTTACTAACGAGGCACAAGGTTAAATCGGTGGCTCTTGTTTCCTTCCATCTCATTTAATTTTCTTGAGCCCATTCGCTTCTTTCTAAGAGGAAAAATGTTCCAATTGACCGATCTACGCGAGTTCCTGCTTACAGCCAACTAGTAATTACAGCCCTGAACTATTGCACAAAAGGCCTTTACATTCCTACCGTACCAAAATTCGAGTCACTGGCAACCAGCTGCGCATGCTTGAATACATAACATTTCTTCCGAAATTTGTCCTCAGACATTCTGACTGGAGGTTGAGTTGCGACTCTGGCGTATGAATCACTTCAGACAGGCAGACAGCGTGTCTTGGAGAGTTTTCTAGATGTAAAACAACAATGACAAGGTTAAGAAATTCACAATATTAAGTATTGGAATTAAACCATACCTTAGATTTTTCCGGAATTTTTATGCTTGTCGGTGTGAACCTTCTCGAAACCTGGTGTCCTGAAGAGATTCTTGAGCTAATGAGGGAGAACCTTTCAAATCTGGAGGCTGGCGTTGCATGTGATGGCTCCTCTCACCAACAGCTGCGACTCGACGGCGTTTAGAAAGCGAAAAAATAACTACCATGTTCAAATTCTTGCCTAAAATTCTGAACTGAGTTATTTTCGATTGAATTACTGAGCGAGGGGCCGATGACCCTATTTACTTCCGTCGCTTGTTTTGGACCCACCACTGATCAGAGCTGTGACTCTTTGCGTATTTCCGACCTTTCCATTGCCACGCCTTCGGGCCCTGTTCAAACACCGTTCAGCAGCGGCAACTTCTATGATACGAGGTTCAATACTCGCCTGCAACGGACTGCTTTTCCTCGGGTTGGGCAGGCGAAGGAGAAGCTCAAGTTCTCGAGCTTGAGGCTAGCTATTGTCGGCGTCACCCACTGGCCTTCATTTCGCCGTTTTCCTGCCCATCTTCTTCTTGAACAACCGCAGCACGAAGGGCAGCACCTAACGGGGCGAGGCTTCCGCAGAAATTCGCTTGTGGGAGGGATGGACGCCGTAGCTAGAGAAAAAAGCCTGCGTATATGAAGTGCGGACAGGAGAAAGGAGCATCGGTGCGTCGTTCAAGCTTTCCTGTCCAGCAACGTTCTGACGAGAGGAGCGGCCTATATTCTTCGAAACTGAGGTTGAACTCTGTCCCAGAAAATCGACAATTCAGGACGACACCTGGCTGTCAACCAAAAGGGACCTGGATGTTCACAAACCGTGCTTGAAAACTCTCTTAAACTGGTGAAGGCAGAATTTTCTGCTCAGCTTGGAGCTAGACTTGTCTTTCGACACGCGGAAAGCTTGCATCTCCGTCGATGGCTTCCGGGCCTTCAAACCTGACGCGACAATACTACCGGTTGTGCATCGTCCGCCCTGCCTTTTCTGAACAACAAAGTCTGCAAGAGCTCTGGGTTGTCGGCGACGGTCATGAGGGGACAAACGAAGATCTAGACGGCGACGTCGCCGGGAAAAAAATCCAGTGTATGGCGCAAAAAAAGAAGACTGCACTTCCGAGAGGCCTCAAGACAGGACCTCAGGATTACCAGAGAGTCCATTGGTGAGTGGTCAATTTGATGATTCGTTCCTTTTTCCTTTCTTCGACTTTTCCGCCGCTCTTCTGCCACAAAAGACATTTCTGCACATTCAAGAGCTCCAGCTCTGCACGAGCTTCGGGTTTCATAATAACGTTGCATTTTGACGACTTGCAATGTCGCAGAATCCGTCCTCGTCGGCAGAATAAACTTTTGATTCTTGCGCTGTGACATCTTGGGTCTTGATAAAGGCTATTGGAGGATCACACCGTGCTGGTACATGTTTGCGCACATAAAATTCTGTCCGAAAATACGAGCATTGTTATACAGTCGAAGGACGTGCATGACTCACCGAGGGAGCGCTTCCGGTTTTCTGCGTGACGTGCGTGACGCTGCGAGTCACGCATGCCAGAAAAGGCGTCACTCCTGTGCGAGTCCACCATTCGATGCTTGCGGCGTGAGGCAAAGGTCCAGCTGGCTTGTGGTGACCTCATAGGGATCGGTGGACGGGGTTCCAGGAGGGGATTATTTTGGTCTCAAATGCGTGCTTCTGATTGGGCAGCCACGCACGCTGCGATAGCTTCAATATCTAATGATGCTGGGGGAAGCAGCACAGCACCTGTGGTTGTCGAGCTCGGGCTCTGTTCTCTGGACGGAAGGTGCATCCCTGAAGGCCTTCTGGTGGTCTGGACGCCTTGGCTGGTTTGCTGGGAGCAGGAGGATAGGGCTTGGGAAGGAAGGTCCGACAGGACGTATTCCCTCTACGTCCAGGCAACTTCGCCTCCACCAGCCACTCTTTGCGCGTGCGACGTCGGGAACGGTGACAGAGAGATTAGTCTGGCACTAGACCTGCGCGGTGACTGGGCTCAGCCTTGGTTGGCCTGGTTTTGTTGACAGAGGGGACCGCGGGCTTGAGAACGAGATGGATAACCGCCAGCAGGGTTTACCAGCAGATGGGTAGCGGTTCTGACCACATGGAGGCAATTCCACGGTACAGCTGAGAACCCTGGTTGGCTGGTTTCGGGGGTGGACGTGCGGCCGGGAATCGGTCAGGATGCTTTGGTTTCGACTTGGTTTTGACCAAAGGAGGTCGGTTTGGAAGTCAAGAAACCGGCGGTGATAATGATGGAGTTACAATAACGTGCCTGTTGATCATCTTTGACATGAAGTGACAACCCACTAACTGGTTATGCACATACTTAATTGAGGAGCGGGCTTTCTCTGCTTCCCGAAATTCAGTTTGGCTTACCCGCAGACTTATAAGAGGCGCCCATCTTTCGTCGGCATCCCTCTTCTTCTTCTCTTTCTTCCCTTACTTTCCACCGCCAGCCAGTCGCCCTCCACGCTCGTTTTGCCCCGCCTGCGCCTCGTGTTAGTGTCGCGCCCCTGTTCCTGCTATAAATATCGACGCCGCCTCGCACAATGTTGCCAACTCAAGTTTCTGTTTACTCGCTGAAGGACATGGTCATTGAAACTCATCAGCTGAAGTGCCGCTCTCGTTTGAGCGGAAGAATCCAGGGAAAGCCTATGCGTATTGCGGTGAGCTGGGCTTTTTCAAATCTTCTCCGCGAGGGCTCACTCTCGGTCCTCCAACGACCCAGAAAACGCAAGATCTTCGTCCTACAGTCTCCTTTGCTTATGCCATTGCTGAGCCGGAGGTGAGTCCTGATGATCTGCTCACGTTCGGATTCTCAGCCTCTACATTTTAAGCCTATTGACGAGCTCGACCTTGATGCCGCTAGCATTCTGAGCTCAATCCTCGAGGAGAAAGGACGATTCCGGGTGCGTCGTCCGCTGTTCTGGAAAGAAATTATCTTATGTTGCGGCTCATGTTCTCAATGATACAGAGGATGCTTGCCACCGTCCGCGAGAGACTCGACCCCCTCCTCTGCTTCCTCCCGCGCAGCTCTCGCTCGCGGTCTTACTAATTGACCGCATCAGGTCGCCTGCTTCATTGATTTGAAGATTCTGGGCTTTGACTAGTTCAAGGCGCGCAGCCGCCGATTATCGACTTCTTGAAGTCTGTCATCTTGTTCATATGGAATTGCTATCGTCTCCCGCTTCGTACTATGTTCGCCATCAACATCCCAAATCTTGCCCACAGCTCCCCACCATCTATGCACGCTAGATTATTGCCTCTTGCTCAATGTACCATAGCGGTTTCGTTACTATGTACCATACATATAATCCGAGTATGTGATATTAGAAGGCCACTTGCCAAAAAAATCCTTGCGATGTATTTACCTCCAATGATTGTCATTGATTGATCGAAGGCTTGTGTCGACACTCGGGAAATAACCATTCTGTGTTGAATATCTCAGGGATCATGACTAGAACAAGTAGATAACATGCTTACATGCCCGGCACGGACTTGGATGATACAGTGTCCTCAACTCAAACGAATATCTGTGGTGTTTTGAGAGCGAAATGCTCGACGCGGACGACTCATCAAAGGTTCCAGACTCGGATTCCGGTTCTAATACCTCAGCCAAAGACAGCCTGAAATTCAAGGACGGTGCACTGTAAAGTTGAAAGGCCTCTCGGAATGTGCTGGTCGTCATACTAAATGTCTTCGACTTTGGCCATCTGCATTTCGATTTGGTATGTATTGCCTTGAGGATTGCGGGATGACATGAGGTGCCTGTCAACTTTGCGAAATCGACTTTGATCAACTTTGACGGATTGTTTGCAATTCGACGCTCTTATTCGTGGGTGTAAGAACGCACTTACAACCCAAGAGACTACCAATTGCGCTGAGGCACTATCTGTGCGGAAACGGCGACTTTCAGGGGCTACTTGAATTGGGAATATCCGCAATTCTTGTGATCGAAATGGGTGGCTCTTTTGAACCCCGCCTCCACGACCGCTCTGAGGCCTGGTTGGCGCCTTTCAGTGACGATCCTCCCTTAAGAACCTCACCTACCTATTAATGCTTGAAATCTACAAGACGCCAAACGAAGATTTAGCTACAAGGGCGTCTCGCAGGTCGGAGGTCGGCCTTGTGCACCAGCTTGCCTCTCAACCCTGACCGTCACTCAACGTCACCGCTGACGAAGGGCGACGAAGGGCTCCAGGGAGGGTTTGCGGGTGTATGAGATGCACTGAGGGTTGACGTTGATCCTCGGCTGGGTCAGGAAGAACGTGGTGAGGAAAGGACGAGTCTGATCCACAGTACGTCCTCTGCACGTCTTTGTCAACAGCAACCACCAGAACGAGATAACCCATCCAGAACCCTCGGACACCTGTATCACTGGTCGACAAACGTGTTTTCTCAGCGCCTACACCGACTTTCCACGACGGACTGCTGACCACCGAGGAAAAAACGGCGAAGTCACTCCACGGCAACCTCTGGTCGTCAGGAGCAAGATCCCATTTCGAAGGGATTTCCCGTTTTCTCTAAAACCCCAGAGTTGGCCAATGGTCTTGGAACCTTCAAAAAACGGTGAAGAAGACATGGCGGATCGATTTGGTCAACTCCTGGGATGTTGGCTTCAACAATATATGCACCCAGGACGTTCTGGATGCCTTTGGATGGTTGCTCGAGGGCTTCTTCGCCGTCGACGACCTGCCTTTTCCCCCGTCGAAGAAATTGATGTCCGGATGGCATCTTCGGCTCAAAATCGAGCAGCCAGATCTCGACATTTCTTAGAAGCGCAGCAGCTCAGAGCAGCTCTGTTGCAAGATCAAGCAGCAGACGTTGAGCGCCGAGCTATCGCCAGCTCGCCAGCAATTCAAGTCGGTGAGTTTTTCTCTTATTCCAGTCTTTTTGTCTTCCGCGGCTTTCTACAACTGGGGTTGGTCCAGGACATTCAAGAGCTCCAGGTTTGCGGAAAGCCCAGGTTGTATTAATCCCGGTGGCTGGTCTGGCATCTTGACTTCTTTGTATCGCTGTAATCGCTCTGGTCGTCGGTGGCTCGCAGTTGCTTGTCTCTCCTCGGAGATCCTGGACCTTGGTTCTTCTTGAAGCACGCCTAGCTGGGACACGTTCGGACACAATCTGCTTGCAAAACATGAGCTTTTTTCCATACATGATGGTCGGGAAATAGAGCCTGGTGGAGGAGTTGAATGACACGGTGAGCGCGTCCGATGCGTAGCCTCTCCGGACGCGTAGCCTATAGCTATGATCGACTTTCATGGCTGTCTTGCTGCATATAGAGGGCTTTCAGCATGCAGGTGTCGAATGGCTGTGGTAAATTTCGGGATAGAAATGCTTTGGGGTATGCAGTGCTTCGCCAGGATACAAGAAAATGTGCTTGGATTGGGGAGATGTTGATGGCAATGGCTAAGAAACATGGGGAAGCTACTATCGGTCATACAACGACATTGTCTTTCCACAGTATGTTGGTCGGGGCGGCCGACTCAAGATGCGGCCGACTCTGACTTCAGGTGGGGTTGGAGAAGCATAGGCGGATTTCGAGTCGGCCGCCTCTACATTTCCTATTTTTGAGTTTAGGTTCCTCACGGCCCTATAAAGTCTGCCTTGGGCTGCTTCAGGGTCCATCCCTCCTTTCTTTTCGCTCCTTGCTTGGAGTTTCTGTTCTGTTGCCCATCACGCTCGTTTTCGCCAGCCTGCTCGTTGTGCTAGCCACCACGTTCCTGTTGTTACTCTACAAATATCAACACCAACACCATCAATGCAGGCCCCCTGCTATTCTGTTTATTCGCTGAGCACCAGCAAAAACAGCGTGGACTCGGTTTATCATTTGAACCACCGTTTTCACTTCACTCAGAATGCCCAAGGAAAACCACGACATATCCTGGCAAGTAAATTGTTTCGTTGGCTCTCTCGTCTGGTATCTTATGCCCTCATTTTCCAATTCAGAAGTTGCAGGATCGTCGTCCTAGTCTCTCATTTGCATATGTCACTGCCGAACCTGATGTGAGTTCACTCCTCGAAGTTGTCAGCCAGGTTTGGTAGCTCAACCTCTGTGTTCACAGCCTGTCATTCAAATCAACGTCAATGCAGTCAGTGTCCTTATCTCCATGCTCAAGGGGAAAGGCCTGTTCCTGGTGAGGGTTCCCTGTTCACCTCTTAGAAATCTTGTGCCATCATTGATACTTTCTTTGACTCGCTAAGAGGGTCTTTGATGCCATTTCCACAAGAACAACATTCTTTTTATGTTTCCCTCCCTGCAACTCTGTGTCCGGTCCATTTTGATCTTAAATCTGCCGTCATATGAGAGTTTTGAATGAGATTTCTGGCCTTGACAAATTCATCCTACAGCTATATATCTTCTTGGGCTTGACCCTCTTGCGAAATGTCTGTCATCCTTCATCCTCCGTCATCCTACTACTCTATTGCTCTGCGATCTACTGTGCCATATACATATCTAACATCTTGACATATTACTTGAATGTACCATACCGAACCGCCCTTGCTGCTTCGCATAGAGCGTCCTAGGGATTTGCCTCCCCTGCATAGACTCGGATAGACCGTCTGCGTAAGATATAATGGTCCATGGCCTCGAGAATACTGTTGCTACATGGCTCAGCAAACGAGGTGAACAATTGCAATAGATACAACTGAGGCGATGTTGATTCGTACATCGGTATTCGACAATCCAATATACATGCATACATGAAGATCCCACGGGCGCAACTACGCTGACACCCTGGCAAACTTTGGAAGTCATGAATTGATGGACATACTATCAGTACAGCCTATCACAGGCATATCAGTCGACAATTCTTTCGAACTGGAAGAAGCACGGCTCTCCAACAGGTCGAGCCTGACCGATCGAGCCCGTCGTTAGATTGTACAATCCAAAGCCGGGCAGTGAATACAATGAACAAACCTGATGAATGTCGTTTCTATCTGGAACTGGAATCTTCATCATTTGCTGCCCATTCCTGTCGACGACATCGAAGTCGAAGCCCGCCAACATCATAGCGGCAATGACCTTGATTTCCAACTTGGCCACCTTCATCCCGGTGCAAGGATGACGGCCTTCACAAGTTCATTTCAGCAGCATTACACATAAGATGCCTAACTTGAGACTTACCAGCACCCCAGCCCACAAAACCAAAAGTGGTCTTCTTGTCCTCTTCGCGTCCTGGATCGTACCTGCCAGGATCGAATTCGTACGGGTTGGTGTAAATTTCCGAGTTCAGGTGCACGTCGGCGACATTGTAGGCGACGAAATCGCCCTGCTGAATCGTGCCATTCGACACGTTGAACTCGTCAACGACGTTTCGGCGGAGGAGTGTACTGGTAAACGTGACACGGAGGGTTTCGCGGATGACGGCTTCCATGACGGGCATCTCGTCCTCCCAGGCTGAAATGGGAATTGTGGCGAGTCGTTTCGCGAGACTTTCGGTGGACAGGGTGCTGGCGTGTTTTTCGATGAGGGAATTGACCTCTGCCTTCGCTTTCACCATCCACTCTTCGTGCGAAGCTAGGTAGACAAGTGCCCAGCAGGCTTCATAAAATGGTGAGCAGACTAGCACGAGATGGGTGACCAGGTGCTCACAGGTTATGCCAGTATTGACCACACCCGCGAAAATGGTGCGGACGATGAACTGTGAAAGGGAGTAAATGAGTCACAATCCAGCCTCCCTCCTCGATTGTTGTACTTACCTCAACGACCTTGGTAGTCGAATCGCCTTGGCCGAGCAACACGTCGACTGCATCGGACGACGGGATTGCCGCTTTCTTCCTTGCCTCTACAACGTCGTAAATTTTTGTAAATAATTCCTTCGTCGCAGTCCTCTTTCGCCTCTTTGCAGGACCTGGGAACCAGGGCAGAAGTAGAGCCGTGGGTGTAGAACTCTTTTCCAGCTGCCAGTAGAGTTTTTGCAACTCGTCGAGGGTTGCCCTGTCATTTGCGAGTTCGGAGCAGCTCAGCATTCGAACTGACATCTGGAATACGAGCTGCAGAAATGTCAGTGGCGATTTCAGAGCAGGTTTCTGAGAGATATGCGCACGTCGTAGATATTCTTGAAGGGATCGAAGCAGCCTTTCTTTCCCCAGCCTATCATGCGAACGTTGACATCGTCGAGCAAGGACGGCAACACTATGGAAGATGTCAGCTATTTGAGGCAGCGTCTGGCTTTTGGCAGGGGTTTCTTACTCTCGGTCAAACGTCTCTTGCCCAGCAGAGTCAGAATGTGCTTGTTGAACCAGGAGGCATCGTCGCTATTATGAGTATTGATGGCGATATCCTGGAGGCGAGGGGCCTGCATGGGGATTGATTTCATAATGTTGTAGGTCATGGACAAAAACACTTACAGCACCGAAAAGAATCTTGTAGCCTTCGGTGAAATTGAGGCTCTTCGTATCGAAAAACGCTTTCCGCGCCTCTTCCCCTCTCAGAGCCACTACTTGATGCTAAGAGAGGCCAGTTCGGTCAGCAGGTTGTCGCTTGTACGAGAATGGATGAGACAACCATACCTGCAAGACCTGGAACCTGAAGTGAGGAGCGGCAGATGCCTTGAAGTGACCCAATATGAAGTCAGTCCTCTTGCTGAAGAACGTCCATGCGGTGGCCACTGGGAAACCACGAAGCTGTCTGATCGAACCCTTTGGGCTCGGAAGAAAGAGGCGATAGACGTAGAAGACAACGAGGGCGAGGCACAGAGTAGATGCCAACTTTAAGACGTTTAAATCACCCAGAGCCTCAGCAGAGAAGGCCTCTGGAAAGGTGAAGGTCGCGCTAAGCAACATAGCAGTCCTTTACCGGGAGAGAGGATGGATAGAACCACTTCAGTCCATGAAATGGTAGTTTTCTACTCTTGCTGGCCTTGATAAGCGAAATCACCGCACTCAAACAGCGGTACGAACGAAATTGACGGCCTTTTGCCAGGCAGGTGGACCGGCGCCGCTCATCTGCTCCCTTTAGTATCGACGGTGCAACAAGGGGCCTTAACGTTCAGAGCATTGCAATTGGAAGCTCTTCACGAGAAGCCAACCGCGTTAATTGAATCTGAGGTAAAGATAACCGGAGAAGCTGATGGATTTCCCTCAATTTCTCTAGTCTGGGGCGTGTTGTTGGCTGAAAGCGAGAGATCGATTGGCCGGATGTGAATCGAATTCACCACCTGGGCCCGGGGTGAGCAAGGTACATCGAAGGGGTTCTTAGCATCGAAGGGGCTCTTAGGCGGTGGTTAGCTATTCGAGCGATGCGGTTTCCTTCCCAGGATTTCTTACCTCTTCTAGTCCCTTCTTCGCAAAATGTTGGCTTCCGCGGGGAGTTGCTTTTCGCTCCTCCCATCCTTAGAGTAGATTGCTGGCACAAGGCATCGCGAGAAACGTCGTTCGAAGTCGCGGAAGGACCAAGGAAGTCCAGTTTCAGATTACTGTGCGCTGAGGTCCAGAGAAAATCATTCATGTGTTGAAAGGTTCAGCATCAATTTTGGAGGAGCAACCACAGCGTTGTAGATTTGGTCGTAAAGGTCGAGAGGCAAGGACGATTATATTCAGGGGCACTTGCGTTTTCTGTTCTGGGCCGTGACCCTCGCGCCTTAATCACAACCTCGGTCTTTCCACACTGCTCGACGGCCGATTAGCAAATTGGTATGTCCAGGCCGCTGTACCACACGTACTACTCCCTGCAAAAATCATGGGAATTGAGGCCCCGCTTGCACCTGGATTGCCACCAACGCTTGACGCGAGCGAGAGACATGTGTGCCATGGCTCTGACCAGACCTTCTTCCTTCATTTTTCAACGTCTACTCACCTTCGATAAGAGGGTGTTTTCGATCTTGATCGCACTCGCGACCAGCCGCAGTGATCTTCGGTGTTGGAATGACGGTGATACAGTCAGGAGAGATCTTGGAGAGGATGAATCAGAGAAAAGTACGTCCTGCCCACGCGGTCTTCCTTCCTGCACCTATGAACGATGTTGTATGAAATCTAGCACTGCTCCTCGTCCTGTTCGCCGCCCACCTCTTCTGTATCAACGACACCAGACTTCAGGGAACATTGGACAAAAGTGCTCTTTATGGCCTTCTGCAATCCCCAGAATCTCCGGCAGGACATCGTCCGTCTTTCAACGAATCTTTTCCGCTAATGGCCGCACTCGACGACCAGCTCGGCGTGCCATCGTCAAACTTGGTCACACTGCACATTGCATTCAACAATATCAATATGACTTCAAGTCGATTTCTCGAACATCTGGGACTCGGGGCGTCACCGTCCTAGCGCATACATTCACAGCTTCTTGACCCTCTGGAGCCTCTTGCTGCGATGCAAAGCCGGTCGATTCTCTCAGGTGCCAATCTGCAGTATCTTTGCATGAAGACCTTCATCCCAACAGAGCAGTTGGTTTAACCGCTGTCGTCCCGAGAAGACGAGTTCCCCTATCATTGGCCAACCTTCATCGCACAGGTGTGTCGTCTTCTTGCATCCAATACGTTCATTTCTCGCTGCCGGAACTTGCGCTAGGCGATACAGCTGGCAGAGCTCTAGTTCAAGGGCCGCTGCCTCCAGGACTTCATGCTGCCGGATGGCGTTTTACTATATCCTCCACCCCCTCCGAAGGCCGATGGCTCAGCTTCGGTTGACATCTTGTTCGAAAATGTTCTACATCTTGCTCCTTCGGCTTACGTTTTCCTCCACCTTCGTTCTTGTTTCTGGGGCCTTGAACTTGATTCTGCGTTGAAGCACACTGTGTTCAGACACGTTGGTGGACACGACATCCTGGTCAACAAACATGAGCATTTTCATACATGATAGTTGGAAGCAAAAGACGGAGAATGACTCACGTCCACCTCGCCTTCTCTTGGTGACTCGGTCACGCGTGTGACACGTTGGTAAGCGTAGCTGGAGGCTGCAGATGGGGGAACGAAGGGAGTATAGGATTGGGCCCGCATGAGAGGATGTCAGGAGGAGAGGGATGCACTGGTGCCAGTTCACCTGGGAATGGACCCGAAATGGTGCATGGCGCTCCTGGGAGGGTCTATGGGGCACCCTAGTCGGTGGCGAATATTTATTCGCATCCTGGGGCGTCTTTCTCCGACAAAGGCGCTGAAGGCTATCACCCGGGCCTGGTAAGGCATCGCAGATGTCTGCTGGATCATTTCTTGTCCATTTGGCCGATCTGGCTATATTTGTGGCTCCGTCGCAACATGGTCGACCTTGACCGTGGGCCGATGTATCGAGCTATGAGGCAGGCAGGCAGAATTCGCCGCTTCAAAGCTAGCGGCGGTCGCAGATGTCTTTTTCCCATCGTCTCAAGGAGGCCGTTGGAGTGTGCAGCCAGAAGTTGCATAGCGAAGACGAAAGATCGTGCTGTTCGACCGCGATTTTAATGTCAATCGAAATTTCCATGAAGTTGAAATTCGCGTACCTGGGACAACGGTCGGCCTTCCTTGGTATTATCGCTTGTTCACCAGCACTCATACCTGGCTCTCTGCCCTCCTTGAAGCCGAGGGCTTCGTTTTCTTGATCTTCTGGCGCGGCCTTGAGGGTAGATGGATATCGAAAGCTGGTGGTGTGAAGGAAGGCGGAGATGCCGTACGAGGGATAGGTCGATCACCATCTGCTATGAATTTGCTGATGCGCGGTTATTTAGGATCTTTCTTCCCAAACGGTTTGGAAGACTGTCTGGCTTATAAAAGACTGTCAAGAATCCCAGGGCCTGTTCTTTGTCTCCCTCCCTTTCTCCCACCTCCAATACGCTGTTTTTCTGCCCAACACGTCATTGTTCGACTATCTACGCACACCGCTCGCTGTCGGGCTCTTGTGTTTGTTCTACAAATACCGACGAGTGGTTAACGCCGCCTGCCTTCCAAGGATCGTCTCCCTTCGTTGAACATGGCGAGATATTGTGGGGAGAACGTGGCGTTTACCCTCGACTTGCATGACGTGCCTTCAAAATTGACGCAGCTTAAGGTGAATGCCGTCCATTGTAGCTGGCTACGAATAAGTATTCATGGCGTGTTTTCTTGTTAGGAGGCCGAGGATTTTCGTCCTAGAATTTCTTTCGCGTACGACGATGAAAACGACGTGAGTCGAGCGCAGACCGCCCTATTGCCTCCATTTCATGGTTCTTGCCGTGTTTTGAAGAATGTCAGCACGATCGACTTCGACACATTTAGCGTGTCCGTTGCGGAGGTCGAAGACGAAAAGGGATTTTTCATGGTATGTGGCCGTTTTCTTGCTGTACTTTTGCCGCTCTCTAAGGCCTTGTTTTGTTACCAGAAAGTCTGCACTGCGATTTCGAAGAAAATAGGAAACTTTGGGTCTTTCGTCCGCAGCTGCCAAATCTGCCCTTGGACCAAACGTCACTGAACGCTCCACAACCCAAAGCTCTTACATATAGTCAAGGGCTTAAACAGAGGCATACCTATTGTGCTTCGCTGACCTCATTTTTGAATGAACGTTGTACCATATTAACCTGTTACACTCTTGCTATCTCTTATCTCTTGCTGTCTTCGCTTTCTGAAGCTTTTTTCTAGCCCCGCATTGTCGGAAATCCTCTTGTGATTTATATTCCACGGACAGGCAAAAATCCTTCCTCCTTGTCTGTCCTTTCTGCCTCAGAAAATGTGATATTCGATTAGACCATTCGTACGACCTGCGAAAACATCTCTTAGCTACCTAGAGTAAATTCCTTGTGTATGGAGTGAAATGCGACGTAAATTTTCCGGCCCTTCATGCAGTCGTAAAGTAAGCCCAGAAAGGATGGAACTTCCACGATAGCAAGTCTGGTTTGATGTCAAAAATCCAAAATAAAACAAAAAAAAATCAGAGGTCGACTGGACCACGTACCATATGTCGTTTTTCTCAACAGGCCGATTTTTGCATTCTTTCACTAAGTAAGTCACTAATCGCACAGGGAGGCTTCTAGGTCCCTTGAATTAGGGGCTTGACTTACCTTACCTTTTCGTTTCGTTTCGGACTTTTTTGATCAGGTCAACCGGCTTCTGCAATTTGTCCACGCTCTCTGCTTTTCTCCACTGTCCTTCAGCACCCCCAGCTGTTACAACATGGTGATTTACCTACAGTGACTGGAATTCTGGATGGCAACCCGTCTACGACCGATCATAAGATCGCTGAAGAACCCAACATGAAGGGACACCTTGCGATGGCAGAGTCGTCGCAACTCCTCCTAAGATCTGTCGTCAACGTCAATTCTCCCTCAAGCTCGAAGCAGTATGAAAGAAAGATCGCACCTGGGTGCAAAGCAGGAGTGGATAGGGAAATTGTGTTGGAACTGAAGTCTTGCTTGCATTGTTCTGGTTATGGCCGAGCGGGAAAAAGTGTGTCTTCCTCTGAGTGTCCTCCTCAACGTTGACGAAGCAACATTACTTGAAATACAAGCACGACACCGCGACTGGTTAGCTACCCACCTCTCTTTGATTGACAACCTCAAAAATCAGTGAAAGCTGCCGATAGAAGGGCGAAGTCAAATTTCGACCCCTTGACAGCTGTCTTGGGACACCCACTCACTGCCATCGACGTTGGCCTCAGCACATCCATCGGTACTGAGGCTGGCCTCACATCACAAGAACAACCAATTTTGCTCGATGTCGTTGCTCTCGTCAAGCTGCTGGGCTCCTTGAACGACATTGCCGTTCTGGCGGCTAGGCAAGCAGTTTGCCTCGCTTTTCTGGTCTCCTGGTACCTCTTCCGAAGCGCCATGGTCGGGCTGGTTCTCTCAGGAGTGTCCTGACAGAATCTTCCCTATACCCTCATCCGAAGAGGGCCATCGCCTTGAATACCAAGTTTTTTCAAAGTTCAAACGCAAGAAAGGGGGGCATGACTGGGTTGATTCTCTCAGGGGTGTCCTGACAGAATCTTCGCCAATACCCTTATATCAAGGAAACAAGTGCGTGAACACCAGGCTGCTTCGAAAGCAAGAACAGGTTGCATCGGAGGAATTCGCCAGTCATTGGTCGTCCTTTGCCTTTCAGCTGAGTGGTCTATTTCTTTCACTCTGTTCGCTTTCTCTGTCGCTTGCCCGCTGCGCGAGTTGCACCAGCCGCCATAGCACGCCGATCAGCATTTGCCCACCGGATTGAAAGATTTCTGGAGGGCGTTTCGTTGCATCTGTGTTTCTTATGGCCGTGATGGCTCAACTCTTGCAGATGGCCCCACTGGCCTCCGTGTATCTTGCCTGTTTCTTCATCGTTTGTTTGGTTCTTGGGCCGTGACTCCGCACACGGGTTCGTTGGAAATCGTTGACCCACGCAGAACACTGCTTAAGAAGCATGAATACTCGTCCATACATCATAGTTGGGGAAGGAAGTGAACGGTGACTCTGAGCCGTCCTCCCTTTCGTTTGGTGACGAAGTCACGTGCCATGACTCTTGCAGGCCTTGGTGGTGGACCGCGTCGACGAGGAGCTAGGATGAGTTAAGGGCACTCGGGTGGGTTGGAAGATGGCCGGGAGTCGACGGTTCATGTCTTGGCCCTGGTGCACGGTGTTTAACTAGGCAGACGAGTGCTGCTGGCGGGGTTGGGCTCAGAAGGAGAACATGCCAATCCAACGAGGAAAGCTCATGGTGCAGGGTCGTCCAAAGCGTGTTCTTCGAGCATATAACGCATGAACGTCTGCCGCTGCGAGGACGAAGTGGAGGGAATCGTAGTTGGAAACATTCCTAGCCATTGCAACTCCGCTCACTGGAGTGTCTCGCAATAACCATCACGTCCCTCCTTTCGCGGTGCAGATGGAGGACCGATTGCTCGATACCGCTGTGCGGGTGGAGGGGAGTTCGAGGATTTCGGGGAGCGGTTCGTTGAGGATGAACAACGAATCTGGAGGGGGTGTTGAGTACGGCGTTGCACACGTTAAATCACATTGTGGTTCACGTCCCCAAGAAATTACACCATTCAGCTATCAGCTCTCTGGTGGATTAAAGACGAATATGCTGCTCCCGCACCTTCAAGAGGGGGTTTAGTCGGGATGTGCAATAAAATACAAGGACGCCAACTAGTCGCACCAACGCACCTCGGGAGATCTCCATCACTCGGCAAGTCGGCGCCTATTCTCTACTAGCGGGCAGTCCCTGCCCTCTGCGACTTTCCCAGATGTTGGTGTGAATTTTTGGGGGTCGTACTAGGGTGTCCTGGAGATGGTGGATGGGAGGGTACCACCTTGAGGCCAAACAGTCAGGCAGTTCGGGGCTAACTTTATCACCGCCCTGTCAAGTGGTATGAAAAACGCGCTGATGCGCGGGATCGTTATAGGAGCGCATGTGGGTTTTGTTTCTGGCATTCCTTCCCGAAAACCTGGACTTGGGTGCCCCCTTGCCCTATAAAGGTGTTTGTTAGATACTCCGTCCTCTCACAACTCCCTCTCTCTCCTTCCAACTCAACAACAACATTTCCCTCCGCCGACGTCGTCGACCGTTGTGCTCCTTTCCCAACCGTCAAAGCTCAGCGGCGACGCGCGTTGCTTGGTGTCGCATTGTTTGCGGCTATAAATATCGACGAACAATCTCAGGCGGGTTTTGTACGCAAGGGAGCTTGTTTCTGTCCTCAACGATGGCCCCATTCTGTGGCGAGAATGTTAGTGTCGCTCTGGGTCCACGCTACGGCCCACTCGGAATAATGGATATCACGGTGCGCCTTTTTCTCAAGCGCGTTCTCAGAGACATTGTTTACTTACGGCGCGTTCGTCGTAGAAGACGGAGGACTTCAGGCCAAACGTCTCGTACATGTACGATGCTGGGGTCGAACCCGACGTAAGTTCTCGCCTACGACGCGTCCATGCTACTCTCTCACTTCTCTCAATATTGCCAGAACATCAGTGTTACAGAACTCGACACGTTCACTTTGTCCACAAGTACTGCGGAATTTAACGAAGAAAAAAGTTTTTGCTCGGTATGCCAACAGCCATCTTCGAAAATGTTTGTTCTAAAGTTTATTTCCATTCAGACGGTGTACACCGCCGCTTCCGAGAAGATAAAAATCCTCGCTGGATACATCAAATCCTGTGGACGCTTCTGCAGTTGCTATTCCTCGTCGGTGGTCTCTTAAGGAGGCCTGTCGCGTAGACGTTTGTCTAGCAGACAAAAATGGCACCTCTGTCCCAGACGACAGTGTGCCTTACAGGTTTTGCTTTCCATAGTCAATGGTTTCCGCCATTTTGGAATTGACTTCCTTCAGTGCGTGTGCACTTGTAGGCTCGCGTGCTTCTGTTACTCCTTTTATTTTAAATTTAATGCGCTTCCTTTCTTCCGTCTTTGCTCTCTCGCTACGCAGTTACTTCTTCCTTCTTCAGCGCCTCATTCCCTCCTGGCGAGATCGATTCCGTCATCCCGATTTTCCGTCTATTTTGTTACGCCTCGTGTTCGTCTACAGTCTCCTTGGATATTGCTCTGATTTTCTCGACATTCCTGTACCATATATGTGCATTGTGGAATATGTTACGCCCATGACCCTACAATTTATAGTCCAACTGCTCTACTTCGTCCGGAAGCCCTGATATCGTCAAACTTTATTCTAAATTGAGCTGATATCGAAACGTGCAGTGCTCTGAATCACCGTCAATGGGCTTCTTTCTGATCATAGACGACTCGCTCAAGAGGGAGCGTAGTAGGAAACGACTGATCCTCCGCTCAAGCGACGTTGATCGAGGATGTATGTCGTAAGTGTCGTGGTCACGGAAAATCTTTAAGGTTGCCTTGAGTTGAGTTGAACGGCGCGGGTGCGGACAATTGCCTCCGGTCGCGTGGAATAAGGTGAGATCGCCGTGGTCAATCTAGATGACTAAATGCCACCCTGCAGGCTAGATGGAGTAAGCATTGCCATGTGTTCGTTCCTCGCCCACACATATCCACTTAACCATACGCAGCTCAGTCTTGGACAGGGGGTAAACGTTCTAGAAACCAAGTTCAAGGGTACTCCAAATGTGCTTCAAAGGCCGGGACTTTGGACTGACAGGTGGTAGGTGGACGGATAGCAATGTAATGATACATCGAGATTGATTAGGGTTCCGGTGGGGTAGGTGTGCGCAAGCACAATATTCTAGAGCAAGTAAGCTGAGATGGGGTTAATGGGCGACATTACTTTGGAGTTCAACATCGGTGCCCGGGTATGCTGACATTCCGTTTTTCTCCTCTTTGCCTTCTTCGCAAGAACGACGTGGGTTGTGAGAAGACCCGATAATTTATCCAATTAGACCTTGAATCCCAAGCTGCGCATGCAGGCTATGTGATTGGCTAGCTCTTGCTTGCATTTGCCCTCGGCTTCGGACGGGTCGTATTTCAGGAAGCAATCATCGCGAGCAGACTTGGTCTGCGGGCACGCGCAACATCTAGAAGCAAGAGACGTTCAAAGAGATATTTCCCTGAGCGAGACGGCGACGGCGTACGGCTTCAGGCCCTGTGGGTTGAGCGGGTTCATCTTGGGGTCTGTCGGGTCGAATGGTTTGTCATCCACGACTGGACTCGGCGACCACCAAGCAGATATCTACGTCGAGGATGGACAGTGAGACCGAGATAACGCGAGAACGAGTTAGTCGCGCACCTTTCCGAACATCGTAAGCGGCAATGGATGAGAGCAGTGGAGAAGGAAGGTGCAGGAGACGGACGTCGGAGAAGACGTTTCATGAATGCGAAATTCATCGAAGCGCATCACGTGCATTTGTTCCCAATGCGGATAAGCACATCGCCGAAATCATGTCATAATGCGACTACGTACTTAGCTTTCGTCCTTCCTCATTTCTCCCATTCTCTCCCTCCTTTCCGCGCCAGCGACGGCGCAGCGGCGTCCTCGAAGAGCGACACAGCGTGCATGTTTCAGCGCAACGGCCTCTGCACATAGACCAGCCATTCTCACGACCCATCATGCCAATATTAATCTCGCAGAGGGGCCTGTTTTTCGGTCTTTTCTTCGCAATCTTCGCCAACGCACAGACCTGTGAAAATTACGGTCTACCCAACGAATCCTCCTGCCAATGCCCAACAGGTTTTGGAGGCGCGACATGTTCACAGCCCGGGTGCGGAGGGACAATCTTTCAAGGGACGCAACGTCCTCTCGCTGCTTCACCAGGCAGTTTCGCAAACTTGACCGCTGCAGGCTGCTCCTGCACTAGCGGATGGATCGGGACTGGGTGCAACGTTTGCCAGAGTGCGGACGCATGCCAGAGCGGTTTTGCATCCACTGGCACCGTGGATGCCAATCCCACGACCTTGGGAGCTCAAGGCAACGAGACCATGACCTGCAATACAGAAGCCCGGGTATACGCTTCTAGCCAGATGAGCTGTCGCGTCGATGTGCGTTCCCCCGTCTTCTAGTCTCCCACCCATGCTGACCCCATGTCAATTTCCGAATTAGAACCCAACTCTACGAGCCCTCTACCCCCTATCATCTACATTGAACATCCAAAGAACGCTCCAGCCAACCCTCAGCCCCATACCTAACACGACGTCCTTCGGTTCGGCCGGCAGTGCCTTTGCCCAACTGTTCTACGACGGCGTAGAACAATTTTATTGCCAAGCGAACTCGTGCGTCCAAGACCTCGGGACGACAGCTAGTGGCAGCGCGAATTGGGAATGCCAAAACCTCCAATGCACATGCAGGCCTGGAGCAACGTTTTGTGGTGGTGTTCCCGCCACTGATCTCACGAGAGCAATCGATGGCTTGACAGGGACGCTCAGCATTAACTGCGGTGCCGTTGATGCCTCAACTGGAACCGCGACGTGCAATTTCCAACAAGCAACTTTGCAAGGCCTTTTCGGAGCGAATGGACTGACGCTCAATGGGTGCACGTTCGGAGAGTGCGTACGGCAGAATGTGATTGATGGTGCTGGTGGCGGCACCAACTCGACGAGTACAGCTGCGGAGTCGGCTCAACCTCTGAGCAACGGGGTTATCGCTGGGCTCGCTGTCGTCGGCGGCTTGCTTCTCTTGTCCTTGCTACTGCTTGCCCTCGGCCTAAGGACGCAACGGCTGGCAAGGAAGAACGCAGCCGAGTACGAGAAGAACAGGGTGTCGTTGGAGTGGTCTTCTCTCAGCTACATCCTTCCTGGTGCAGGCAAGAAGGGCGCATTATTCGGCCTGTTTGGGAAACGAAAAGGCAGCGAATCGACTGATGTCAACGACGACAAAGTGATCTTGGATAATGTCAGTGGAAAGGTTAAACCCGGAAAGATGATGGCGATCCTTGGACCAAGTGGTATGTTTGTTCTATCGTTCAGAATCGAGGAAACCGATGCATATACCCACCTTCAGGTGCTGGAAAGACAACTCTCGTCGAAATCCTTGCCGGCAAATCAAAGTCAGGCATCGTCTCCGGAACCTTCGGTCTGCTCTCCAACTCTACGTCCTCCAATGCAGACGATGCCCCTCGTATCGGCTTCGTCCCACAACAAGATATTCTCCCAGCCACCCTGACCGTATTCGAAGCTCTCCTCTTCGCAGCACGCCTCCGACTGCCAGAGTCGATCCCTGACGTTGAGAAGAGACGACGCGTCGACGTCCTCCTCGAGAAGCTGGGTATTTCGTCGATCAAGGACCAGAGGATTGGAGATGTGTCCAGCGGCGGTGGAAAGGCACGGGGCATTAGTGGTGGCGAGATGAGGCGGGTGAGCATTGGACTTGAGCTAATTGCTGAGCCGGATGTGCTATTACTGGATGAGCCAACGAGTGGGCTTGACTCGGTGTCAGCGAAGAGGGTTGCGGACGTGTTGGGTGCGATTGCGGAGGAGGGCACGCCAATTGTGGCTTCAATACATCAGCCGAGGTATTTTCGTTTTAATCACCTTTTAATTTCCATTTCTAACATTGTTCTTTGGTGTTTAGTTCACAACTCTACCACAAATTCGACCTCGTCATGCTCCTCGCTCATGGACGCGCACTCTACTCTGGCCCAGGTGGGTTCGCACCCGCCGACTACTTCTCAGGTATCTCCCAGTCCGGTTCGGTCGCGATTCCGCCGTACCAACAAGGCTACAACGTCGCCGAGTACCTGCTCGAGGTGGCGAACGACCCCCCGGTTGGCCTGTTCCAGGCGCAGGTGCAACATCAGCAACAGCTGAAGGAGCAAGAGCAGTCGCATGGGACAGGCACGACAGTGGGCACGAGCGAAGTCGATGGGCAGTCCCAAGAGGAGAAGGTCATGGGGTCGCCCGACATCAACAAGTTGGGTAATGGCGGTGCTGCGAAGACTGTACGCACGAAGGCACGGACGGGATACGCAACTACGTTCTTGACACAATTTGAGTACCTGTGTGGGAGAGAGTGGAAGAACCTAAAGCGCGATAAGACCCTATTCTTGACGCATGTGGGTGTAGCTGCTGTGCTTGGGGTGTTCTGTGGTACGTACACTGCTTCTTTTCTCTCTTTATTTTGGGGTTTGGGGCGATGCTGACGTCGATAAACTATCTCAGGTGGCCTGTACTTCAACACAGGCATCACGATCGCCGGCTTTCAATCGCGTGTGGGGTGCTTGTTTTTCCTTGTAAGCTTCTGGTTCTGTTGCCCATGTCGACGTAGTTCAGATTGACTGATGATCTGTCGAAACATCCTTCTAGGGTGCCTTGATCGCCTTCTCTTCCCTCAGTGCTCTGTACAACATGGTCGAAATTCGACCGCTTTTCCTGCGCGAACGTTCTAGTGGTTACTACAGGTACGCAAATTTTTTTCTACCACCAACATCTGCTGACGATGGAATCTGTGTTTGCGACGATAGCCCGACAGCATGGCTCCTCTCTCGTTTCTTCTTCGACATGATACCCCTCCGACTGATACCCAACATTATTGTTTCAACTATGTAAGGAAAGAGCGGCGTTTCTTTCGGATATTTCGTTGTTAATTAATCGTCGCAGCACTTACTGGATGGCCGGCCTCGCAAGCGACCCGGCCAACTTCTTCAAGTTCCTGCTCATCATCGTGCTCTACAGCTTGGCCATGACTCTATTTGTAAGCTCCTTCGTCTTCTATCGTTTCTTTATCTCTTTGTCATCGGCTCAAAACACTTGCCAGAACTTCCTCCTTGGCACCCTGTTCCAAAACGGCGGCATCGCTATCCTGCTCTCTGCGCTCTCAGCTCTATACCAAATGACGTTCGCTGGCTTCTTCGTACACCTCTCCGACATCCCGCCCGTCCTGCGTTGGCTCCAGTGGTTCGCGCCGCTCAAGTACACTCTCGAGGCACTCTCAGTCAACGAGGTCGACTCAGGCCTCATGATCGAAGATTCGCTCCAGGGCGTTCCCGTCAGTATTTCAGCGAGTTTGATAATGAATATCGTGAGTGTCATTGCTTGTTCAAGTGCGAAATTGTGGGGACGCTGACGACTGCCTTTGGCAGCTCTTCGGTTTCGGGTTAGACAATTACTATCGAGACGTACTTATTCTCGTTGGGTTCATTGGGGGCTTCGGTGTCGGCGTCATCGGCGTTGTATGGTTCAGCGTTCGGGAACGGAGATAACGAAGACCTATGCAGTCTTCGGTCTGAAGCAACGCTTTCGCCTTCTCGTGTCCAAAAACATCGGATTGCGCATACGGTGGTATCAAATGAACACAACACTCTTTCACTTTGTACTTTACATACAACGTATTTATGTAGCTGCTGCTTGTTATAGGTCGATCTGTATTCCGTAGAAGCATCTCAACAGACTATCGTTCTTTTGCCGTAGGGTTTGAGTAGGGTGTTAGGTGGTGAAAGGGGACGCGTCGACGAGGGTATAACAATATGGTACATGCAGGTGTGGGATTCAAGAAAGCGAAGAAAGCAGATGACAGCGCAAGTGTGGCAGACGAGTATAGTACAATGATAGAACCGAGATTAGCAAGAAGGCGACGAAAGTAACCCTGGGGATGATAATGTGGACGGACGCGTCTAGTCGGAGGTGGCAGCAGAATTCCAACCGCAACAAGAAAGGATAAATCGGCCAACGCTTGCCATTTTGCTCAAAATCGCGCAGCGTACTCGCTGGAGACCAGAGACATCAGAGCGTAAGATCACGAAAAGGCGAGTCCACGTACCGACCAGAACCCAGGCTTTTCCTCAACTTCCGTGACGCTGCTGGTGGAGACGCTAAATGTGTCGAAATCGATCAAGCTGACGGTCTACAGAATGAAAAAGAATATGAAATCATATCGGCGAGATGTAGACAGGCACTCACGTCATTTTGGCCAATGTTGTACGTGAACGATATCTGAGGCCGAAAATCGTCAGTCTTCTACGCCGAAAGGCCATCATCAGCATTTTGTGGGCAAAAAGCGCTCAGAAACACGCGTACCCCGATTTGCATGAGTTTTTCAGGCGAATAGTATGAGCTCGGAGGGAATGTGACGATTTCCCCGCAGTACGAGGCCATTTTCAACGCAGGAAGAAGGAAGAGGATCCTTGGCTGGCAAGCGGGGTAAACAGCGCGTCTATATATTTATAGACCAAAAGCAACACGGCGAATCCCAGCAGATAACGGAGGCAGTCTTAAAGAGCGTGGTGGGCGAGGAAAATGATGTTGTTGGCGGGGAGGAAGGGAAGAGAGGGTGTGAAAAGCCCCTGTATGTCTTTTATAGGCAAGGGTGCCCCGAATTTAGTTTCAGGAGGAAAAGAGAATCCCCGCTCCTAATACAGTATACGCATCAGCACACATTTGCATCAGATTGACATTCGGAGACAGAACTTACCTTATACTGCTCGACCGCCCTGCGTCTCCGCTCGCTGCCCCGCCAGAGTCATCCATCCCATTGCCGAGCCCACGAAAACCCAAAGTCACCGGACCAACTTCGATAGACGCAGAACTGAGCGTGTCGTTCGTCGATGGAAACACCCAGCTTAAGCTTTCCCCTTCGAAACACTGAAAATACTTCTGAGTTCGTGGATGGGTTGAATCTTCCTTCAAACACGTCGACAGTTCTTAACGTCGTTGGAACAGCGGTTCCTGCCCAACAACTCTGTCGTGTCGTCGAAGCTGGATGGTGTCCACATGGCGAACCGAAGCCCATGACGGCGGTCTCCTCTCTTACGTCCAGTGCACATCCACCAACAGACGGGTGTTACTGAAACGTTCGGACAAGCCTGAGGCAAGGAATCAGCAAATGAAAGAGGAAGGCCACTCTCGTTCGTCGCCTCGGAAGGGAGATAGCAGTCCCTGAGGCAGTCCAAGACACCGTCGGATGACTGGCGTCTGACCATGCACCAAGCCATAACCGACAACATCTTCGATCTGAGAACATTGGACGGCTCAGATGTAGACCCTACATCCTGATTGCACTTCTGACGACCGCCAGCAGGAACTTGGGCACTGAAGTCGACACGGGAGGGCATGTCTTGCTGGCCTGACCAATATCTCGTCGTCGGCAGAATCCCACCTCCCAAAAATTGCCCTCCAGCTCAAATCTCCAGTATTTCTGGAGAAGCTTGGTCCCCATCGACCGAAACGCGTACATCATCCGTCCAAAACCCTTCCCAATCCTTCGGTCTGCAGGCCTCGTCTCACTGGATGACGGCGTGACACACGTGATCTCCGAGTCACGATGGAAAAGGCGGAGACGACATGAGGTGAGTCATCAACAACACTTCGTCTTGACCACCACGTCCGAATAATGCTCATGTTTGTCGAGCAGATTATGTGTGCGCCAAATGTGTCCCCATCCCTGTGTGATTCAAGAGAATCAAGGCCCCAAGACCGAAGAAATCAAGCAGACGAAAATCAGCCCTTTGTGTGATATCGGCGACATTACAAGAAGTCAAGAAGACCACCTCCTCCTGTCGAGGAGAACTGTGGAATCTGTGAATCTCGAGCTCTTTGATGTGCTGAACCACCCCAAGAGGCAGAATAGCCACAAGAAAGGAACGAGACAGGCAACTCACCTGAGGGACCCATATTCACTGGCAACCCAACATCTTGCTCTTCAAACCCTGTTGCTGAGTTTCTTGTGCTTGAGGACGACTGTCCCGAGTGAATGAGATTTTTTCTTGAAGATGCAACCATATCGTCCTTGGAGGAACCAACTTTGTCCATGCTGCGATACACGGCGCTCAGGCCACGAGGAGAAGGCTGAAAATGTCTTTGCGACCAGAGCAGTGTTGGTTCCTAGCACCAGCTGCTCGCTGAGCAACTGAGAAGCTGAATAGAGCATTTTTGACGACTTGCGCGACTTTTTGACGACGGTGCGTTGATGTTGTTGTTGGCAGGGATCGTCCATGATGCACGACCGAGAGTGCTGAATGTGGCACTGACGAAGCAAAGTCGTGGCAGGGCGTCCAGAGAAACGTTTTCCATCTCCTGCTAGTGTCTCTGCCCGTTGAGGTGGTCGAAGAATGAAGCAGAGGTGGGTCGCCATCACATTCGGTTTTGAGGACTGATTTTCCAGCAAACATCGCCTCTTGATGTAGAGAAAAACAGACAAAGCAGACGCACCATGAGCCAGGTTCGTTCATTTTTTGCGCGCAATCCATCCTAACCAACCCTTCCATCAACAGCGACGACCCCTTCAACTTCCAGAATCGGTCCAGCTGGCAACGAGCTCGAGCTTGAGGTTTCTCTGTGCCTTCCCGCAGGTTGATGGGCAGTCGACGAGAAACAAGCGTCAAACCCACCTCTCCGACCGCCAACAAAGCCTGAACATGAACCTTAGTTCGTTTACCGGCCTTGAAGAGAGGCGTTAGGTGAGGATTCGTCGTTGTGAGGTGTAGAATCGCTAACGACCGTGGTAGAGTCAGGGTTTCGCTGAGTTCCAAAGAACAAGCGTGATCAACAATTTGTCCCAAAACGAAGCGGAAGTATAGTGCAGTGGCCCCTAAATTTCCTCTGCATCAATAATTCGAGGGTTTGTCTCGTTCGTAATACTGATTCTAGTCTTCAAGAATTATCTTCGGGGCATTTGCGAACTTTTTGGAAGATCCTGGATCTCGCTGCCGCTATCAGACTCCAAAAAGACCCGAAGATGGAATCTAGCGGCACCTCTCTGAACAGTGAACGCCCATTTCTGGCTGCTGGACTTTGTAGGTGCTGATGAGTTACATAAATACGACGATCTCTCAATCGAATTCACTCCATAAGCACAGAATTCCCGGTTACCAACGACACTGGCCGCTTCAGAAATGTTCGTAAGCAAGTTGTACTCTGCCAGCTGTAAAACACTGAAATCCCTACTTAGTGGGTGGTCTCAGCAAAGTTTTAAGTCGCTTCTATAAGCTTGAAAAAAGCCAATGACACGAGATCCTCATCGATGAGTAAACTTGCCCCCCTTTAATACGTTCGAAAATCATGACGATTATCTATTGACTGAGCAGGTGTCTGAGGACCGTCTGTGTGGATACGATATGTATGTGGTAACAACAAAATGCTATGATACATTGAAGAAATAATAATCTAGAGGATGGTGACGATGACATTTACTCAAGGTGCGAGCGTAGAGAGCGGAGCAAAGCAAAAGATCTAACAGAGAAACAACAAACAAGGACGAATCCAAGAAATAATGAGTGGGATAGGGCGAAAGCCTTCATGAATAAAGTATAATGAAAAGAGCGAATATCACGGCGAGCCGAAGATCAATAGGACTGCGACGAGGACGTGCATAGGAAATAGAAGGGAATAACCCTCGAGTTGGAGATCATTCTCTAGTCCAACGAAGATATTTGTCAATGGGCGACAGCATTTCAAAGCCCCAAAGCACCTTACTTACACGTAAAACACCCCTATCCTCCAGCACTGCACTCAGAACACTAATAGCATCAAGGTCAATCTCGCTAACAGGCTGAGAAATCCGACTTTGAGCCAACAATTTTTAAAAACGGGGTGCTGGCTCACCTCAGGCTCGGCAACAACATATGAAAACGAAAGAGTTGGGCGAAGGTCCTGCGTTTTCTGAGGGAAAGGATCAATTTTGCGTGGATTAGCACCGACGAAGCGCAGCAAAGGACCTCATACCACAATTTGTAGAGGTTTTCCCTGGAAATGCTTGATCAAACGGCAACGATGCTTCAAATGACGAGCAGCAATGTCAATGTCCCTCAGTGAATAAGCAGAAATTTGCGTTGGCAGCATAGAGGTAGGCGTCGTCGATATTTATAGGCCAGAAATAGAACCGTAACGCCGAAGACAATGTCAAGGCAGCGAAAAGAAAGCGTGGCAGGCGTCAGGATGGTGGTGCTGACGAAGGAATAGGGAGAGAAAAGGAAGAAGGACCCTGCATGAAGCCTGAGCACCTTTTATAGTGGTTGCGCGTAACCCAGATTGCATTTCGGGACGCAGAGAACATCCAGGCCTAAATAAAGGATACGCATCAACGATTTCTTGGAATGACATTGTCACCGCTAGACCAACAAATACGTCCCCACACTCCTCCGCCATTACCACCTCCTCTCGGACCTCCGTCCAAATTTCCTGCAATGTACCGACGGAAAGCCCCGCCGCACTTCTGTCCCTCAAACATGGAGACCTGCGACCACCCTCTGCGTCCTGAAACGCCTTCCGTGTGGAACAGACGCCAATCATCCATCCCATTTCTTCTCAACGCATTCTGGCCACCTGCAAGCAAAGGCCCTCCGTCCGTGCGCATCTGAACCGCCTGCAACGTGATTCGGTCGAGGTATGCTGCATCGTTACGAGCCCTCCGCGTCCTGAGATGCACTAGAACTGTTGCCGCAGAATGTCCTTTTACGAGACAAGGGCATAGCAAAGCACGACACAGGACGAAGGTCCCTTCGCGCCGTCCCCTTTCCACTACGACGTCTAGGAAGCCGTATGAGGGAGAATAGCTGGGAATACAGCCGAACGGCATCCATTCTTGGTCCATTCAAGATGAGAATACCGCAACCCAGGCCGGGGTGGATTCTGCCCTGCATTGGCCAATATCTGGATTTTGAACCCATCATCGTCGCTGGTCCACAGAATTTCCCTCATTTCGACACAAATTAATCTCTCCCTGGCGGCCTCCATCTCGAAACCTATCAGGAAGGCTGGAGACCCGGCTCCCAGCCGTCTCCTCCATCCTCACCGAACACACTGTGATGTCACCGTTACATGTCACACAAGAACGGCGGCAGCGCACCTCGGTGAGTCATCCCCATTCCCTGTTCCCCACCACCATGTATGAAAAATGCTTATGTTTGCAAGCAGAATTTGTGTGCGCCAAATTGTCCCAGCCAGGTGTGATTCAAAATGAATCAAGGGCCAAGGCCTCCAGGAAGGACAACCAATCAAGCTAGACTGTCGACCAGAGTGATCCTCCTAGGACATCGCAAGAAGTCGAGACGCAAGAATAGCCTCCAGTAAAAAATGAATCCTAGGGATTTTGCAACTCTAGAGCTCTTGGCTGTGCTGGGCCGCCTCAAGTGGCAGAAGAGCCGTCGAAGAAAGGATGAAAATGACTGCAGCAAGAGAACTCACCGAATTCAATTTCTGGCGACAGTCTGATAAGCTTTGCTTGAGGTCTTGCGACAGAGCAGTTACGACCTTCTCTGGCTTTAAGAGACGTCGAGATCGACCGACGGCCGCTGGATTTTTGAGTCAATGACGCGTCCAGATACCAGCCTCGTCGAGTGGTGAAATCAAGTCGGGGACGACGATGGAGAGGTTCGAAAGCCACCTGGAAAGTATCGCATGAACACGCCGTGGCAGCCAGCACCTCAAATCTTGAGCAGATTGGCTTTTGATACCTTCATGTCCATTTCCTCAAAATCATCGAACCTGTAATCCACATCCTGCATTCCAGGGAGTGACCTGGCGGCGATGGGATGCAGAATCCTGCCCCCGACGGCCTGAAATTGTCGTACAGCAGCCTTCCCGATTTTTCCTGAGTGTGCGGAACACTGCTGCCTAAAGGTCTGCATGGGGGTCGAGGAAGGGAGTTCGTTGACTAATAAGGGGGATACTTGGGATACTGTGCGGTCTCGTTGTGGTGGTGGTCCGACAGCAAGGCATGCAAGAGACGTACAGTGAGCCAAAACCTTCTTCGTCCTCGCCATACTTCTCTTGACCGATTTCTTCCTTCTTCCCATCTCCAGGAATACCTTCAACAGATCTCTCTCCACCTAATCAGCCTCACATATCTTCGCTGGCGAGAGTTGAAGCAGTGCAAGGCCAACAACCGAGTGCCTAGTGACATAACCTAGCTGTTCCAGCCTCTCCTCCACATTTAGGGCACCTTCAAAGCTTCGAGAGGCGAGTCCTCCACGTGTTGAAGCACCATGTTGCTGAACAGGGGTCGAATAGGCCTCAAAGAACTGGTCGAGGGTTGAATGAAACTCGAAATCAGCGGGGTTCTAAAAGGCCACCCTTGCGATCAGTGGAAGGGCGGAGGCGAATGGGAATTCGAAATACAAACAGGGACCAGAGCCCCTAAAGAACGATATTCTCGCACAAGAGACAGACGATGACGATTTCTAGCACAGTGAAAACCTTCTCCTTATTCTAGTTATGCTCTCAGTGACCTTTTTCTGCAGGATACTGCAAATTTGACGAAACAGTCTACACATGATTTAGAAAGAAACGTTGCAAGAAGTCACCACAAACATCTGAGCCTTCAGATAGAGCCTTCAAACTACATCTTATTCGTTAATCGTCCTCGAGCGAGTGGATATGCTCCTCCAGCCAACGCCGGATACCCTACAGGCAAGCCAGTTCCAAACCCATTCCTTTGAAAAGCTCTCCTGATAAATTTGAAACTAGCGCGCAACCCTCACGGTCTAATTGCGTACATCCTACAGCAACATGGCATTGCCTCCTAACAGAACTTCTACTGGAGCCGAATGCCTTGCATATCTGGAAGAAATTCAATTCCAGAATCTTTTACGCGGGTATTCCTTCTCATTCATCGTCAAACCGTGGTTCCGAAGTACCAATTCCAGCGGACGAATGACCATCGCTCGTGGTGGCGGCCGCCTTGCACTATGTTCCGCCTCTGGTCTTCAGGCTACTGTTACGTCGTTCAACGTTGATCGAGATCCAATATGATTCCCCTTGTCCTATGCTCGTTCTCTCTCTGAAATAACAGACAATCAGTCAAACAATCGTTGAAAGGGTGCGACAACGGCGACGATAGATCAACTTTCTGCAAGACTGCTTCCATTGTTGATTGGAGAGGATGAAAGAACGTTTAGGAACGATAAGAGGCAATTGTCCGACCGCACCCATGCCTCTTCCTCTAAGTCAAGAAACAGACGACCTTAAATATATTACGGCATCCACCTCGATTCAGGTCGCTTGAGCGGAAGGCGCCACCCGCTTCCTAAGTACCACGCTGTGCAACGCCTCCTGCTTAGTCGTCTAGGATGCCAAATACGTCCTTTGATAGCGATTCAAAGCATGGATCTTTTCAATATCAGTTCAGTTCAGAACATTGGCCTTGACGATATCGGAAGAGACTACAAAGGGTTGTTCCGCAAGTCCTTGCTATAAATTGTCGGGTTGTAGATTCTTATGATACAGAAAAGTAGAGAAAATCACCACGATATCGAAGAGACATAATGTAAATAGACGAACAGGCTGTATGACGGAATCGATCTCGCCAAGGTAAAATGAGCCGCAGGAGAGTGAAGAAGCGGACCTGGAGCGAGACAGAAGCAGCGAACCACGAAAGAAGCTTATTGAAATAAAAGGAGCAGTAGAAGCAATAGAAGTAGAAGTCAACGAGCTTATGCATACATACTGAAAAGAAGTCAACGCAAATTTGTGGAAACCATTGACATGGAAAGCAAAACCTGTAAGGCACTCGGTCGTCTAGGGTCAAGGTGCCATTTTTTCATTTTTGTCCGTTGCAAATGGACGCCAGTGTCCGCCCGCCTAAGAGACCATCGACGACGAATAGAAACCGCAGAAGCGGCTGGCGGATTTGATGTAACCAGCCAGGGTTTTGACCTTCTTGGAAGCGGCGGCGTACACTGTCTAAATGGAAAATAACGTTGGATAGAAACGTGCCCGAGGATGAGTGTTGGCGTACCGAGTAAAAGCCTTTTTCTTCTTCGACCTCAGCAGTGCTGGACACGGTGAACGTGTGGTGCTCTGTGACGCTGATATTCTGGTAATAGTGGGGAAAGTGAAAGGCGTGTTCAGATGCGTCGTGAGTGAGAACTCACTTCAGGTTCGACGTCAGCGTTGTACGCGAATGCAATGTTTGGCCGGAAGTCCTCCGTCTTCTGCGACGACGCGTCGTAAGGAGGCGAATGGAGCTCGTCTAATAAAAATGCACACCGTAATATCCATTATTCCTAGTGGGCTGTAGCCTAGCGCGATGCTGACGTTCTCGCCACAGTAAATCGCCATTGTTGAGGAAAGAAACAAGCCCTGGCGTAAAGAACCCGCTTGCGATTATTCGTCGATATTTATAGCCGCAAAACAGTGCGACGCCAAGCAACGCGGTCGCACAACGCACTTGGTGGCGTTGGAAAGGAGGACAACGTCGGCGGAGGGAATGTTGTTGCTGAGTTGGAAGGAAAGAGGGAAATGGGGAGAGGACAACGGACCTAGTGGCACCTTCATAGGGCAAGGGCGCATTCCAAGTTCTCAGGAAGGAAGGATTCCGCGCATCAGGTTTTCATACCACTTGACAGGTACCAGGTGGTGTTAAAGTTAGCCCCGAACTGCTTGGCTGCCTGGCCTCAAGGCTCGCGGCGTCACGCCCTCCCGTTGACGTCTCCAGGGCACCCTAGTACGACTCAAAAATTCGCACCGAGATCTAGGAAGGTCGCAGAGGGCAGGGGCTACTTGGTTGTGGAGAATAGGCGCCGACTTGCCGAGTGATGGAGATCTCCCGAGGTGCGTCGTTGGCGTCCTTGTATTTTATTGCGCGTCAACACTGAACATCCTCTTGAAGGTGCGAGAGCAGCATAGTCGTCTTTAAGCCCCCAGAGAGTGGACAGATGAACGGTGTAATTTCTTGGGGAGCGTGAACCGCTATATGATTTAAGGTGCACCACACTGTACTCAACTCCCCCTCCATGCATCATTGTTTATTGGCAACGAACCACTCCTCGACATCTTCGGACTTCTCTCCACCAGAACGTCGGTATCCGGACATAGCAGCCCTCCCTCTAGTCGCGAAAGGACGAACACAACAGGTACTGCGGGACACCTAGAACTTCAGTGGAGTTCCAACGGCTGGAAATAGTTCCCGGCTACCATTCCAGCAACAGCTTCCCTCCACCTCTTCCTCAGGGAGACGAACGCCTATCTGTCCACATACTCGAACGTCCGTATACCGTGGGTCTTCGTCGTTTGGCTGGCGGACATCCTCTCCTGATGCTAAACCCGCCACCAACCACCAGAACTCGTCCGCCGGTAAAACCCCAGGCAACATGGTGGGACACATCCCGTCGACTCCCGAACACCCTCCAACCCACTTGAGTGCCCTTTACTCTTCCTAGCTCCCCGTCAACCCTCTAGACACAGGAGTCATGTCACGTGACTTGTTATCGGGTGCAAGGCTCAGAGTGAGTAACTGCTCATCTTCTTCCCCAACTATGATATATGAACGGGTGCTCACACTTGTTGAGCAGTGTACTGTGTGCATCAACAATTGCCAACGAATTTCGCGACCCAAGAACCAGCAAAAGGGGACAAGATGAATGAAAAAACCGAGAGTTGAGCCATCCCGACCACACAAATGTTCGAAGACACAGCGAAGCACCCTGCGGAAGCATTTCAATCCGCTAGAATGCTACTGATCTAAGTTCTATGGTGGTTGGCGCAACTCACGTGGCGGACGAGGGAAGAGAAGAGCGAAAAAAAGTCAAGGAAAAAAACCACTCAGCTTGAAGACGAGATTCGACCAATGGCTGGCAACTTGCTCTTAGGTGGTCCTCCTTGCGCTCTTGTGAAGAACGGCGTTGTTCAAGGCACTTGCCCTGGCCAGATGAGGGTCTCGGAGAAGATTCAATCAGGACACTCCTGAGAGAACCAACCGAGTCAGGCTGCCCTTTCTTGCATTCTGAGGAGCTCGGCCTTCACGATGCTCGTCGCCTTTAGGTGATGGTATCGGGGGAAGATTTTGTCAGGACACCCCTGAGAGAACTAACCTAGCCATGGCGCTCCGAAGGAGGCACCAGGAGACAAGAAATTTGAGGGAAGATGCTTTCGTAACTGCCAGAAGGGCGGTGTCTTCCCGAATACTTGACGAGAGCGAGCACGGCGAGCGACGTTGGACAACTTTTCCCTTGTGTTGAGAGCAGCTTTGATGGATCTGGACACCGATGTGATTGTCGACACAGTTGGATAGTCCCAAAAACTCGTCCTGTCAAAAGAAGCAAGAGCCTTGCAAGAGGTTGAAGATTATCCTTGCCCTCCTATAGAGGGAATCCTCGAAGTTTGATGTCATCGATTGAACACAGGTAGGTGGCTGACCAGTGGTGGTGTGTTGCATTTCAAGGAACGCTGTTTCGTAGATGACGAGAGAAGGCGAAGACGCACTTTTGTCCCCTGGAAGCGAACAAACATGACTTCAGCTGCTAAAAATCATTCCAACCACTCTTGGGTTCAATCCAGGTGCGAATCGCTCGTATTTTTTTCAGGTTGAGGGTTCATTGATGTTGACGACGTCGACAGACGATGCTCCAAGCCCTCTCTTCTTCTTGGACCGCTCAACAGTGCCTTGTGGGGGTCAAAGACGAGTTGCCGTACGGGGTCCAGATTACTGTAAGTTTTAAGAAAGTGTTGTAACATGTAGCTTGAGGTGCTGAAGCATTGCCATGGAGGAAAACAGACCGTGAATAGTGGTTCGCCTAATCAAGAAAGTCCGACGCAAGAAAAGGAAACTCAAGCCCCTAAGCCAACAGACCTAGCCTTACGTTCCGCGATTTGAGAAAAAAAGGCGAGATTTAGCCTGTTGAGAGCAAAAAACCATTATGGCACATTGTTCAGTCAATTTATATTTATTCCTGACTTATTTTTTTCTCAGCCGGGTCTGCTATTCGAATCCTGCGCCTTTTGTTGTGGCTGTCTTGGGGTATAGCAGCATGAACCGCCGAGAAAAACTCAAGAAAAAAAATCTACAGCATTTCACTCTACATAAACGGCATTTAGAACAAGATGATCTCGTGGCTTATTCAGACAACCTAATCAAATAACACTTTGTCTGAAGCAAAAGAATTAACGAGCAACGAGGAAGTTCTATCGACGTGGTGAAAAACAAAGACAACGTTTAGGGAGATTGGACTAGGCGAGATGTTGTACCGGAAAGCGAAGAAAGCAGAAGACAGCAATGGGAAGGGGTCTGATCGATATGGCACAGAAATGGCTCAAGAAATTCAGCACAGGAGATGACGGCAGCTGTGGCTCCTCTACGGCGGTAGTTTCTCGATTTTGGGGTTTCGAAGTCATTCAGCGGTATTCAACGCCGGCCGCGCGCAAAGCTCCAAGGGCAAAACGGGCAGCTAAGGAGGAAAATGCTGAAGCTTCTGATTTTCTTGAAAATTGCAGCACAAGCTTTCTGCGAAACGAAACGAAGCCTTAGATAATGGCGGAGACTCGAGAATGAAAAGGGTACATACGGTGAAGAACCCCGTATTTTCGTCGACCTCTGTAATGGATACAGTGAACGTGTTGAAGCCAATCGTGTTGACGGTCTTGGAAGTGCAAGAAGATCATGAAATAATATCTGAGACGGCCTGTCCTCGACTCACGTCATTTTCGTCGTCGTATGCGAAGGAGACTCTCGGACGAAAGACTTCAGGTTCCTGATAAGAAAACGTCTGATTAACGTCGCATTCGTAGCGGTCAACAATGAACAGAAATTACCATCAGCGGCGTCAGTTCTGATGACGGGTAATGCGAGTCAAAGATAAAGGCGACATTCTCCCCACAATATCTGGCCATGTTCAGCGAAGGAAGACGATTCTTGGCACACAGGATGTGTACACTACTCTTCGGTATTTGTAGAACAAGTACACGAGCCCAATGGCGAGCAGTGTACGTAGATAGTCGAGGAGCGCCGTTCTGGGCAGCAAAAGGTGTACTTGAAGTGAAAGAAAGGGGAAGAGACCGAGAATTGGCCCTGGGATCGTTGACGGTCTTTCATAAGCCAGGGGCTTCCAAACTCAGTGTTTGGGACGAAAGATCCTAAATTCAACTTACCCATCAGTGAATCCACACTATGTCAGTAGATTATGATGACATACCTCGTATTGCATCCCCGCCTTCCTTCACACCACCAGCCCCTTCGAAACCCATATATCCTCGAGGACGCGTTAGGCGACCAAGAAAATGGCACCTCATTCCAAGAATGCGATGAGCTCGGCAGGAGTGCTGCAGAATAGGCGCTACTGCCTTAGAAGGCTGAAGGCCATCTTAGGTGCGCGAATTCACTTCATGGAATATTTGCCTGTCATTCGTCCTTATAGAACATACTTGAGGGTTCTGGAAGAGAATATTCAGTTAAACACGCTCATAAAGCCATTCGTTGCCGCAGCAAATGAAGGGACGAAAGGTGCTGTCGAATTATCACTATCTCTCCCTTTGCTATTGGTTCCTGGCTGCGACGTCCAATGGCCTCGCCACGAATGCGGAACAGAGGCACGTACGACGTCAGCCGTTGGGAGACGGCAGAGAGAGCGATCTGCCTCCCTCATTCTCGATCCAACATCCCACCCGCGTCGGGATGCACCCATGCTCCGGCACCGACTTCTCTGGTCAGGATCCCCAAAGGCACCGCCGTCCCCTCCCTCTGGCGAAATACGGCCATTCCGGGTCATCCCCAAGCATACTCGCGCCAGCACAATCCCCTTGTCCTCCTGATATGCTCGAATCCTCCCCAATGCTCGAATCCCTTACCACCTTCTCGTCTACGGCCCTCCAGCATGCGAAGGCGTGACACGCGTGACGAGTCACTGAGAAAGGCGAGGACCACGGTTGACGTGAGTCATTCCCCCCTTTGTTCTCAACGATCATGTATGAAATGCTCATATTTGTTGACCAGGCTGTTGTGTGCGCCAACGTGTCTGAACCAAGTGTGCTTCAAGGAAGAAGCGAGTCCAAAGATCAAGAATCAAGAAGGAAGATCATCCAAGATGCAAGACGAAGGTTCAAGATGAAGGATAGCTCTGAGAGCGAGCATGCCAGCCGACATTGACACATGGGCATGTAGCACGACGGTCGAGGATACAGCGAAATCTTGGAGGCGGCAGCAAATGAATTAGAACTCTGGCAGAATCACCCAGCGCAAGCTTCGGCCACGAAGAATAAACGAATCGGATGAAAGAAGAGGCCACACACCTGACCGAGGAGGACTGGCCGACGATTTGAAGCCCATTTTCTTGAAGCACCAATGTTTGGGTTAATTGCCCAATCTGGATTCTGGACGAAGGTCTTGAGGTGAAGATACCTCGTATTGGCACCCAGTGAGAGACTCGACGAGCGTTGTAGCGAAGCAAGAGGCCAGATGCCCAACAACTTGTGAATGGATGAGCTAGGATGTTGACCTCGAGTCCTAGATTTCCGACGATCAACATGGAGTCATATTGGACCGAATTTGCAGTGTGGCCTGTTTCGACGACGGTACACCGAGCTGCCGAGAGTGACCATTAGCAGAAAGTATTCGTTGAGAGACAGTCGATGTCCTGCTGGGGGTGCTGGTCGTCGTAGGTGGCCATAAAAGAACGCTTTCGCCAATTTGTCGACTTTCCCCGCGGCCTGGCGGGATTTTTGATACGAAGGAGGTAGGTGGCAAATAGGGCAGGGAGTTGCGCTGAATTTCATGCAACATCGTCTCATAGGTGCAGGAAGGAAAGGATGAGGAAGACGTACTTTGCGCCAGAGTGCTCCAATTTATCCTCTCTGGGATCTCCCCTAACCAAACTCCCGCCCTTCTAACCGCATAATTGCTCTAGCTAGTAGAAAATTGGGACTGATTTCCAGCACTATCCTCGATTTTATTGGCGATGAGTGGCTGTTGAAATTGAAAGTTGAAGCTTGAAGAGAGATGGTCAGGGGCATGACACACATGCCCAAGCCCCATCTCGTGTTGGCGGTACTCCAGGGTTCAAGCAAGCCTCCAGATTTCCCATGTTTTTCAGGACGGTGAGTAGTGTGCGATGTGCAAAGTATGGAGGCTAAATGGCAGTCGAACAGTGTGGAAAACAGGTTGTGACCGAGCGACCGATGGGCCACCAGCCGATCAGCGGTCCCTGAACATTTAAACGCTAACGGGGCCAAAGACCCCTAATCCAACCTTTCCTCTTGACTTCTACGACGAATGGCCTCAAGCAATCACACCGCGAATACACCTTCAAGGATGAGGATTTTTTACTCCTTCAATATCTGAAATTTTACCTCTGGACCTCAGCCAACTTGAACTTCTAGCTCTTCTCGGAGTCTACTACCCCTCGCAATATTCGACCAAGAAGCTAAGTAGACGCGACCCATGGATCCCATCTCCCCGGTCCTTCTGTAACTTCAACCCAACGTCTTTTTCTTACGGAAATCCTCCCGTGGGCCTTTTAAACCCGGTCTTTCCGCCCCCTCAACGTCTTCGGCTAGGAACCTCACCAATGGGGCCTGAAAAGTAGCTGACCGCCGGACTCCTCTATCAACTGACTCTCCAACCGGGACAGAAGAGGTGAATTGCCCTTGCAAGGACTCTACGTTGCTCCTCTAACTAACCATCGCCGAAGAAACCCTTAGGTTTATCTTGTCTTGACAATGCTCGCCCCTTACGGTGAAGTCACCGCACAGATGGCCGATCGATCTCTCACCCTCAACACAATCCCATAAACAATGGACTTCTTGGGTTATCTTGACCCCAGAATGGTTCGCTTGTGAAGACACCAAAATGCTATCGGCTATAAAATCTTGACGTGCACCCATCACCCTCTCGTTGAACTGCGTAGCCTCAGACGACACGATCCCGCTGCACTGTCGACGTTAAAGGAAACGAATGAGCGATGTTTAATATAATTACCAATGCAACAAGTTGCCAAGACAGTTTCGGAAGCTCCAGCTGTCTCGCAAAACGCCGTTTCTGCACGTCAATCTCATTCAAACCGGTGCTTGGTTCACCCTCTTCTCTTTCCATGGAGCACAAGGTGCAAGTTGCGGCGCGGAGCTGTCATTTTGCTTATCTCATAACCGGCCCTGCGAGTGTAGAAAACCTACCCACTTCATAGGCTAACGTGTTTTTTCCACTGTAGTCCTTCGACAAAGGTCCATGTCGTTTAAGACGACCGTCAGAAGCTTCCCCTCTCGGAGCATTCTCAACTGAGGCTGTGGGGGATCTCAATGTCTTGAAATCGGTGTCTACGTTGTGCCTCGTCCTCGTCGTATACTACGTCTATCGCCTGTTACTTCCGAGCCCAAAGGGTTCGATCAGACAGCTTCGTGGTTTCCCAGTGGCCACCGCATGGATGTTCTTCAGCAAGAGGACTGACTTCATATTGGGTTACTTCAAGGCATCTGCCGCTCCTCACTTCAGGTTCCAGGTCTTGCAGGTATGGTTGTCTCGTCCATTCTCGTACAAGCGACAACCTGCTGACCGAACTGGCCTCTCTTAGCATCAAGTAGTGGCTCTGAGAGGGAAGAGGCGCGGAAAGCGTTTTTCGATACGAAGAGCCTCAATTTCACCGAAGGCTACAAGATTCTCTTGGGTGCTATAAGTGTTTCTGTCCATGATCTACAACATTATGAAATCAATCCCTATGCAGGCCCCTCGCCTCCAGGATATCGCCATCAATACTCATCAATACTCATAATAGCGACGATGCCTCCTGGTTCAACAAGCACATTCTGATTCTGCTGGGCAAGAGACGTTTGACCGAGAGTAAGAAACCCCTGCCAAAAGCCAGATGCTGCCTCAAATAGCTGACATCTTCCATAGTGTTGCCGTCCTTGCTCGACGATGTCAACGTTCGCATGATAGGCTGGGGAAAGAAAGGCTGCTTCGATCCCTTCAAGAATATCTACGACGTGCGCATATCTCTCAGAAACCTGCTCTGAAATCGCCACTGACATTTCTGCAGCTCGTATTCCAAATGACAGTTCGGATGGCGAGCTGCTCCGAACTAGCAAATGACAGGGCAACCCTCGACGAGTTGCAAAAACTCTACTGGCAGCTGGAAAAGAGTTCTACACCCACGGCTCTACTTCCGCCTTGGTTCCCAGGTCCTGCAAAGAGGCGAAAGAGGACTGCGACGAAGGAATTATTTACAAAAACTTACGACGTTGTAGAGGCAAGGAAGAAAGCGGCAATCCCGTCGTCCGATGCAGTCGACGTGTTGCTCGGCCAAGGACATTCAACTACCGAGGTAGTTGAGGTAAGTACAGCAATCGAGCAGGTGCGAGGCTGTATTCTGAGTCATTTATTCCCTTTCATAGTTCATCGTCAACACCATTTTCGCGGGTGTGGTCAATACTGGCATGATCTGTGAGCACCCGGTCACCCATGTCGTGCTCATCTGCTCACCATTTTATGAAGCCTGCTGGGCACTTGTCTACCTAGCTTCGCACGAAGAGTGGATGGCAAAGGTGAAGGCAGAGGTTAACGCCCTCATCGAAAAACACACCAACACCCTGTCCACCGAAAGTCTCGCGAAACGACTCGCCACAATTCCCATTTCAGCCTGGGAGGACGAGATGCCCGTCATGGAAGCCGTCATCCGCGAAACCCTGCGCATCACACTTACCAATGCATTCCTCCGCCGAAATGTCATTGACGAGCTCAACGTGTCGAATGGCACGATTCAGCAGGGCGATTTCGTCGCCTACAATGTCGCCGACGTGCACCTGAACTCGGAGATCTATACCAACCCATATGAATTCGATCCTGGCAGGTACGATCCAGGACGCGAAGAGGACAAGAAGACCACTTTTGGTTTTGTGGGCTGGGGTGCCGGTAAGTCTCCGGTTTGAATTCTTATGTTTTATACCGCCTGAAGCGACCTCTCAAAGGGCGTCATCCTTGCACCGGGGTGAAGGTAGCCAAGTTGGAAATCAAGGTCATTGTCGCTATATATATGATGTTGGCAGGCTTCGACTTCGACGTAGTCGACAAGAACGGCGAACACATGACAAAAATCCCTGTTCCGGATAGAAACGACATTCATTAGGTATGTGCACCGTGTTTATTTCCAGGTTTTGGATTGTACAATCTAACGATGGACTTGATCTACTCTGCCAGGCTCGACCTGTTGGAGAACAGTGCTTCTTCGAGTTCGAAAGAATCATTGACTGACATGCATGCGATCCGCCCTATTTATAGCGATGTCTATTGCTTCGAGAATTTATTGACGCCCTGATTTACTTGCGAATAGGCGCCCTAGTTGTGCTTGCGTGTTGAGCTGTTGTTGAAGAGTTCGCATGAACATCGTCTTCGTTGTACTGTCATTCTTCATTGCCAATCATTCACGACATGACTCATTTACAAAGGCATTCCCGAATATTAACATTCCAAATGGCACTAGGGGGGTTCCTTAATGATCCGCCCAAGAAGGCAACAGAAAGGAAGTAAGAAAGAATCCGTGGGTTGGCGACTTGCATAACATGGATTACTGGGCGGGGGGCTGAGAATTTCGCCATAAAATGTAGCGAGAGACCTGCATAATCCTCATCGACCATGAAAACATTGAAGATATTCCCTGTCCAATCATGGTCATGAGCGACGACGACCAACAGGATAGAAAAAAGGGACCCACCGTGGAATGATCTTGTGCTTCGTGAACGTTCTCGTCACAGACGCTCATAGCATCGATGTTAAGGTCGACGGTAGCCTAGTAGAGTCCAGTATAAGTCGAGAGGTTGAGATATCTAGAAAACAAGCCTGACATTGTCTTCGGCCGGAGAATACATGAAAGATATAGTGGGGCGGAAGTTCTCGGTCTTCTAGACCAAAAACCACCGTTAAATACTATGTCTTGCAGGAAAACATTTGCAAAAATTCACCGTAACTTGTATCCGCTTCCACAGAACGTCGTCAACGGAACGTGAGGGATACCTCATTTGACGCGCAACGGTGACGACCTCCGCGGGTTTCCTGGTTAACGAGGCCCGAGTATTCGTGGCTGGCAGCATGGAAAGAAGACGTGTTGGAAATAATAAACCAAGATTATGAGCAAGGCGCCTGTGAGCACCTGAAAAAAGATAGAAATGAACGTGTTGGGCAGGGGAAAATGTTGCCGAGGTGGTGGGAGATGGAAGAGACCAAGAGACGACCCTTACTGAGCTACAGAGCCTTATATGGCGCCTCCTGAACTCAAATTATATTTCGGGAAGGTAGAGAAAGGTCGCTCCTAAATGCAGTTCGCTCATCAACATGGTGGAAATGACACCTGATGACAGATACACTTGCCCCGAACGACTTCATAGCTCGCACTCGATCAACCTCTCTATCGTCCACCTTCCACCCGTTCTCCTTCGAGTATGGATGTTGCGCTACTTATGTTCAGAAGAGGTTTTCCCTTTGGGGTCTAACCGGTCAACCGCCCAAATAGCGCCGAAGAGCCCAAATGATCGACGGGCTCTGGTATCACAGCAATCTTTGAGTGAGTAGAACCTCCCAGACCCACATGCCAAACCACCGGAATACCTCTGTCTCCCGCCTCGTAGGGCATAACTCGAGAGCCGCGGCAGAGTCGACAGCAGGTGCACCAGAGCCAGCCAGCCTTGCAGAGGAAGCTATGGTCACCCACGACAGCCTGAGCCATAAGAACCGTTCAGGCATCAAGAAGAGACGAAGAGACCTCTATACTACGGCTCCCCAACACGAGGTTCCAGGGGACGAGAGACTCTGCTCGTTGTCGCTGGCGGGTAGTGAGCATCCTATCGAGTGCACTTGAAACCACGGTCAACAAATTCAGGCCTTTCTGGGTGCATATCTGCGGCAAACACACAGGCCGATAACGACGACGGTGTCCGCCCAATGCCCATCCCCTTCGCCCCTCGTTGGTGAATCCTAAGGCAATTGCCGCATTGTGAATGTTGGCTATTTGGGCACGTTTCGGTCCTCCGTCGGACGAGGATCTCTTCCTGCACAGAATCCCCACGGATGACGAATTCAATCGAATCCCCCAGCTCCTTCAAGAGTCGCTTTGACCATAAAACGTGGAATTCGACCCCAGCTGCTGATTTCCAGGCCTCGACGGACATCGCGGACATCGTGTGACCGTGACCGTGTCACAAGGAGAAAACACGAAAGCACAAATACGGTGAGTCACCAGCATTGTCCCCATCCATCATGTATGAAAAAATGCTCATGTGTTCGAGCAAAGTTTTGTGTTCCCCAACATGTTAGACCTAGGTGTGATTCATCAAGCAGAAGAAGCAAGGTCGACGGCACAAGAAGGGCCTTCCACCGACTGCGTCGCCCCAGGCAGCAAGATTGAGCAAGATGTTCCTTGGATCAGGAAACATTGGGTACTTTGCATTGCTGAAGCTTCTGGACCTCGAGCGGCGACACAGCTGGCGAAAGAGCCGAAGAAAACAAAACAGGATTATGGACAGGCAACTCACCTAATTGAAGGAGAATAATCTTCTGGGGAATCCGATACGCGGTGTTTCAAATTCTGAAGTTTTGTATCACGATTGGCCGCATTTGTTCGAAAGACTCGCCTTATCCTGGAGTATACTTCACACCAAGAACATCGCCAAGAAGACTTCGACGAACTGGCTCTCTATCAGGTCTAGGTCATTGAAGGGTATCAAAGGAGCTCCAGCCGCCGAATTCATTCAGAGTTTCGTAACGCCAGCAGCCTGAGCCAGAAGAGAACCCCCTTAATTCTGGGCTAGAGAGTACCATTGGTGCCGCTAAGTACAGAGGTGCATTGCAGGTTTGCCTTCGTCGCTGCCAGGGGAGAAAGGATCCGGAATTCCTCGAGACATACCACTGTAACCTCTCAGCAGCAAAACGGAACTTTCGGGCCCTTCAGGGATTTGAAGATGCTGCTGCATGTCTCTCCTGTCGTTGCAGTGCGGCATTCTGCGGTAGACAAGACATGGTCGCGCGAATGTTCATGGCTCGTGTTTCAAGCGAGTTTTCAGACATCAGGCCCATTGTGGCTGCAGAAAGATAGAAGACGCACCTTACAGTATTTTCATCGTCGTTCTCCAAGCCCACGCTGTGGTCGTTCTGTCCCCCGCCCTTCCAGAAACGTCACCCTCAACCACAAAATCCACAGAGCAGCCCTCGACATCCTCAAAGAACCTGACAGCCGCCTAAATTAAGTTTGGTACCGGAAACCGTTGGGTTGTGTCCAGCTGCCTCCTGGATGCCTTGGAGCCTACAAGGATTTCGTCTGTTGTCGAGTGCCATATCGGTGGGACATCATCGATATTGAACATGAGCAGACCTGAAATCTCTTTGCCTTTGAATAGCGATCGGAGAACTTGCTCCTGGGAGCTGTGTGGGAGGGTAGAAGTTTCGGTTGTGGCCCAGTGGCGGGGTTCCAAAATCGACCGAAAAGAAACTTGAAACGGAGGCAAATGAAGGTCTTGCCCAACTTCATCGACCCCTAGAACGGTCTTTAATCGCAGTTTCAGCCGCGACTCTGTTAAATCTCCTAAATGTCGCAGTATCATCCAGCAAAGGCTGCCAGCCCAACGTAAAACCTCTCAAGGTGCTTCCAAGGTGCCTTTACAGGCTTCCAGAGTCGACACCAGAGACCCTTTAGCGACCAGTGGAGCAATAGACTCCAACGAAGCGCAGAAACCACATTTCTGGTTTTATCCCACTTCTCTTCGACCAAAGAGAACGGCAGTGGGACTTCTTTCCCTCGACACGATACCCGTGGCTGAAGACATCTGCCAGATTTTGAATACCTCCAGGCCCCAGTCTCGCCTCTCGCTGCCAGATCATATTTCAGCCTGAGTGCACCCATCGCGAGCCGATTCCGAGCATCTAATGGCTTTTTGGTGGCTTGAAGCCAAGCTACTTTGAGTTTGTCTTCCTTCAGCAACATCAAAGGTTATCGCATCCGCAGGTTATTCGCTTTACTTACTCATTGGGAGAGGTTTCCGTCCAGGGTGAGAGGGGCCTTCGTCCACAGTGCTCGAAAACTTGGAGAACGCTCCTGTATTTTTACCTACCTGAAGCCCGCAAGCCCACTTACATATTCACCGTAATCCTCCAAGCCTTTCGAATCTTTGGTTCCCCCCTTCAGGTCTCGGGAAGGTTTTGCAACTATTTTCGTGCTCTGAACGACGCATTCCTAAGGTGTTGTGCTAGCCAGGCTTTCCCCTAAATCTCGTCCATTAACTCTTCTTGTTCACTTTCTATCAGTCTGCGGCTGGCTAGCGGGGAGCAACTAAGGAATCGAAGCCGCTGGTCACTAGGATTCATACTATTCATACTAATTACGTTCAAGCTCCCAACTGATTCTCGATGGTGTAGCTACGAACAATCCTTTGATCTAGCAAGACCTTCGGTAGTCTTTTCTTCGCTGCGATGTTTTCACTAGACTGGGTCTACTGCCGGTGGGACTTCTCAGTGGTCTCCTTAAGCTGCGACTATTAGAAATGTCAACAACTTAATTTTTTATTCGTCTGTAAGCAACCGTAGTTCTCAGTGGAAGGAACGGAACAGCGGGCCGGCTGTCAAATACTATCTGTAATTTTTTGAATCAAGCTAACTTGGACCTCACCTTCATCACCTACACTGCGAGACGATCTTATCTTCGTCTTCGACCCTATTTATTCATCTCTCTTGCCATCATGGCTACGTTACTTCCGCCTCCAAAACGCCAGAAGATCTACCATGGTGTTCCAGAGCCAGAACCAGAACCCGTTGCCCCGACCCCCAACGTTGTTGTTCAATTCGTCTCTGAAGAAGACGGTAAATCGCTAGCGCCTGTAGTCAGTCTCCCCGCAAACGTGTCAAGAGAAGGACTGGAGGCTCTCGTAAACAAGCTAAGCAAGAGTGTATGACATCTTGATTCTCTCGTCTGGTTCAACCTGTGGAATCATCATCGAAACTAACAGATGCGCTCAGGAAGACGACCCAGTACCCTTTGCGTTCTATGTCAAGCTTCCTGAAGATAAAAATGCTGCATCTGGTGCTCCGATGCAAATCGTGCTGTCAAAGTCGATCGAGGCGGACGTCCTCAACCATGCTACTGCAGATTTTACGCCGGAAGACATGATCGTCGTTCACTGTTCGCCTCAGAGCGTGTTCCGAGTGAGACCAGCAACACGGTGCTCCTCGACGTTGTCTGGTTGGTTATTTCCCTTAATGAACCGACGTTTGACTTATCCCTGTCCAGGCCATACTTCGCCTATCCTTTGCGCGTCGTTTTCACCAACAGGAAATCTCCTCGCTACTGGTTCAGGCGACACGAACGCACGTTTATGGGATCTCAACACAGAAACACCTTCTCACACGCTTTCTGGCCACAAAGGATGGGTGCTTTGCGTCGAATGGGAGCCTATGGAAAGAAAATTGGCCACAGGGGGTCATGACGGTCATGTGTGTATTTTTTGTCAATCTAATACAACTACAGCTACTCATGGATATACAGGTCCGACTTTGGGATCCTAAAACTGGAAAACCTATCGGAGACGCGCTGAGAGGACATTCGAAGTGGGTTACATCTCTTGCATGGGAGCCAGCCCATATGTACGTCATTGCCTTGCAACAGAAGCTCAGTCCAGACTTTGACTTTCTTTAGAAACCCAACAACTCCTCGCCTTGCATCTTCTTCAAAGGATGGCAGCGTACGGGTATGGTCAACTTCGACACGCAAGACTGAATATACACTCGGCGGTCACTCGGCCAGCGTCAATGTTGTGAAATGGGGAGGGAGCGGTGGTCTGAAGGGCGTCCTGTATACTGCGAGCAGCGATAGGACTGTGAGGATTTGGGACGCAGAACGAGGGCAGCCCCTCCATACTCTTAAAGAACACGCTCATTGGGTAACGACCTTGGCGTTGAATACCGACTTTGTGCTGCGGACTGGACCGTTCGACCATACAGGGAAGAAACCTTTGTCAGACGAAGAAGGTAAGTTCCCTCATATTCGTCTACACGGCCGTCATTTATCGGTCTCATTGCCACTAGCAAAACAAATGGCGAAAGCCCGCTACGACAACCTCCTTAAGACGACTCCAGAACTCCTCATCTCGGGCTCGGACGACCACACCCTCTTTCTATGGTCTCCATTCCCTTCGTCATCTCCAGTATCTACAGGATCACCCCAACACTCCGTCACCAAACCTGTTGGCCGCCTAACAGGCCATCAACGACAAATATCTCATGTTGCCTTCTCTCCAGATGGCCGTTGGGCGGCGTCTGCGGCATGGGATAACTCTGTAAGAATCTGGGAAGGAAGAACCGGCAAATTTATCGCTACTCTCCGTGGTCATGTCGGCGCTGTTTACCGTCTTGCTTGGAGCGCAGATTCAAGGATGTTGATCAGTGCGAGCAAAGATAGTACTCTGAAAGTTCGTCTCCTTCTTCCTTTAACAACAATGTTGCTGAGCGATCTATAGATATGGGACTTGAAGACATACAAAATTAAAATTGACTTACCTGGGCATACTGATGAGGTATATTGTGTCGACTTTGTTGCGGACAAGGTCGTCAGTGGCGGAAGGGATCGGCATGTAAAGATGTGCGCCTTTTCACCTTTCTGGTCTGTATGCGTGCTGATTCCACATGCCCTACAGTTGGAAACACTAGGCATCTAGAGTCGCTCTGTGGGTTCCAACGTCGCTTGACCTGGAGGACTGAAGTCTGACATTATCGTAGGCGGCTTCGCGTACTTCAGGCCTCCAGGAGCCGGAGTTGCCCGATGACATTATTCTCCCCACAGTGGACATACATGCATATTGCTCGCGCATTCTCCAGCTTCAAAAGGACGTTACAGCGAAGATGACCCGCAACTTCGCTAAGTGACGAATGCAATCTGTTAGTTATGTAATTATCTTGCAAGGCGCAGAATTTTGGCAGGTGGTTAGGCGACAAGTACTACACCACACATTTCAGACGTAAAATTTGGGGTATTATCGCTGAGGCCTGTTGGGAATCATTAAAATTTAATGAGGTGAGTGGACCGTGTGAACATTCTGATCCCATTCTTGGGTTCAACGTGCATCCACTACACCATCGTCAACATGTTATTTTCTTGTTCTCTATTCAAAGATGCAGCTTCCCTCGTTCTATCCTACGTATCTCCACGGACAGAAACATTTGCACAGAAGCTGTTGCCCAAAATTGCCAGAACATGTCGTCAGCCGCGGCGGTGAACAAGTTGTGGCGACCTTCAAGGGCAATCCCATACCGAATAAGCGTCTCTTATCACCAACACGCCATCGCCTTTGGGGAGCCCGTTGTGGTCATGCACAGCTATTTGCTTTTGACTCTACGTCTCTTCGACTTCTGGCCGCATTAGTTAGGCTCCGGGCGGCTCCTAGCGCTGCTTGTGTCGCCTAGAAGATCATATGCGGGCTACGCCAGCCGCCTCGAGGTTGGACATATCTTCGTAGGCCTTCGTAGGCTGACGGATTCGCAGTCGCCTAGATGCTCACCCCTCGAAGGAACCATCTGGTCGTCGTACCAAATGGGGACTACGGGTTCTGAAAATAGATCGCAATTCACTCGTAGGACTTGTGTTTGCTTGAGGGTTTTTGGCCGTTCGTCCTTCTATTGGACATATCCAGGACATATCCTCTCCTATCTCCACTAGTCGGCTTCAGCTCTTCAATCGTACTTTTTTTTGAGATCCGTGGCTCGGGGTTATTTATGCTCCTACAGCTCTGGAATTCTTCAGATAAAAATGGGCAAGAAGGAAGTTTTTCTGTCGTTCTTATACGTGGCTGCTCAATCTGAAGGCTTCAATCTTTTCGGAACGCCCATGCCATGGAAGGCGGCAATCCCTCTCCAGACGCCATCACTCATGGGATCGAGGAACACCTCGCGCCGAAGATTGTCGCGTTCCCAGAGGGTGGTCACATCCAACGAGAAGAGAAGATTCGTCCCAAGGGCGTGGAGATGAGGCGGACGCTCACACAAGAAGAAAAAGATCTCGCGGCCGCTGGATATGAACATCTGCACCCACCAGCTAAAGACTCCAAGGGCCAGGGCGAGACGCACGTGGATATTTTCGAACACAAACTTTCCTTTGAGAGGCTCGAAGACACTCTGAAGACCCATTTCGACGTAAAGGACCCTGCACAGTCTTTTGGACTTACAACCCACCAGGCCAAACAACGACTTCAAGAAAATGGACCCAATGTCCTAACACCTCCTAAAAAGAGGAGTGCATTTCGAAAGGTATGGCTGCTTGTGTCATAGTAAATCATCCTTCATGCCCAGATCGTCTTTGTCAGTTTTTGAACCGCCTTTTCACCATGTTTAACATCTTGCTGATGGTCGCTGGAGTCCTGGAATACGTGCTCCTTGGTATCGACTTTCATGTCAGTTCCAATTATTCACGTAGAGATCGTAGCTGAATTCCATATCATCAACAGGGCAATTTCCAAAATACGTATCTGGGCGGAATATTGATTCTAGTGGCGTTCATCAACGCCTCAATTGATTTCTACCAAATCCAGAAGTCTGAAGCGATTTTAGCGTCCTTCCTTGCTATGATTCCTCCTTCCTGCCATGTAGTGCGTGAAGGCACCCTTTCGACCATTCCTGCCGCGGATCTTGTCAAAGGCGACATCGTGCTCCTTGTATGCATTTCTTTCCATCTCGAAGGTCGTCTCCCTGATTTGTTTTCCCAAACAGCGAAGTGGAGATAAGACACCCGCCGACCTCCTCTTATTTTCATCAACAGATCTCAATGTTGACAACAGCAGTTTGACCGGAGAGTCCGAACCTCAAGAACGACGTGCATCTCCCACCGGCTCAAAAATGCGACCCGTTGAAGCTGAGAACTTGGTATTCAATTCAACTTTGGTGGTCAACGGAGAAGGATGGGGAAGTGCGTACTATTTTGCCTTCTCCTCTGCTGTCCAATTATTCATGTTCTCTCCAGTTGTATTGAGGACCGGCGACCACACTTTCATCGGACAAATTGCGAGTTTGACTGGAGGAGAGAGCGGTAATGAGAGCCCTCTTGCCGTTGAGATGTATGTGGTTTATCTTCCTTCATGATCACACGGCACTGATTATGCCACCAGCGGTCGATTTGTTGTCATTGTGTCTTGCATTGCCATTCTATTCGCCATTGTTTTCTTCGCTGTGGGTATTACGACAGTCTACAAAGGCAAGGCAGCGCAAACGGTCACCTTCGCTGTCTCCATTCTGGTGGCTTTCGTACCTGAGGGTCTCCCTTCTGTGGTTACCCTTCTTCTGTCAATCGCTGCCAAGCGGATGGCGAAACAGAATGTTTTGGTCAAGGATCTGCAAGGTGTTGAAACACTCGGTATGCACCCTTATTCTTGAAGTTGCGTTTGTTTGCTGACTGAATACAGGTTCGGTAAAACGAAATCTTACTTCTATCGCTTATGCTTATGTTGATGCCTTCCTTCGTTCAGCTTACCCTTCTCGCGACGGATAAGACTGGCACATTGACCCGCAACCAAATGACTGTAAGCATAGGCATAGTAAACATTTCTCCGTTAGCACGTAACAAATCAGCACCCAGGTGACAAACCTCTGGAGTGGAGAAACGATGTACTCGGCCTTCCAATCTAACAACGACGATCAAACGACGAAGAGCTTCTCAACGGATGCATCAGGGCTGAAGGAAATGGTCGACATTGCCGCTCTCAATTCGAGAGTCAAATTCGACAGAACCGATATGCCCTTTGATCAGAGGGTCATTCTCGGCGATGCAACGGAGACAGGTCTTACCCGCTTTGCTGGGCGTCATCTCCGCGTTGATTACGAAACTCATGTCAAGAATTACCCCAAGGTGTTTGAAGGTGCGCCGTTGCTCTCATCTTTCTTTTAATGTCCAGTATTTATCGTCTTCTTAATGACAGTGCCTTTCAACTCAACGAACAAATGGGCCCTTGTGGTTGTAAGTGGCAATACATCAATTTAAGGCTCGTCACTTATAAACGGTCAAATTATAGTTGAACAAGCCACACTCGTCCGGATTCTTGACTGCATATATAAAAGGAGCTCCGGAGCGAGTTCTCGCGAAATGCACAACATACTTGAAGGATCGGAACCTTGTTCCCATTACCGATGACTTCAGAAAGAAATACGATGCCGCTTACGATGTAAGTTGAAACTTGCCTGCAATGGACTTTTGGCCTGATGTTTCGTCTACAGTACATGGCCTCGAGAGGTCACCGTGTCATTGCCTGTGCTCAATTACTACTACCTGGAGACCAGTATCCAGTCAGTTATCCCTTCTGCAGGACAGAGAACCAGTACCCAAGCTCCGAATATTGCTTTGTTGGGCTCGTTTCTTTGGAAGATCCGCCAAAGCACGGTGTGCGCGAGGCGATTGGGACACTTCGTTTGGCTGGAATCAAGGTCATGATGGTCACAGGTTTGTCGCCCATTCCCCCTTGCTCTCAAATTTTGACGTTACACATGAACAGGCGACCACCCGAAGACGGCCGAAGCCATTGCTCGGAAGATTAACCTTATCCTTGGAGACACTCGAGAAACTCTTTCTGCGAAAACTGCCAGGGCATTTCAAGATGTCTACGAAGACGAATTTAGCGCAGTCGTTGTTCATGGAGATGATATTGATTCTCTGCAAGGATGGCAATGGGATCAAAGTATGTCTCAAGGCCAAATTTTGAAGGCATCACCATTCTGACTTTGCTGTCAGTCTTCAGCAAGGAAGAGATCGTTTTCGCTCGCACATCTCCTAAGCATAAGCTAGAAATCGGTCAGATACTTATCCCATCGCAGGTCGAAACGGAAAGCTGATCGCAGCCATCTTTTAGTTAAACGTGCTCAAGCCTTGGGTCATATTGTTGGAGTGTAAGTGTTTCTCTGAGCTGCGGCACCAGGCCCACAATTCGATGCCTTTTACAGTACTGGCGACGGTGTCAACGATTCTCCTGCTCTGAAGAGGGCCGATCTTGGAATTGCAATGAATATTTCTGGCTCCGACGTATCCAAAGAAGCAGCGAACATGATTTTACTTGGTACGGCCTTCCATCTGAGCGACCACATATTGCTGACTTTGATCTTGATTCTTCGATAGATGACAATTTCGCCTCTACAGTCAGTAAGTATAGGAACTTCATCCCTACATCTATTGCCTCCTCAACTCTCGAATAGAGGGTGTTACTGAAGGACGTCAGATTTTCGTAAACCTTAAACGTTCCATTCAGTAAGTATCATAGTTTGGAGCAATACAGCCATCAACTCAACGAGCTATGTAGATACACCCTTTCGCACAGCACTCCGGAAGTCATACCGCAGCTGCTCTGTATGTGGACAACTAGGAGGAGTACCAGCAATGATTGACCTTAAAGGCAGACGTTGTTGTGCCCATCCCATTACCACTCTCGGCGATCTTGATCTTGGTCATCGGTGTGTATCGTCTTCATTAAAATTCGACCACAGACTGAAACCTGGTTCGAGTAGATCTTGGGTTCGAACTTTGCATTGCTGTAAGCGCTTGCTCCGTTCCTTTAGATGAAACTGGCTGAAGTGGTTATTTAGCTTTCTTTCGCTTGGGACAAACCAAAGACGGCTGATGGACTGATGCGCCTGAAGCCACGAAAGCCAGTCAACGAGAACTCGATTCATATCCTCAAGCGACGGGCTCTGCGACGATTCAAAACCATGCAAAGAGACCTCGAGACTGGGGACATGATCCCTCCTAGCAAGTTTTTACGATGGCTTTCAAAGCTGAAGATGCCGTTCCGCCGCTCCTTTTGGGAGGATATATTAGAGCCAACGGAGAACGAAACGTTGGTCGATAGCAAACTCCTCAGCTATGCTTATCTCGAGGCTGGTTTGATCGAAATGATTGGGTGGTGCGTCAAACCTTCTTTCGACAAACCGACTCTCAATGTTTCCTCTTAAATTTATAGCCTAGTTGCCTATTTTGTGGTGTTTTTCAAGCACGGATTCTCACCTGCAGATCTGAAAAAAGCACAGGCCACTGGCTGTAAGTACTCATTGGTATTTAGGTGATACAGTTTCACTCAGCAGAACACTTTCCCTGCAGCTTATTTTACCTCAAAGAGTCCTGATTTCATTAACAGACGTGGCCAAACGATCGATGCTCAAGGACAGGTTGATGCCGTCGGTCAAGCCCAGTCGATCGTCTACCTCTCAATATTCATCACACAATGCTTTAACGTGTGTACTACCCATGCTCTTCGTGAACTTGGTCTCATTCATTTGTGTAGGTTTTTGCTGTCAAGGCGAGACTTTCCTATCCCTTCGGGAAGCGGGTCATCGCCAACAAGTGGAATCTCGCTGGCATCCTTGCCGGTGCTTGCCTCGGGATGTTCATCATTTATACACCACCTCTCCATGTTGTCTTCGGCGGTTCTTTCCACCTATCGCCACTCTATTGGCTAATGCCAGTCGGCTTTGGCTGCGTTCTACTGGCATGGTCCTCTTTGAGGGTAGTGCTGCTGAGAAAGTCAATTGAACACATGCGAGTCAGAGATATTAAAGGTTTAATGATGTGTAAGTCTTTGAATCTGTTATAAACACGCTCACAATTGATGATCATTCTCTGGTAGTCCCAACGATGAGAACCATGAGTTTGCGATCAACCCGTGGTTCTCGAAGATAACACGAGCTGGAGACGAGATGTCTTCCAAGAATAAATTACCCCAGGTTGTTAGTGTTTAACATATTGATATAAGGGTCACGGTCAAATTCAACTGCTATGCGCCACCGATAAAACAAACTCGTCAAAAGGTAGCATAGCCTCCTCCTAGCTCTTGATGCCATGCCTCGTGAAACCCAGACATGTATATCCCAACTCAGTTGTTACTTGCACCAGGAGCAATCTAAAGAATTCTAGTTGGTCGTTCGGTGCGTTCACATCGTAGGTCAGTCTGCAAAGGACTAATTTAAGTTGCTTTCAGGGTTGTCAGTCCAAGCTCGCCAACCCGGAGTTCGTTGATAGCTTCTCCCGGGACCCATTCATTATTACTATGACGTTAATTGTGGCTTTCGTCGAGAGCCAAAGTCGCCTAGTTGGCGCGCAAAATCGCGACACAGTGGGAAAGGATTTGCAACACCCCGCATTCGTCAGTCGATATTCAACCCACCCCTCGCGTCTTCGAAAAGTATGCCTTCTCATCAAGGATATTATTCCTGGAAATAGAATGTGGAGTTGGCAATGCCATCAGAACGATCAATATCAATATCCTCCAGAACCGCTCAGCGCTCCGAGAAGACGCTACTCAGAGCGGTTTCTATTCTTGCCTTCCTTTTAAATGCTAGCAGGGTCTTCCGGGCAGTTCAACAGCCATCAAACCACATCGCTATTATGTGGATTTCCAATGAGCTCGCTCTCAGTCCTTTGTTCAGGGTTCGCACAGAGCTTCTTCCTCTCGAGGAGCGCTCGAGGATCAGCTATGAAAGGACAAAGGCAGTCGTTCAACTATACAGTGAGTTATATCGCGTAGATATCATGAACTAATCGTGTAATAAGTTTTTTTCGCGATTAGATCTTACGACAGACGACATTCTCCAGGCTACTCCCAGATATTGGGAGCTCTTGTACGCCAAGCCTTGCTTATTTGTGAGAGGACTGCTAATAAGGGGTTCAGCACTGACCCCATCCTGGGCATGGTGGGTACATGGATAAGATGGAAATTCTTCTTCTCACAGGCACCCGTAGGACAATGCAGTTGGGATTCTCGTCAACATTCAGTATAACATGGCGGCTGGGACTCTTGCCCGATACGCTCCTGATAGACCAGACATCGCCCATGTGCTCGAAAGAGTACTGAACTACGAGTTATCGTAAGCTTGTGTTTTTGTTCAATTTCTCTCTGGTTCATCTTATTTGCAGAGGGCAATATTTAATGTCCGAGGTTGCCCATGGCACCAACGCTATACAAATGAAGACCACAGCAACGCTCATGCCCGATGGAAGCTTTGAACTTCATACGCCGTCCCCAGACGAGGCAAAGTACATCCCGCACGCAGTCCTGCGGAAGATCAGACTGATTTAATAGTCCAGGTTCATGCCGCCCACCGCTCCATGCGGGATCCCCGTCGTTTCGGTTATCTTTGCTCGCCTTATCGTTGGCAGCGAGGATTGGGGAATTAAATGTTTTGTGATAACCCTAAGCGATGGCGTGCAAATGAGCCCTGGCGTTGAATGCAAAGTCCTACCTCAGCGCGGTCAGTTTTGGCAAGCGTTTTTCTTAATCAGGAGGCCAATACTTATCCTTGCCCGCGGCGTAGGTGGCGCACATCCCGTCAAACACGCACTTACGTATTTCAACCACGCCCGGATCCCAGCATCGGCATTATTGTCGAAGTTTGACAAGGCGGCCGACCCTCGTGACTCATACTTCAACGATATTACTGGTGTGATAAGAGGAGGCTTATGTTTGGGCATGATGGCTGTCGGCGCTATGCACATAGTGTCCTACATTGGGGGTGAGTATAGCCGGCGCAGACACGTCATTGACGCTTCAACCCAACTGCCACGGCCAATTATCAGCTTCAGCACACAGTACATCCCAATCCTCACAGCCGTGGCGCAGACGCTCGTCTTTGACGCCTATGCTCGAGAGGCAGTGAATTTGTTCAGTATCGCGGCTCGCAATGGAAACGTCTTCAGGCAGCATTTTATTTCGTCACTCTTCAAAACTGGAGCCGTTCGAATGGCACAGGCGAATTCACTTGAAGTTGGAGAGAGATGCGGCACACAAGGTCTTATGGAAATCAATCAATTGTCGGTTATTCACGTGAGTAATATACATATATATCAACTGTTACGCCGTTTTCATTATCCCGATAAACATTTAGGGAGATTTAAGAGGAGGTGCCATTGCCGATGGTGATATTCTGACAGCTTCTATACGTGCGTATGCTCAAAGGACTCGATTCCAGGTGGCCGTTAATAGCGTCATTAGGTTTCGCAGTGGAAGTCCTTATCGGGCGCATGAAGCCACCAGCTACCCTTTATCCAGACGGCATTTTATCTCTACACGAGCAATACATGATCGAAGAGCTACGGGGGATCATCCAATCCGGAACCAGTCACCGCGACCCATCGGTCGAGAAGCGGATCCTCCCGTTCTGCGAGCCGCTAATGGCAGCCATGGCCTATAGAATGGCTTATGACGCCGCTATGGGAGACAGGCTCGACTCTCGAATTATTGACATGTTCGTTGCAAGTGCCGTCAAGCTCGATCCAGCGTGGTACGCAGAGAAAGGGGGTATACCTCGCATGAAGCAAGCGCAGATGCAGGAAGCCGCAGCCTGCGCTCTTCTTCCGGACCTTCCAAGCTTCGTTGAACGGTTGGAGGCGAAGGACTACGTCACTGCGCCGATGCTGTCAAGCGAGGGATGGAACGGGTTTGTTGATTGCTTAGAGACTCTCAAGCACGGGGTGAATCCGCGTGAAGACTACGAGAGATCTCTCATGAGTCGCTTGTAGGTAATGATCAGATTGCGGGAGGGTTTCTGGGAGTTGTCGTGATGATAACTACTACGTGGTAATTATGGGTTACTGGAGTCCGCATCGTGTGTGATTGAAGCGACCCAATGTTAGAAGCCTCGGCATTAGGTTTCCACTGCCCGAGCCCATTAACACGAAGACTACCTCTCCCTCAAACCGACGTCCAGTCACGGGTCGGAGTCTCCAAAAAAGAAATAAACTAAAACTCCAAGCTTACAGTGCACATACTCTGATGGAGAACCTGAGTGGTGTGTGCTATGCCACTTATTTCCCTAACAGTTATAGTTAATATCTAGAGTGATCCAACGCCATGAATCCCGTCTTCAAGAACGACCTCCATCAGCCTTGCGAACTCGTCGACATCTCTTACATAAATGAAACGTCAAGGCGGCCTTGTACTTCAACAATCAACGTCAGTAACCCAGACCTTTTCACCCCGGTTTTTGCTTCCAAGAAATGTCGCTTCTCGTCATCGAGGCATTTGTATAGATATAAGAATGGGGACTCAACACAATTTTGTTTAGTCTTTTCCGAAACCCTTTGCCATGTGGATCACCAAGGAACTCGCCCTCAGTCCTTTGTGCAGAATCCGTGCAGAACTCCTCCCCCTCGAGGAGCGCTCACGTATCGGCTACGAGAGGACCAAGGCGGTCATTCAGCTATACAGTTAGTCCATACTCTCCCTAGCGGTCGACTTCTCAAGGTATTAATCGAATCTCCTTCGATCAGACCTCACAGCAGACGACATTCTCAAGGCTTCTTCAAGATATTGGGAGCTTTTGTACGCCAACCTTCTCTTCGATAATTTCAATGGCTAACGTAAGACACAGCACCGACCCAATCTTGTGCATGGTAAGTAATCTAGCGAGAAAAGTAGCTCACACCTTACAATTGCTTTATAGGACGGCGCCGTTGCGATTCTCGTCAATATTCAATTGAATATGACTGCCGGTACTCTCGCCAGATACGCCCCCGAAAGACCAGACATCGCCGAAATACTCGAGAGAGTATTGAGCTACGAGCTATCGTAGACCCATCCCTCTTATCTAGGGCTTTACAATCTCACTGAACGTTCCGTCTCATAGTGGTCAGTATTTGATGACGGAAATCGGCCATGGCACCAATGCCATACGCATGGGAACAACAGCGACCCTGATGCCCGACGGAAGTTTCGACCTCCATACACCCTCTTCTTATGAGGCAAAGTGAATAAACAATTTTAATGACCTGACTGGGCTAGACTGACTTGACGATCTCAGATTTATGCCACCTTCTGCGCCGTGCGGAATACCTGTCATTTCCATCGTCTTCGCTCGCCTCATCGTTGGGGATGAAGACTGGGGAATAAAGTGCTTTATGGTCAACCTCAGCGACGGTGTTCAAATGTGCCCAGGTGTGGAATGTAAAGTCCTCCCTCAAAGAGGTCAGTTTGGCAAGCGTCTTCCTTTATCAGGAAATGATTCTTTCTTGGCATAGGTGGCGCACATCCGGTCAAACACGCGCTCACATACTTCAATCACGCCCGCATCCCGGCCTCAGCTTTATTGTCAAGGCTCAACAGATCTGATGACCCTCGCGACTCGTATTTCAACGACATCACTGGCGCGATGAGGGGTGGATTGTGCTTAGGCACGATCGCCGTTTCCAGCATGCACATTGTTTCGTACATCGGGGCCCAATATAGTCTCCGCCGACATGTCGAGGACGCGTCGACGAAACAACTGCGCCCGATAATTAGTTTCAGCACGCAGTATATTCCCGTCCTCACGGCGATAGCACAGACGCTGGTCTTCGATTCGTACGCTCGGGAGGCGGTGAATTTATTCGGCATCGCGGCGTTTAATGATGATATACACAAGCAGCACTTCGTTTCCGTAGTCTTCAAAACTGGAGCGGTCAGGAGGGCACAGGCGATTTCACTTGAACTTGGGGAACGATGTGGAACGCAAGGCCTCATGGAAGTCAACCAAATATCCGTGCTTCATGTGAGTAGAGAGTGGCACCGTTGGCAAGTATTCTCCTTATCATTGCATTATAGGGAGATCTGCGAGGGGCAGGAATCGCTGACGGTGATATTCAGACAGCCTCCATCCGTGCGTATCCTCAATTCAAACCCCTGGTTCTATAATGAGCCAGTTATACAGGTTTCGCAATGGATGTGCTTCTAGGTCGCACAAAGCCACCGGCCACCCTCTATCCAGACAGCCTTCTGTCGCTCCACGAGCAATATATGATCGAAGAATTACGAGGCATAATCCAGTCTGGTCCCAGCCACCGTGATCCAGCCGTAGAGAAACGCATCCTCCCGTTCTGCGAGCCTCTAATGGAGGCAATTAGTTACCGCATGGCTTATGACGCCGCGATGGGACACCAAGTTCATCCTCGCATTATCGATATGTTCGTGGCCAGTATTATCAAGCTCGACCCAGCTTGGTATGCCGAGAAAGGACGCATCTCTCGGCTGAGGCAGATGGAGATGGCAGAGGCAGCTGCACATGCTCTTTTCCCCGACTTGCCGACCCTGTTGGAGCAGCTGGACGCAAATGAATATGTCACTGCTCCGATGTTGTCGACAGAAGAGTGGGATGGATTCGTTGATTGTCTGGAGACCCTTAGACATGGCATCGACCCGGTCAAGACATATGAAAAGAGCGTATTGTGTCGCTTGTAACATCTGTATAACGTAATTCTTCATGATTCAAAGCTTTATCGCCTATCTTATATACCACTCTATGTGGTTTATAAATGACTTTGCATTTCAGCTTCTCCTCCAGTGGGCAGGTTTCTCGCTCAGGGGCCCCGGAATGATCGCGGCCCGGCAGAACCTGAAATTGATACCATGCCGGCTCTCCTCGTCACCTATCCAACGCCTTTCTTAAGGCTCTCGGATTCAGGTTCCTTTGGTTCAGCGGCTCTCATATACTCTCAAAGTCACCTACGCGAAGATATGTCCTCAAACGAAGGATATAGGGCGAAAATCCTGCCAATTTTGACACGCACTGTCCAATACACGACCCCATTCATCTCGGTATTTCTTCTCGTCCATCTCTCCGCCCCGGCACTCGCAAATGTAGGTGGATCCTCATTGGCATCACAAACCATGGTGTGTCATTCATAATTGGTCACTACTGCTACGGAGAACCTCAACGAAGTCCTAGCTTCTCGGCAGAGAATACTATCAAACAGCTCTTTCAGAACCTCTACTCGTTCTGGGGCCTATTGGGATACACGCGGCTTCCGCGACGCTCAAGCGACTTCTTTCACCCTCTGGCCAACCCCCAAGACGCCTCACGCACCCCGTCAGCGTCACGGGCTACGCGACGTTGTTCTTCCTGACAATCCACTACCTCACACATAGATACTACCCAGCGCTTGACATACCGCCAATCGATTCCTTAGGGCCCGCAGAACTCGACTACGAATTCGTCAAAGCCGCACTCCGGACCTGGCCAATACGAAGCTGGTTGTTGTACGGGGGACTCGTATTCTTCTCAATCATGCACGTCGTCGACGGTGGAGCCTTGGTCCGGGCTGCATGGGTGCAGGAGGGCCGTATATTTGCGTCGTTCCTGAAGAAGCAATATTCTCGACGGAAGAGGTTGGCGCTCGCGTTGGGTGGTGTCGTGCTCCCTGTTATGACTGGTGTATACGCTCTTGCAAACGAGCCGTCGATGACATTCGCTAGTATGACGACTCGGTACCTCAGTGTTTTCCGGTCGTCCTTCGCATATAGGTTATGAATCCAACTTGCATTTGTCACATAAGTATACATGATACAGCACCAAGCAGAATGAAAGAACAAAACAGACATAAGTTGCAGACCGATGCTCAAAACCGCCAACGATCCCATTCGACAATCAAGCAATCGCGCTCTCCATCACTTCTTCGCCCTCCAGCCAAAATTTCCTCGGAGCCGACTCGAGAGCGACATAAAATGAAGTTTTTGCCCTGCTGCGATGGTCCCAGGTTTTGAACAACCTGCTACCCTTCCGAACGCTGTTCAAGACTGGCTCATCCTTCCTCACCACGTTCAAGATGCGGAACCCATCCACACGCTCGAGGGCTGTCACAATTTTGGAATGCTGCACACAGGATAATTTAATCCGTGTATAGATAAGCGAGCAACAAACGAACCTCGATCAAAGCTGGAGGAAGGACTCGGAATGATCTTAAGCTCGTGAATTGTTCTTTCGAACGCGGCAGCATACTCCTTGGAACATGGGTAACCAGCCAGGCTTCAATGTCATGAAACTCAAGAGGACGCCAAAGAAGTCACTCGCAGAATTTAAGACCCATTTGGGGCATTTCGGATCTTCCGCCTCGACGAGAGCACAACCAATAGCGAGGATCCAGGCTGCATGGTAACGTCAGCCTCTTCCCTGTTCCACCCGCCAATGTCAACAGGCGTCTCAAAAAGGAGCAGTGTTATCGACGACTTGCACCTCCTCCATCGCATAGAGGCTATGTGTGCTCTCTGTGCGATACGTGGACGAAGGACGGGATCTGGAATGCCGAAGTGTATATATCGAATTCCCTGCATCGTCTTCTCCACCTTCGATAGCCTGTTGCTTTTGACGAGTACGTCTGTGCTACTCATCAAGTAGTCCGCCATGGAGAGACCGAGATACGCATCGATGAAAGGTGTAGCGGGATCGTGGCCCATAATGAGGGAGCCAGCAGCCACCCAGATGTATGAGCTCGTCGATAGATCCTACGGATGTCCCGCAACACGGTGATGGCTGCTTCATAGATGCTAAAGAAGCCTCCTGAGGCAAATTGCGCAGAACGAAGAGCAAAAAAACGTACCTTCGGTTGTCCGACCCGCCTCCGGGGTCTCCTTCAGCACCTTCAATGTCGCCTGACAAATGCGTTTATGGGCTGTGAGAAGAGGGAGGATCTGACCTTTGGGGAGGTTATCGAGCCCCTCATAGCGGTCCCATTCTTCAAGCGTTTCTTCGTATGACAGGTCCTGGTCTGAATCCTGGCCTGAATCCTCGTCTTCATCGTCAGTCTCTTCCTCGGAGGAGGATGTCCCATCGCTCATGTCGTCGAAGTCTAGATAAGGATTTTGAACATCTCCAACGTCTCTGCCCTGAGTGTTTGGCGTTTCACTGCCGGAATCTGTCGGCCAGAATAGACCCAAGTTAGCTTGTACAACTGTCTACAACGCATATCGAGCGCACCTTCGTCGTATGTTTCTGACCTGCCATCCAGCTCGAAGTCCATCCCGACATTGTCTCTTGAGCTCGAACTGCTTACGTCGTCTTCGTCGTCCATCACGTCATTTCCCTTCGTAGGTTTCAGACAACATTCGAGTAACTGACGCGGAAGAAGCGGCGCAGTGTCGAGATCATCTCCGAAGAGCTGGACACCGAGCAAAAACAATCTTGTGGAACTGTTTACTGGTCTCTCCCGACCACTCCGTCTTATCAGGCCCCACAGGGATGACGAGTGACCCAAGACCCAGACGGGAGCGCCGCGTGAGCAGGTTACGCTGGACGTAGGTCTTCAGGATGGAGCTTCGCAGAACGACCGAGATGCATAGGTAGATGACGTTAGTACCGTAGAGCTCTCAGGAAGATCAGAATATGGCTTATGTGCATGGAATAGGAGAGTAGTAGAGAACGACATGGGAGTTGCAGAGAAGGTTTGGAATTGACCGCATTGGGATACCGACCTTCCCCTTTAGGACCCCGATGTCGGTGGGCAATTCAGGTCAGGCCGTTCCATAGACTTAAATGCTTCGGTATTCAATATGCATTTACATTCACGGAGTCAACGACATTTTACAGCGCTGCACGGATAAGAGAGATCATATGGACAATTCCTTCAAGAAGTGGCGGAGATTTCAAGCCTATTTAAACAACGGTGCTCTCCATCACTTTCCCGCCCTCGAACCATATCTTCCTTATGCCAGAGTTCAAAACGGCGTAGAAAGAGGTCTTCGCCTTGCACTTGCGCCTCCAGGTCTTCAAGACATCGGTGGCCTCGCGAACGATCGCCAAGGCAGCTTCGTTCTCTCTGATGCTGTTGACGACGCGGAGCCCGTCGAGGTGCTTAAGAATGAGCCTGATGCCGGACATCTACCCGGCGCGTTAGTAATTAGACATGCAGCACTGTTGACAAACGAACCTTGATCAAAACACGGGGAAAAACGTCGAAGTATTCCTGGGTCGCATATTTCTGTTCGAAGACGACCAAGTTGCGAAGAACTTGCTGGAGGGTGGCACACTTGTCCTGAATCCAAATCGTCAGCATCGTCGAAATTGACGAGATGAGGGCATCTTACGGCGTTCACGGTAAAGACCAGACGCCTGCGCTCGGATCTCTGTATGGCTGCCTCGTAGGCGTCTGCAATCTTGGTTCCATGTCCTACAAGCCTTCTCCCTAGAAGACACGACAGACAAGTGTTAGCACTCAGAAGTAGGTCGAGGATAAACGGGGCGACTTACAGAGCCTGAACTGCGTATGGTATATGTAAGCCCTCTGAGAGACCCGAGTGCGAAGCACAGATTGTGAGATAGTGAGATCGATGTCCCTAGTTGCCTTCATCGTCTGCAATATAAACTGGAAACCGAAATCGGTCAAGCCGGCTGCTGCTGCAAAAGGCGACTTCATGGCGCTGCTGTATCTCTTCATGCTACGCAGACAGTACCCCGCTTGCGAGAGGCCGAGATAGGCATCGACGAAGGGAGTGACTGGCCCTTTATAGGCAGCGACGAGGTCGCCACAATGGAAGGGAGGAGTGTGCGCGATGCGGTAGGTCCAGCGGAGCTCGCGGAGAACTGCAATAATCTTCTTGTGGATGCTAAGTATGTAGTTTAATCAGATATCGACCGTACAGCCAAAAAGCAGGGAACACGCACCTGGCTTTCGATCCTCGCGTCTTCTTCACTCCCAAGGTATCGTGGATGACCCTCAGCGTCGTCTCTCGGACATAGCCATTCACCCCAAGAAGCGGCGCGATCTGGTTCTTGGGGAGCAGCTCCTTCTTCTCAGTCGCCTCGAACGCCTCGAACTTCCTGTCTTCTTCCCCGTCATCAATATCGGAGTCGTTGTCTTCGTCGTCGGAGAATTCTTCCTCGGTGGAACAGCGGCATCGATGCAGTCCTCCTCGCCGACAGCAGAGGATCCTGTAGCAGAGGAGTTCGCCCAAGGCGGAATTCCAGCCGCAGGTCGGGAGGACGGTACCGTCCGACGGGTGGGAGGGGCGATGTCTGAACCTTCGTCGTCCGCGTCATCGTCCGTGTCGGTCCACTCGTCCTGGTCTTCTTCGTTGGCGCGATCAAGAAAATCGAGCGCACCAGGCGGGAGTAGAGGAGCGTTGGTGAGGTCGGGTCCAAAGACCTCAAGAGCGAGCAACACGATGAGATTGAACTTGTCTTCGGGAAAGTCCGACCACTCGGTCTTCTCGGAACCAATAGAGATAATGATGGGGCCGAGACCGAGGCGCTGGCGCCGCGCGAGGACATTACGGCGGACATACTCGATCTGGATGGCGGGGTACCGGTGGAGCCAAGCGTGTCGGGGAGGAGAGGCGATGGCGCAGTCGATGTGGTCGACGACGACGGTGGCGACGATGTCATAGAGGACCTCGGGAGGAAGGTTGTTGAGACACATTGGAGATGCGATTCGAAAGGGAAAGTACAGTAGGATCTGTAGCCAATAGAGGGTGCTAACCTGGGGCCTCGACACCCATTTCTGTTGTGCTTTTATACCCCTGTCCGACTACACGTGTGCATTCGTTGTGTTCCCAGAGCTCTGACTTGGTTCCGCCTTGCAATTGTGACCTGTGTTCGAAATGCAATGGCAAACTTTTTTCGAAATCCAATCAGCATAAAAGCGACGTGGAAAACGTGCCCCTGAGAGGCTTGGCACATGCACATGCAGGCCAGATAACATTCCCTTAGAGCACACTAATCAGTGAATTTGCATCGGATAAGGAGGCGTAATACATAATCCACCATTTTGTACGTCTTCAGACGGTATAATATAGGGACTTTCGACGAGAGGAGTGACAGACGAAAGGGTACGTGGGAACAAAGGGATACCGCATTGGGATAATGGCCTTCCTATTTTGGATTGTGGCGCGGCGGAAGTGCTCTCTAACCACATGACGGAACGACGGACTTGGAAATTGAAAGCAGCCGCCAATCATGGCTCAGTTTTGAAATATCCTCGATGTTTGACAGTTTGACAGCGGCTGTCATGTTGATAATATTTTGATCCCGGACCAAAGGGCAGAACCACAGAAAAACTCTTTGCAGGATTCGCCCATATATGTCGCCATTGGGTCCCTCATGTGATGTACTTCCTACGCGAATCTTAATCTAACCTTTCCATATCTGTGTGGTTTAAAGGTGCAAAAGCGTATCTTTGACGCGTTTTACTTTGCCGAGTGCTTGGCGGCCTCGTGTCGAGCAATGAGCTCCAACAAGCAGTGACATCGATATCGATAAGGTCTTCCGGAGAACATGTCGATGATATTTTGAATCCCTTTACTCTGTTCGCTTTTGAGATGACATTTCAAATTTCCTCTGTTTCCCCGTACTCTAGGGGTGTATTCTACGGGCTATCGAAGCACCGTCAAGGCCTAGGAGCATGCGGGCTGCCTACACGTGTTGTAGATAAACATAAACCCATCCGTCCTACAGCACCGAATTTTCTGTGATCTTCCCGTCCTCCGGACTTACACGCAAATTTCGAAAGCAGGAGTCAAGAACGACGTAAAAGGATTCCGTGTTATGGCAATTGGGCCACCAGGTCTGAAGAAGTCGAGTTGCTCTTCGAGCCATAGCCAACACATCTTCATCCCCGTTGGTGCTGGTCATGAGGCAGATCACCTTGACGCAGCTCAAGATATCTAGGATGAAAGTTGCCTGACATCATTCCGTGTGAGAGAGACGGCAAGACTCTGTAATTCGAAAGTAGTATACCTTGATCAAGGCCGCTGGAAGAACATTAAAGGGTTCGGTTCCTTGGTAGTTCTCCGTAAAAAATGCCAAATCGTCGAGAGCACCTGAAAGGTCGTCACGATTCTCCTGCTCCAAAAGACATAAGTTCTAGCAATATTAGCTGTAGATTAACCTACAGCGTAGACTGGGCTCCTTGCAGCGCATGAAGAAGCTGTTTGTTCGAATTTGCGGCATGCATTTCTAAGCTTCGATTGATGCTTGCCCAGGTTCGACCCTTAAGAAAGGTATGAGCATATTTGTGCATGCAGACCGTCATTTTGACGGCGATAATTTTAACTTACATGCTGCAACCCTTCGTCCCACCACGAACGCTCTTTCAGCTATCCGACAACGCAGTGCTGTCTGAGGAACGGTCAGGTAAATAAATTCTGTCCCCCTCAACGTCTCCATGACCAGTTGTCGATTTGTTGCCCGTCGATCAGGGTCTTGTTTAGACAGAGCTTTCTGAAACCTTGCCATTGATCGTAGCGTATAGGTGGACTGAGCCAGGCTGAGGTACGCATCTATGAAAGGCGTAACCGGACCATCGTATGCAACGACAAGGTTTCCGCATCGGAAAGGCCGGGTATGGGCCAGACGGTAGCTTCGACGGAGCTTGCGCAATGTATGAACGAGAGATTTCAGTATACTGAAATGATCATTTTGCGAGACTTAATTATATGTTCAAAATAAATACGGCGAACTTACCTGGACTCGGAGTTAATAGGTTCGATGACAGTCAGGTGCAGTGCGTCTTCGAGAACTTTCAGAGTAGTCTGACGAAAGTATTTGTTTGCGGTTAAGAGAGGAGAGACCAAGTTTTTGGGCAGAGGTTCGGTCTTCTCAATTTCTTCCCAACTTTCGAGTGCTTTTTGATATTCGTCGTGGTCTAAGTCATCATCGGAGGAGTCGTCGTCCATGAGCTCCCCATCTTCAGAGCTGTCATTTGGGTCGGCTTCGTCGCTGGAATCGTCGTCAGTCGAATGAACGGAGCTGCCGCTGTCCGCGTCAGAATCAGAGCCTTCAACAGAGTGTCCAGAGTCAGTTACAGCGTCTTGTCGCATTCTCTGGCTTCTGGCAACGGCATCTGCATCACCGTTGGCCTCACAGAGGAAATTGAGAAGATCGAGTGGAAGCAGAGGAGCCTCATCCAGCGGCATCTCAGGCTCGCCTTCGTAGTAGTCGCCAATAAGTTCAAGAATGCGCCCGAACATGTCTTCGGTAATACCGGACCATTCTGTCTTGTCAGATCCAACGGGGATGACAATAGGTCCAAGGCCGCGTTCTTCGCGCCAGGCGAGTATATGGCGTCGAACGTAGTTGATCACCGACTCTTTGAAGGGCCGAAGCCAGGTAGGTCTCGGAGGCGAAGCCACGGCACAGTCGATGTAGTCGGCGACGACGATCGCAACGATATCGTACAGAGTTTCAGCGGGAACGTTGTTGAGGCACATTGCGGCGAAGAAAAGGGTGGGTGGAGTTGAAGCAGGGTGGCTTTTTATTAGACACTGGCGAAGTGGAACCTGGAAAAGAAGCACAAGAATTGGCAGAAGGAGAAGTTCTCGTCCGTTTTGGATACTTCCTCGCCCTTCGTGTGCAGGGCACTGATCGCAGACGCAGAAGAGCGGAAACGACGGTTTACGAAAAGAAGTTTACAAATAGAAGCAAAGCGTTTCATGCCTTATAGAACCAAACTCTCTTTCACCTTCCCGTTTTCTAGCCAGATCTTTCTAATGCCTGACCCTAGGACGACGTGGAAGGAGACTTTTTTGAAAGAAAGCTGTCGCCAGTTGTTGAGCAGGACGGTTGCCACGCGAGCTGCATCCAAAGCCTCTTTGTTCTTCCGGACCTGCCTCATGACGCGAATGGAGTCGACATGCCTCAGGCTCATCCGGATACCAGAAGTCTAAGAATAGGAGAATTAGTATCAGGAGGAAACATTGACTCCACACTCGGACGAACCTTGATCATGATCAACGTCCGAGGAAACATGTCAAGAAACTTCTTTGCCTTCCACTTTTCCTCTTTCGCTGCCAACTTTCGGATGCATCTGAGCGATTCAGGAGTTTTTTCCTGTCCCGCATGCAATTCAGTTGAAAGCCGCAGTGAAATGGAAAAGTGAAGTATACAGGATGAGCCACTGCCTCGCACTTGGTGCTGCAGAAAGTTCAACGCTAACTGCCTCATCCCTGGCGGTTACAATTGCGGCGTGTGATGTTACCAGGCCTGACCCTAGAAACGAAACAAATTATCAGGAAGTGTATAACAAAGAAGTTGAGATGCATACAAATGCCATAGCGTACTCTGAATATATGGGCGCGTTGTGCGATCCGAGTTCGCAAAGCCGCCTGAGGAATAGTGAGGTGCACACATTGAATGTCTCGCAGAGTATCCTTCAAGAATTTGAGAGCTTCATCACTGACTCGATCCGCGTCATCCTTGGGGTCAAGGAGCCTGTGTACGGCGCACAGAGAGTAGGCTACTTGGGCGAGAGAAACATAGGCAGCGATAAAGGGAGTCCCGGGGCCTTGGTATTTGGCCAGGAGCTTCCCGCACCTGAGGGGCCGAGCATGTGCAAGACGGTATAGTCGGCGGACGTCTCTCAGAATTCCCATCATTTTCTTGTGAAAGCTGAGGTTTCGTTTGCGTTAGATCTAGATGATCTGATAGTCTGTACCAAGGCAAACGTACTTTATGCTGGAGTTGCCGCTCTTCTTGATGTTGAGGGTGTCGCTCAAGACTTTGAAAGTTGTCTGGCGCATGTAGCGGTTGACAGCAAGCAGTGGCGTGACCTGGTTATTTGGGAGAGGCTGGTTCTTTTCGTTGAGGTTCCATTCCCAAAGCATGCGCTTATAGCTCTCTTCGCTATCTACCTCGGAATTGCGATCTTCATCGTCGGTGAATTCGCCCTCATCGTCGGAGCCGTCGCTCAACTCTTCAGCTGTCAGTAAGGGAGAATCGTCGTCTTCGTCAGCGGCCCAACGCGACTGGGAGGCGCCGTTCTCGATGACGTAGATCATGTCGCCGTCGCCGTCAACATGGATGACATCCTCTTCGAGCCCCCAGTTGTCACTATCTTCATGATCCGAATCGTCCTCATCAGTTTCATCTTCTCCGGGTTCTTCATAATCTTCGTCAAGAAACGCGGTAGCCTCCAGTGGAAGGAGAGGGGTGTCGGCGAGGGACATGTCCCCTCCGAAGTGAGCAAGGACTGTCTTCAAGACGCGATTAAACTGCTGCGGCGTAATGCCTGACCACTCTGTCTGGTCAGAGCCGAGTGGTATAATAAGAGGACCTCGATCAAGGCGCTGGCGTCGGTAGAGAATGGTGCGTCGGACATAATCGACAGTGTGCTCTGCTCAGGGCACCAGCCAGGTAGGGCGGGGCGGAGAGGCGATTGCGCAGTCAAAGTAATCGACGACGACGTTCGCAACGATCTTGTAGAGGATCTCGGGGGGAAGGGTGTTGAGGGACATTGTTGTGGTTGGATGAAATTTGCCCCAAGATACCGATGCGATGAGCGGTCGTAGGCTCTCTTAAAATTTGCTGGAGCCGTGAGAAGAGGCAGTGGAACAGCTTGGGATATCTGGGATATCCGAGTTATCCACAGAGAGTTGACGCCTGGATCGGTGGGGAACAATAGCCCCTGTATTGGAGTATCCCTAACATCTAACTCTGTGACTTTTTGTTGACATGGAAGGTGGCGCATTTCGAGTTACATAACTTCGCGTCTTCGGTCATGTAAATTGTGCAAATCGTCGAAAGGCATCTTGGATCGTTCATTTGGGAGCAGAATAGTCTTCAAGCTGGTAAACCCTTATGTCAGAACACAAATCAAAACTCACGAGGGATGAAAGCGAAATACAACTCACCACTGACGGCCTTCCGCCGTAACCTATGGCTCAAGGAGACTGATTTGTTGGCAGGCCTTCCACAGCCCACGAGCAACGACGATGTCCTTGAACCTCGCCTTTACCGATCTTTCGTCAGGGTTTCTGCCGAAAGAGCTATCTTCTCAGTTGATGAATGTATGAATGCGGTTCTGCAAGGCCTCGAAAGAAGAGAAGGAATTAGGAAAGAAATAAGAGTAACCTTCTGAACGTGAACTCAACAGAGAGCTTCGGACCGCGATTGCGGAGTTGCGGGTATACGTACCAAACGCGATCACGTGAAGCAACGGCCATGAACGCGCGGGCAACGCGTAACTATAATTCAAGTTATTTAAATTTAAAATGTAAGGCCAACAGACCCCGATGATTATTTCAATGCAGACATATAGTTCATCAAAAACATTATTCCCGAATAAATGACATCCAACATTGAGAAAACTGCTGCAAGCTCCAAAGATAAGTCTACCCAGTGCATACCTAGCCAACAGCGGGGTCCACGTTACAAGCACTCAAAATAACATAAGGTGTCTTCGCCGCCTGCATGTACCGATCCTTCCATCTTTCCAGAAGTCGTTCCGCAATGCAAGAGGCGGACAGCAGATCCTCATGTTCTCCGAATTCTGGAACGTCCTGAAGGTAGGCAACCTTTTGCAGGATGGACAAGATGCAGCAGTTCTGGACGAAGAGTAAGCTAAGTCGCGGGGGTAAGAAGCGAAGATGAGGCATTGTCGCTCACCTTGATCAGTGTGCCTGGTAGTTATAGATATTGTCCAAGATGGTTGTTGTCATATTCCAGGAAGCCTTCTATTGCCTTCTTAATAGTTGGACACAATCCCTGGAATTTACGGCTCATGAGAACAGCGCACGTAGGCACGGAGGAGAAACGCACAGGTTTAAGAATCTTTAATTTAATGTCGCCGTCGTCAGAGTAGTCAGAATTGTCGGCGTCATCGTCGTAGTTGTCATTGTCAGAATCTTCTTCCATATCGAACAGCTCGTTGAACATATCATTAATGGGTTTCGTATGTTCAGAATGGATTTGAAGGACTGGAACAAGGACGTCAAGAGAGGCTTCAAAAGAGAAGTGCGTGAAGCAACTTACAAGTCTGGAGCCGCATATCGTGAATATAAGTCCTATAAACGATCCTCTGACGTAGAACGCGCTGTTTTATCTTGCTCTCCACATTTTTGGGTCCATTTAACAAGTCGTCAAGATAGCCCTTGTCACGGCCGGAAGTTTCAAAAGAAGGATCTTTCGTCGCACTTTCGTAAGAAGGATATCCGTAGAGAGCGGCGCCGGCCTTCATAAGTGTAAAGTACGCTTCGACGAAAGGCGTCTTGGGGCCGGAATATTCTTCGACGGGAGGTTGGTTGAGGAGAAACGGGTATGTGTGGGACATGCGGTAGTATAGGCGAAGCTCTCGCAGCAAGGTGATGAACCTCTTGTGAATGCTGCAAGGACTATACATCAACGACGAATCAATATACTAACGAAGAGGACTTACCTGACCTTCGTCTTTTTGTTCCTCTTGACGCCCAAGACATCCAACAGAACCTGTAGAGTCGCCGCCCTCAGGGCTCCATTGACAGACAATAGCGGCGCAACAGTATTCTTGGGCAACTTCTCTCGTTCCTCACCCTTCTTCCACTCCGCGAACTGCTGCTTGATCTCCTCCGGCTCGGGATGACCGTCAGGCTCCATCTTGTAGCACTCCATCTCCATAGACGCCATCGACTCGGGTGGCGAAACCCTTCCACTAGCGAAAGGATAGCCATACGCCCCATCGTCCGAGTCCGAGAAGTAGTTATACTCGGACTCCAGGCCATCATACCCATGCCCCGGAGGGAATGCCTTCCTCCTTGCAAACCCATCCTCCCCATCTGACGCCAGACAGTCATCACAACCACAATTTTCGTCCGCCGGCCGACCAGATTTCAGGAAGTGCTCAAACTTCGACCGCGTCATCTGCGTCTACTCAGTCTGATCCGTGCCAATCCACTCCTCTGGCAGGAAGTACTTCTCACGGACGTGTTCGATCTCTTCGTGGATTTGGTGAGCCACGCAGGCCAGGGCGGACGCGTGATGGCGTTGTCGATGTACTCGACGACTACGTAGCCAGAGATGTCATAAAGGACTTCGGGCGGCAGTTTGGTGAAGGGCACAGTAAATTTGGGGTATAGTGGTCCATCGCAAGTTGGGCTAGAGACAAAGTGGGGTTAGTTGACAGTGGGAGTCCGAGAGTATGAATATTATGAAAGAAAGAAAGTAAGTAAGAAAGAGCGCACCAGACTGGGTCTCAGCAACACGATTCCACACTCATTCTGTCCTTAGTATGCCGCGAGAGACGTTTTGTAGAGGTTGCAGCAGGAAAAGGCTTGAATCCGTGAGTGGCGAGTGAAACGTCACGAAGAAAGAGCGAAAGAGAATGACGGCCCTGCGACGGCCAGTAATTGATGCTCGGCAAAGGCGCGATGACGTGTGGCGACCATTCGAAGCCCACCGCAAGGCACTTCGGGGCGATGTCCATGACGAAGAAAAGGTATCCAAGATCATATATTAGCGTAAGTAACGTGTAATGAGTAGACGAACGGTTCTAATCATCCATAGCATCCTAATCGTCAAGTCCGTCACGAGCCATCTACGGTCTATTGAGTCTTGGATTTGGGCTCTGTAAAACCATGCAAGTACAGAATCAATCATCCCGAACGACTTTTGTTATGAAAGGGGTACTTACCAGGCTTGGCCAGTGGCGACTTGAAGTTCTTCCAAAGGCCAAAGTTCTTCACCGTCCTCCCAACGAACAGACCTGATAACAGCAAGGTGCATACAGCCCTAGCAGTCTCCGGGTCGAGAGGCTTAATGGGGTCTACAGACGAGGCACCACCAAGTATCTGTTCAAGCACCGTATGCAACTCGGCCCAGAAAGGTTGTGCGTGCGTAAGAAGGGCATATAGTGCCGTGATTGTTGGTGCCGCCCACAGGTCCGCGGTCGTCCATCCATAGGCCTGCAGCTCAGGTGGTGTCTGCACAGACAAAGAAGCAGGACCAAGGAAGTTGAAGAGGTTCGTCACGAAAAAGCCTCCATTGGCGATGATCTGGGCGAGTAGTATTCAGGGATCTGCACGCGGGCAAGATACTCGACCGAAGGGGCTAAAACGGGAACATACTAGGGAGGTAACGAGTAGTGTCCAAGGAGAGGAAGCGATGAGAGGTGAAGCGTTCGCGGTTACTGCTGGTGGGATGAGGTTGCAGAGCAGGAAGGCACGCGTAAACGCGTCGACGACTGCCAATGGCAGCTCTGTCTCCGCAGAGGGAGGTGGTACGGCAGGGAGGTATTCAACGAGGGCTTGAATGGCCGCATAAAGGCTAGGATAAACCCCCGAAATTATGAACGAGGGTGGAACGCCTAGAAGTGGTGCTGCAGGTGCTCATATGAGTGTACAAGAATGCAATATAGACAAAATCGTACATACCTGCAATTGCTTCTCCTCCATACACGACCAACCAAGTTGTGCTTACACTCTTCACGAAGGACTTCTCCTCGACAGGGCCAGCACCTTTGGTAGAGACATGCTGCTTGAGCATGATCTCCCGAATTTGACGCAGAACGATGCAAAGTCTGACGGTGGCCACGACATCGAGAGCGCTGACAGGCAGGCCGAACCAAGTGAATGGTGCGACGGGCTGCAGGGTATAGCGGAAGATCTCGACCAAAGGAGTCAGTAGTGACATGGAGGGAAGAGGTGGGGTTGATAAGAAATGGCATCGGAATTATATATGGATCCCCATACATAGATGCTTCAAGCTCAGGACGGCAAATATGGCTCACTGGTGAAGGGAATTACAAACCAATTACAAACCTCTTACAAAGTATTCTGCCATGACACGTTGCACAGCGAGCAAAGAGGCTACGTGTACTTCAAACTCGAGATCTTGTGCAGGAAGGATTACATGCAATGATCTTTACATCTGATCAGACTCTCAATTATGCCTACTTTAAAAGAGTGTCCCATGGTCTAACGGTTGTAATGGCCGCAAACTGGGAATGCGGGTGTCTCCTTTCAGCGATCCAAGCCATCAGTGCGCTGGTTCAAGGCTCGTCCCTCCGGAAAACTTGGTTTCCGCAGTTCCTCGCTTCGTAAGGGGTGACCTGGACTCGGAATAATCTGTCCTTGTCAGGCCAGGGAAGCAATTCCGCAACCTGCAGGACTCGCCGAGTTAGTCTTAGGAGATCAGATGGGACCGTCAGTTCGCGCAGTGGTTCGCGGTGCCCGTAAACCTTTTGTTTTTTCCTTCAATTCTCCTTCAATGTTCACATTGGATTCAGTCCAGGCTGAGATAATATTTTGCGTCAGGGCAAGTTCACTCTCCTTTACGAAGTTATCTTTGAAATTTGCTTTCTTCTAATACATGCTACTTGCAAGAATAGTATATGGATTAATGATAAGTACGGGGTATAAATGTTCAAACAACGATCGTTCCAGTCAGCCTGATGTCCTTGATAGACGCTCCGATGTAAACAGTGAACGTGCCCGAAGGACGAACGTAACTCTGACTAGGCGTATCCCAGACGCTAGAACACGAGACGTCAGCAATGCACTTTCTGAATCAAAAAATGACATACCTCATGCCTCTCCTGTCGAGGGTAATGGTAACGCTCTTCGTCTGGCCAACAGTCACATCAACCTCCTCGAGCCCTCTCAGAACCTTCTTGGGCTCGCCGGCGGACGCTGGGTAGCCAAGATAGAGCTGGGGCTTCTCGGTACCGTCGAACGAGCCGCTGTTCCTCAGGCTGAAGGTGAGGCTGTAGGCGCCGTTTGCCACGGCAGAGATAGAGAGACCAGAGTAGGCGAAGGTGGTGTAGGACAAGCCGAAACCGAACTCGAAGCGGGGGGTGATGTTCTTGTCGTCCATGTTGCGGTAGTCGAGGAGGAGCTTCTCAGTGTGGTTGATCTACAAGAAAGAGACGAATTGAGAAAGGAAGTCTTGAGCGCTGGCTAGAAAGATGCTCACATCTGGGAAACCAAGGCTGTTGTACACAATCTCGGTGCCGTATGGGGCCTCGCTCTAAGAGAGAGAAGTCAATTTATACGCGCTTCAATAAACGAAACAACACCCACGTCAGCTATGCTGAAAGGCAGCCTGCCACTCGGGTTATATAGTCCATAAAGAACATCAACGAGACCAGGCCCTGTCTGTTCGCCAGGTGCTCCAGCGTAGATGATGGCGGTGATATTGGGGTGGTCGGACCAGTTCAGGATGACGGGGCCGACGGAGTGGATGACAACGATAGTGTTGCTACAGACGGCGGCGACGCGCTCAATCATGCTGCCGCCTTTCCACCAGAGGGCAAGGTCATTCCTGTCGCCCATGTTGCCGTGGACAACGTTGTAGAAACCCAATTCACCGCTCATGCTATAGACCATCGGTCAGGAAGGCTTATGTTAAAGAACAAAGAGAGCATACGCATTGGCAAAAACGAAAGCAACGTCCTTTCCTCGGGCAGCGTTCGCAGCATTGTTTTGGTCCATCGTCAAAGAGGTCGTAATCGTGGCGGTATTACCAATGTGGGCCGTCAGAGCATCGACGGGTGGGACGACATGATCAAGCAACGTCGATCCCGAACCCCAACCAACGACCATGGTACCCTCATTACATTCACCCAGCTCATTGCAATCGAGCTTAGGCATCTTCGCATCCTGGCCAATAATCGCAACAGTCTTCGCGACGCCCCTCGTCAGTGGCAGACCGCGGGTCGACTGTCCAGCGGAGTTTGTCACGCGGGCGTTCTTGAGCAGGACAGATGAGGCGGAGACGATCTCCTTGTTGATGGCGGTGTGCGCTGCGGTGCGCACGTTGACGCCGAGGTTCCGTGGACCCGTGCCGTCGCGTCTCTGCGCGTCGAAGTTGGTCTCAGGGAAGCCCTAAAATTAGAGGGATCGCG